TCTTCGCTCACTGCGGGACGACCGGTCATTCCTCTTGCATAATAATTGGCATCGTTGTAAAGCGGGGAATCTCTCGTTTACAAATATGACCAAATTAATGTCGATGAATTGATTTTGAACGGATACAATTGAGTTTTAGACCCCCTAAAAAATATAAACCACCTCCGCTTGTTGCTGTGCTGTCTACACAACTCGTTTGCTGATTGGCCCAGACACCGAGTGAAAAGCATTATGGTTACGTGACTGACTCGAGCGGGCGATAAATATTTGGTTTTGGCGATAATGTTTTTGGGTACCTACATGCGGTTTTACTCTCATAAGTGGCAGAAAAAAATTAATTCTGATCGTATATAGATTGCCGTTGAGTGTTAATCCAAACCACGTGGCTGATTATGTAAATTAATCGACATGGGGGTGGGTGTCATCGAGTAATACTAATCAACTGTCACGGGTTAATTATAAAGCCGTCGACAACTCCTTATTTATTCCGAATAATTAATCCAAGCAGTGATTATCTGATATCTTTTAAAAAAAAAATAATTTATAGGCCTTAGATGGAAATAAAAAAAATGGCCAATAATTTTCTTTTCGAAGAGAATTTCATTGATAGATGAATTCGCTTTACTGTCGCTTCTTCATACGACATACAAAGTAAGGAATGCATCTTGGATATTATTGTTTAAAATTCTCTTATCACCATGGGTCGAAAAAATGAGAACGACCAACGAGCCGAATTGCGACGATTCTCGAGTCTGCCATTGTTTAATTACATCAAAGCCAGAATGCACGAAAGTGAACGTAAGTATTTCTTGACTATGAAATTGACATCTCTATAGGGACTCATATTTTGATACCTTTACGTTACCTGAAAATAATAATAGACCTATCATACACGCAAAATCTTATTTTAATTCACGTGTTAAATGAACACGCGTACAGCTGTGGCGGCTTCTTTGATGATTATCCAATCAACAATCTTAATCTCCTGACCACTAGCTAGCACTTATAGGGTGCTAATTAATTGATGCGATTAACTGTTAATCTCACCAACGTTATAATATACAAAACCGACTACCATAGTCATAAGTTAGTTGGAGCACAGGAATCTGACCTTCTATCCGTTGAATATTGAATACCAGCGATTTCAAATCCTATGCCTTTAATCTTTTATAGAATCTTGGAGTCGTCATTTTCCAATTCACTTGAAAGCACTTGGCGTGAATACAGAGGGGGTGGGGTGAATTGGTGCTTTTAGTCAACTTGTCTGAAAATTCACTAGAAAAGGTAAAACCTAAAAATAAACCCTCTCATTTTGTAAAATATTGAAATATCCGGTATCTGTCGTCTGAACAGTAAGATAAAGATGCCTATCCACGAACATGTAAGGTTTCGGGGCCTAATTTACAGAAATGAAATGAGGATTGACGTCCTACTGTTAAATATTAATGATCTAAAAACAATATTGCTTTTAATTCTAAAAAGTGAACCGTTCATGACTCCCCTGCGACAAACTGGTAGTGGGCGTGGTACTATATTCCTTTCCAACCTGCTCGAATTGTCTGTCTTTAAACTATATTGTAGGATATAGTGTGTAGTACTAGTATAACATGTTGAAGCTTTAAGCTAATAGATGTTGATCTTTTTGCTCTGAAAGGTCATACATTCCTACACGTCTACCTTTAAAGCGATAAATGCCATTTGTTACTCTAAATACAAATTAACTCACACCTTATTAAGTGTCAAAACTAAAAGGATATTGTAACCATGTTTTCAAACGAATAAATGTGTACCCCTCCATATTTCACAATGTTGAAAGTCCCTCTGTGTTAAACATGTCACTGATAAACACCTCAATACTTATAGATTCATAGGTTTAATTAAACAGTAAAATAGTGAGTCTGCCAGTGAAAGAGAACAGAATTATAGTTCTGCATAAGATATAGTTGGTCAGAGGTGGGAATTGTTTAAGAATATTTAATTGCATAGTACAAGAATAGACACATATGCCATGTTGTTATTCAATCACAATTGGGGGATCACGATGGCTAAGTGGGTAAGAGGCTGACTAGCTAGCCTGGAGGTCAGATGTCCCCCCCTTGTCAGTGTCGCAAGACAGAGGGCCGGACAAGGACAGTTGTCAAGTTGTTCAGATGGGATGGAAAACCGAGGTCCTGTGTGCACATTGGTGTGGACAAGAAAGATCCCATGACAGTTGGAATTTGATATAAGAGTAGGCCGAAGTACCCCTGTCCGGGCAAAATTTCCCTCATAGCACACTGTATGGTGTATGCCCGTCTTCATTAGCCAGTTTGAGGCAGAACTGTAGGACGTTAAACCCCATTTTCATTTTATTTCAATCACAATTGAGACAACAGTCGGCCAGACTCTCTCTGCTCGCTATTTAAGGGTAATGATAGAATTTAATTACATATTACGTAATTAATTCCAAAATATTTGGCTAATGGCCAATTAACAATACAATAAATTAATGGAGACCCCTAAAAAAATTACTCAAACTCAGTGTTTTCATTTTATATAGAAATAGAATCTTTATTTGTATAATATTCATTGTATAAAAGACATATAAATTCTAATAATAGATAGAAAACATTATAATTTCATTCATAATATACAAGTACATATAACTTTGTTTTAACAATATACACTCATTTTTGGTCTATGTACATATATTTTGCTTTTAAAAAAAGTGAGATTCTTTCTTTATTATATGATGTACTCCTGTCAGTTACTCTATATGAAATACATCATTATTTACATAGTTATAACAAAATATGAGAATTGTTTGATTTGGTTTTATAATATCATAACTATAATTTCATTTTTGAGACATAATAATAAACTAAAATAAACACTAAAATAATATTCTATTTTGAAGACAGTTGGGGATGAAAAATAAATTCTTCTCAATTCAATGAACTGATTGCTGTTATAATTATTGACAAATATATACAATTTTGCAACATAATAATATTTTTTCACCAATCACTATAAAAATAATATGCTTGAAACATTTTTTCTTTCTATTTGCATTGATTACATCAGCAGAGATATTTCGTTATTAAAAAGGAATGTGAATGCTATACATATATAATAAGTCTTTTAACAAATTCATTTGCATAATTTCTTCTTTTAACAAATTCATTTGCATAATTTATTCTTCTTTAAAACTCAGGAGTCACAGATATTTCAGCAGTCACAGCACCACTATGTGGGGATATCAAAATCTTAACATAAAAAAACTAACTCAAAGATTTTAATAATTAAAATTCATTATAAAAAAAATATTAAAATTGTTTTGGTTGTTATTAAAGTGTAAGTGTTTTACAGAGGCAAGGAATTGCTAAACTAATTTTCCTTATAAGATTGTTGTACTTTCTTTCATACCGGTTTGTGCACCTTGATTTTCTCTGAAAAATATATAAAAAAATATTTTTATTATGATCTATAAATTGTAATAAATATTTGTTATTGTGATCAAAAGAAATAATACCCGGCATAAAACAGGAATGTTATATGTGAATATTATGTGATATTGTTTTGTAATATTATATATAAATCTACATTAATACTGTATACAAATAGAAATAAATAGATAATTTATATCATTATAGGCTGTTCTGTTGCAGAAAAATAACCCAGAATACAAAGATAAAAGAAAAATTCTTTGCAACTTTGCTCTTTGGATTTACTTTTCACGTCGCAAGAAGTTTAAACTGTTTGAAATCTATTTGCCGAGAGCTTAACAACAGAAAATGGCAGTTTAATTTGACTTAAGAAAATCAGTTTTTATTGAAAGGGGAACTAAAGCTATTAACAATCAAACATGTACACATATATACACTGTCGATTCTCTGCCAATCATCAGCCATTTTTTCCACATCTATTTTGATGAACCAGGTCATTGGAAAATACCAAGATATATTCTTTGCTAAAACTTGAAAACCAAGCCAGTCGTATTTGTTTTTCTTAAGTAAACAACGATAGAGAGGAGGAAGACTCAAGTAAACCAATAGATTGAGCAAACGTAGGCCTATTCAAATAGTACACTGTCAATTGTGCATGTTTTTATTTATAACAGGTTTTATATTGGTCAAACCTTTACATCAATACCAACACTTGTTAATGTATTTTTTTTCAATTTAATGTCGATTGAAAATACAATTAAATTCCAATTGTTCAGTTGAAATAGATACATGTATATAGTTTAGATGTTTTCAGGGAAACTTCTATCAGTAAGTTAAATACAAACATTTCATGCTTTCAGAACACTAATGATGATGATGATGATAATGATGAACTTAGGTGTGTCAAATAGAAGTGTGAGTTTAAGGATGGGTTAAATTAAGATGCTTAACACATACATATAGTGATCAAGCTTACATGTTACCCTAAATCTAACAATGTCAGGTACCGTGTATATCCAAATAAATAATAATCACAATTTGAAGACTTTTAATGAAATGCTTACCTTCCATAAACAGGATTAAAAGCGGCTTCTGCCCTGGGGTCTGCACCAAAATGTTGACCTTCCATATTATCACCTTGGAATGTCATGTTAATTTCACCTAAATCTTGTACAGCTTCATCAGGTGGTACATACATATTTAAACTCTGCAAAAATTCAATTAACACATATAAATTTCAAATATATAACACAAACTTTAAATTTTATAGAAATATTACTAAATTCTAATAGGTTTTAAAGATTTTTAGAATAATACTGAATAAACTATTCCAATAATTTCTAAATTATGTATTTTTTGGGGGGTACTGAATATATTACAATTTCCAATCCTTACCTGTGTTTCATATTCTCTTAAGAAAGTTGGAGGATCAACAAATTCTGGATTTTCATAACTATGTGAATAAACTCTGTACTGATTGATGAATTTAACGTATCTAGAAAAATTTAACACATTTAGAAAAATTAAAAATCATGTATATATAATGATTGATGAATTTAATGTATCTAGTAAAATTTAACAAATTTGATTGATGAATTTAACGTATCTAGAAAAATTAAAAATCAATTTCGAGTCATATAAATCCATATTTTAATTTCTTTTACTATTAAATAGATTTAAAATATAATATTTAATACAAAAGAACACAATTGTGGATTTATTTGTTTTGTGAAGACGACATCATTCTACATTGAATATTTATATCTTGAGATCGGAGATAAAACTGAAACTACAAATTAATAAACAAAGCGACTTCAGTTTACTTGGCCGAAACAAAATTCATGGCATGGAGTTGCCCAGTCATTCTCAGATCAAAATAACAGGTGGTCAACAAGTACAACCAGCTAGTGGGTACTTCAGATTGGCATATTTTATTTTATGTTTCATAATTATGGTTCCACTGTTTCAATTTAAAGTAATATATTTAAATATAAAATTCATCAGACCAGAAAATTGATCAAATATACAAAATATCTTACCTAGAATATGTGAAGACTATTACAATTATTCCTACTATGCTGAGTAGAATAATAATGGCAGCCAGAGCAATTAATGCTGCCCATGGATCATCCATCCACCATATATAAGATTTGGTAACCATGCCTCTTAGTAAAACGGCTTGTGCATAGGGTACTCTCACTCTTTCAACTTCTATTGCCGTTACTGCTGTAATCTTAGATCCTAGTACACCTTCTTTACCTAAAACTCTGCAAACAGATAATAGCAATGTATTTTTCTATATCCAATATATGTAAACTACAAGAAAATATCACTTGCAAATCAATGCCACACAAAAACGATATATATAAAATCCAATATGACAAAGTCAAGAATAATATCCTAATATAGACGACACATCAATGTACAGAGACTGTTGCTGTGTCTGCAAACAGCTAGCTAGTGAGCTAGACTCTAACCTGAATTAGTTTCGTACACAGAGCACGTACTCCGTATAGAGTTAGGAACGTCCCTGGTGAACACCTTATGTCAACAATTTGTTACAGTGAGTCATCAGCTTTAAATGATGTTTCTTTGTCTTCAGTTATAATTATTTTTAATGTATTTAAAAACAAGTTAACTGTTTCCATACATTTATAAATATATATTATTATATAAAGTATACCTGACTATTGTCTACATGCAGTTTTTTGATGGATTTATAATTAAATTTAAACTTGATGTGAAAAAACCCCAAAATTTTACTTACAATCCTGTGTGTGCTGGATTGGTGTTATTTAATAGTCGATGTTCACCATTTATTTCAGCCAATACAAACGTCACATCAGTCCTATAAATAATACATTTAAATTAAAGATACATTAGTTAAGAGTATAATAAAGAGTTGGTCATTCTTGCTATAATAATTCAAAAATAGATGATAAAAAAAGAAAATATTGAAAATTTCATTCAAATTCTTTCATTCTTAGCCAGTGGTAACCAGGGCACAGGTATAATCGGGACTTAGCCTTGCTTTCCCATTTTTAAATTAAATTTTTAAATGGCGAACCGTTTTAATCTAGTTAAAATCTTGAGTATCCGATGCCATCGAGAGTCGATTATGGTCTTGTTTTGGTAATAAATGTCTAATTAATAATTTAGAAAACATTTCAGGCCTAAAGAAAGGCCTCCAATAGGCAGATATAGCTCTAGCATAGTGTATGTTTAAACTTGGTTGTTTGTTGTTTAAAAGTCAAGCGTGTTCCACAAAATCATATATTTAGATTGAAGTTGTTTTAAAGATCAGTTTGTTGTGAAAACGGGCTCTAATTTCGTAAGAAATACACAGAATAGTCTTGATCGATCTTTATTATATCAACTACACTCAATAATACAGTCAAAATTTCACATTTCAATAGAATAAGGCCTTTCGTCTTGTAAGTCTGTATGAATCTACAATATACTACACGCACACTGTTGCACGTGCTGTTTACCATAGCAACGCATTCGAACGTCCAGACACTCGTATCTTTCACTCTTCAACACAGTTGTTCTAAAGACAATCAAATGTGTATATATGACTATATGGGGGGGGGGGGGGTAGATGGCCGAATGGTAAGCATGTGTGCGCTGTATCATAAGGCCTGTCATTGAGTCAACTGGCGTGGTTTCGAATCCCTGGTTGTATGTGACAAGGAGTAGGGTCGCCTGTCCAACCTCGTTGGTTTTCTCCGGGTCCTCCGGTTTCCTCCCACTGCTAAAGACCCCTACGCGCAAGCGAATTATTGAAATAAAATTAAACCATATGTTAGTCCCGAAATGACCTAGTTTGTGTCTAGTGGACGTTAAACCCCATTTCTCTCTCTCTCTCTCTCTCTTAAATATACTGATAGATTCTGCTCAAAATGTGCACACAACTAATTAGAACATGTTTTACTAACTGCCAGAATCAGACACCCCTTCAATAATCTAAATTCTATATTCTAGAATGATTTGCTTCAAACTATGAAATAGATATCTCAATTATAATGGAATTAAGCGTATGAAGATCAAAGTGTTGAGAGTCTCAATGAATGTTCTAAAAGAATCATATACCCTAAACTACATTTAAATTAAAATACTCACGATGCCATTTCTACGACAAGATTATTAGTTTCCTGTAGCACACGTTTTCCCTCCACTCGTTCAATTAAACATACTCGTCCAAATGTGTCTTGAAGCATTCTAAAATAGATGAATGTTTGAATATTAAATATCCCACTCTTTCTAATATTGTGGAGAACTCTTAGTAATACAAAGATTAAAGAAAGGTTGTTCTTTGACTCACCAATTCGAACAATGCATATAAATTTCAACCAGATCGGAAGATAACATTTGTCAGTAGAATGTTCACAAGATTCCTCAAAGTGAACAAGGGCAATGACTCTAGAAGTAATTATACGAAATTGTTTAAATTTCATAGTTTTCTGTATTTCACTAGAGTGTTCACAAGATTCCTCAAAGTGAGCAAAGGCAATAACTCTAGAAGTAATTATTCAAAATTGTTGAAATTCCGTAGTTTTCTGTATTTCACTAGAGTTTTCACAAGATTCCTCAAAGTGAACAAGGGCAATGACTCTAGAAGTAATTATTCAAAATTGTTGAAATTCCGTAGTTTTCTGTATTTCACTTATCTAAATAATACATATAAATGAAATGTTATTTAATGTCCTACTGTTCTGCTCCTTGCATATTAATGTCAAACAAATCTTATATCATAAGATCCAAAATGGCAATAGTTTTGTAATTTTTTATGAGAAATCGCTGAAATTTAAGAGGAATCTTCATCTTACTAACAGAAACAACATATGAATTTTAAAAAAATAGGATGATAAATGTACAGTGTTTAATGTGAGCATATAAAAATACTTAGAAAAACTTATCATAAGCATGTAAAAAATCTGAAATACTAGTGGAATGAATGCAACAAATAATCATGCCAATAGTATCGTTCAATAAATAAACATAGATGACACACATTATTTAATTGCACATTTAACTTTTTGTAAAGTATCGAGCAATCAAAATGCCTAATTGCTTATCAATGCATAGCCTAAGTAGAAAATGCTCATCATTGAACTTAGTCAAGGTTTTCATGTAATTAAACTAAACGCCAAGTCTAGACCAATCAAATTCTTAACTTGAGCAGAAAATGTTCATTGGTCAAGGTATTGATGTAAAGATTACACCTCTGACCTTTCAACTTTACTCAAATGTACGTGATCTTTTATACATAAATGACCAGCATCCAGATTCACAATGCACATTTTAGTATACAGGTTCCTGTTTTCTTGAAATCTTAACTAAAAATAAAATCTAAATTTTAGTAGATACTTCAATTTTGATTGGCTAAGCACTAAAATCAATCTAATATTATCCAATCAAATTACTAAAATTTGGATTTTATCTTAGTTAAAAATTTGTGAAACAGGCCCCTGATCTTTTGACCTTTACCCAAGCTTTGTAAAATAAGTCCTTGACATATATATATCCGAACGACTAGACAGCTTCCTTGTCAGCCCCTCCGTCCTGTATCACTGACAAGGGAGAACCACGCTGGAAAATCTGGATGAACTTTCTCGGCCAATGCAGGGATCGAACACCCGCTTTGTAAAATAAGTCCTTGATATATATACAGTACAATATAGAATATACTTACTGTCTTATTGTTTCTCTTTGAGGTAAAACATCTTTAGCTTCTCTGTCCTTTAAGACTAGTATAAAACGATTGTATTGTTCAATAAAATTCACCTAAAAAAAAAAAAATCACATTTCACATATGAAAGGGAGGTAACTGCAAATTTAGCCCATAATCTTACACAATAGCTTGGCAGGCAAGTTACATACTTCATCAGTCATATTGTAAAAAGACTCCAGTACTAACTGGTCCATAGATTTACCCCAAAAAACAACTTAAGTTACCTCAAAACAATCTGTATTTTGAATAAAACAACACATTTATATGACTTTGGGTAAATCGATGGACCCAATATTAACTATTCTTGAAAATTTAATGAAAATCGATGAAGAAATACCATGTGGGCATATAAAAGACAAAATCATTAATATTTGTTAAATAGATTTCTTTACAGGATAGAAAAAGAGATCTTATAAACTACTTACAACTACTGAAGCTTTAGCTACTCGGTCTTGTCCATCAACAGGATTATCTCTTGCTATAATATTAAAGTTATTTTGGTGAGTGTGTTCTGGCGTTATTTCAAATTCGATAGTAGTAGTTATAGTGCCCTCTACTGGATTTATAGTAAATGGTGGAGTCTGTGTATTGTCGGGATCCATTTGGTATTCAATTTCAGCATTTCGTCCCGAATCTGCATCTGTAGCCTGAAGTTTAAATGATTAAAACATAAAATTACACTTCTTATAGATTTTTACTTAAAGGAATCAAGTCTTTAACTCAATACCATCTACAGTCTTCGACATTCAAAACACAACTTATTTGTCAATTTAAATCAACTTTGATGATGTGAAATTAAAGTAAAAAACGGAAATGATTGAATGTAAATGATTAGGCCTATATATATTTGTATTACATTATCATATGCGTTGCGACCCATTTATGTCAATTTCTAGGTGCCAAATATTTGCGATTTAGCTTCTTTAATTATACAAATTTTTGTTTGATTTTTATATCTCTGTTTAGTTAAAACATTACGTTACAAAGGCTTGATGTTCAACTCATGAGGTCTTCTATAAACATGGAGATAATTTTTGTAAATCGTTATAAAAAAAACTGGATAAACAAATTTTCGGGCAATTCACACAAGCACAAAATTTGAATAGAATTAAAAAGTAGTACCGAGGTTGTGGTAACGATTTCATTAGGTTTAGATGTTGCTGGAATAGCTGTGATGTACAAATTTGGTGTTGTTCCATCTGGGTAGACAGGGAAAATGAATATTGGATCATTATCATTAACATCTAATACAGCTACAATTACTGTAGTATATCGCCATGTATCTGTAGGAAGAAAAAACATTCATTTAACAAAGCTACTGGCAATCAATAAGGATTAAAAAAAACCCACATAGTTTAGTTATTTGATATATATGTAAACACTTTAAAGATACATTATGTAAAATTTAGATGAAGTGCTAGCCATTCTTACTATAATAGTTGGAAAATAGATAATGTAAAATGAATAATTTGAAAATTTCATTCAAATTACTCTATTACGAGCAAAGATATTAGATTTGAAGGTTTGACAAGATGTGTGCAATAATTTCAACCACCGTACTGGTTGTTCGAAGCTAAGTCTGAACTATTCTAATCTATTTAATATCGGAGAAATCTGATGCCATCGAGAGTTGATTATGACCTGGATAAGTTAATTAATGTCTAATTAATAATTTAGAAAACATTCCAAGCCTAAAGAAAAACCGGCAATAGGCAGATTTAGCTCTTGCATAATGTATGTTTAAGTGTTATTTATTTCTGGAAATCATATATTCGTGTCTGTGGCAGATGGTTAAATTAATGCTGTTTGGAATTTTGGATTTTGTATCATATTTCAATGCAGTGGCGAAACATTCACTAAAAATTATCCATATTTCTAAACAAAAGAAGAAATTTTTCCACACTCATAGCAGATCATCCCTTTAATATATATTCATCCACCAAGTATTAAAATAAACCTACTGTAAATGATATTTTCTGTTTGTCTCTTCTTTCTACCACTGAAAACATCCTTTTCTACTAACAATGTCATATTGTATAGATTTTTCACTTCATAATCTAATTCTTTTTGAAGTTTCAAGAAACAGTTCTTTTTGTCTGTGTCAGTATCGACAGTAAATACAGCTGAAATAAAATGAAAGATTATGAAGAGTAATGTTATAATACATAATTTGTCAGAGACCGCATGGACGTTTAACTTTGAAAAATGAATGATAAATATAAAGAAATTATAATACTAAGATTTAAACAGCCAGAGTGTGAGTAGGTCATGCAATGTGCCCTTTAAGCAATCAGTATATTAACATTTTTATTTTCGTATGACTTTTAAATAGTCAGGATGTAAGCACTGGTACTTGATGCCATGTACATTAATGTAGGATTCCGACCATGTACTTCCCTGGCTGTACGTGACAAGGAGTACGGTCGCCTGTCCAACCAAGTGGGTTTTATCTGATTCCTCCAACTGCTAAAGACCCCTACACGCAAGCGAATTATTGAAATAAAATTGAACCATATGTTAGTCCCAATAAGACACCTACCCCTCTCTCTCTCTCTCTCTCTCCCCTCCCCCCACCATGTACAGACTATATGTATGCTCACGAGTGCCCCATATCCCAAGTTATGTATTGGTCTGTCATTGCTTCACAAAGTGTGTAATGAATTAAAAAATCAAGAGGAATCAATATTTTCATATGTGTCCTGTTTATTATAAGCCCAACCCACATCTCACTGGCCACTCCCACTTTATCTATGTACCATTAATTGACTTTTCATATATCAATCTACGCTGATCTTCGTACATAAATCAATAAATCATATCTTACTTCCTTCATTTCCACTTATAAATGTACACCGAACTATTTCAGAGCCTTGATTTTCTACATTCAAGTCTTGTATTGTAGTTCCTATAGCTGTATTTTCTTTCTGTTCAATGCTGTAGATGAAAAAAAAAAAGAATTACCATAAGTTGCTGGATTCAAGAAGACTTAGAATAATTCTCATGTATCCGTTTGTGATTTAAAAAACCCCAACCGAAAACATGTACAGTATAATTTATAAAAATAAATAATATATTAATGTAATAAAACATTCAGAAAGAGGAAATAAATATACATTTAAAGATACATTATGGGAGATTCGATAACGAGTTGACAGTCCTCACTATAATAGTTAAAAACTAGAAAATGTAAAGGCAATTTGCTGAAAATTTCAGTCAAATTGATCCACTATGAACCAAAGAATAAGTTATTGAAAGTTCCGCATAGCCTCGGTCATCATTACTAAAGTCGGTACAACAAAAATCATAGTCTCGATTATCCATTTAATCGTTAAATCGAGAAGGAAAGTTATGCAGCAAATCGTATCATAATCCAACAAATATCGCAGGCTAGCGTTGACATCGAGAGTTGATTATGGTCTGGATATGTTAATTAATGTCTAATTAATAGTTTATAAAACATTTCAGTCCTAAAGAAAGACCTACAATAGGCAGATTTAGCTCTTGCATAATGTATTTTTAAATAAGGACTGTACCAAATAAGGACTAACCAAGTAGACTTACTAGTAAACTGGTTGAATAAAACCTAAATCTCCTTCAGTTAAAGTTGCTTTAGTGAGTTTTATTTCAACTTGAATGTCGGTAGATTTATAATTCCAGCCACTATCTGATGCTCTGAGAGTGAACTGTAAAAAATAAAGTGCAAAAATAGTTTATTTGGTGATCTGTAAATCTATAAATACAATAAAATGGCCTTCAAAACAAACTTTGAAGATCTGTTCCCTCAAAGTTAACTAGGTCATCTTTTACAACTTCAAAAATTATCTTTTATTGAAAGTAAGACATTTCTTATCAATAATAAACAAAATTAAAATAAAGATAATTATTCTAATGTTCTGTCATTGAATACAAAATAAATGCCAGTTTAGCATTGTTCTGAAATTGACATTATTATTATTGATATTATGAATAATATATTATTATCATTATCAATTCAAGCCTGGAAATAAGGCACCTGTCACAGACAATGTCAGACACAGATTCAGGCTTTGTCAGGCACTAAACCTCTGGTGCCTGTCATTTTGTCTGGCACTGCTTTGTCTTTTTTTACTGATATTATTAATACATGTCCGGCACTAAATTGAAAATGTCAGGTACTATTTCATTAGTGCCTGACATTTTGTCAGGTATATCTAAAACCGTTATTTCTAGGCCTGATTATCTTGCCAGCATTATTATATACTATAAGTACTTACAGGAAGTGTTTGTAAGTCAGAATCTTCATTAAATAGACTTTGTCTAACATACACTGTTCCATCATTATAAACACCAAAATATTGACTGCCTGGCTGGGTATTATCTACAATACTGTACTTTATCTGAGCATTAGGTGTCTACAATAGAAATAGTGATTTATCTCATCAGTCATTTGAAAACATTTTAAAGAAATACATCATACTAAGAGAGAGAGAGAGAGAGAGAGAGAGAGAAATGGGGTTTAACGTCAACTCGACACAAACTAGCTCATTTCGGGACTAACACATGGTTCAATTTTATTTCAATAATTCGCATGACCGTAGGGGTCTTTAGCAGTTGGAGGAAACCGGAGGACCCGGAGAAAACCCACAAGGTTGGACAGGCGAACCTACTCCTTGTCACGTACAACCGGGGAATCGAAACCCCGCCAGTTGACTCAATGACAGACAGTATGATACAGCGCGCACGTGCTAACCATTCGGCCATCCAACTCCCCCCCATAATAACAGATATCAGTCAAAAAGTTTCTCTATTCGTTCATTGATAACTGGGAGCCACAGTGGTTAAGTGGGTAAGGCGCTGGCTTGCTAGTCTGGAGGTTGCGTGTTCAATCCCTGCATGGGCCAGGAATGTTCATCAGGATTTTCTGACGTGGTTTTCCCTTGTCAGTGGTGCAGGACAGAGGACCTGACAAAGACAGCTGTCTAGTCATTCGGATGGGACGAAAATGTGAGGTCCAGTGTATACATTGGCATGCACATAAAAGATTCCTTGGTAGTTGGAATTCTATATAAGAGTAGGCCATAGTGCCGCTGGCCGGTCAAAATTTCACTTATAACACACTGCATGGCGTATGCCCGTCTTCATTAGCCAAGTCGGAGCAGAAAAGTAGGACATTAAACTCTATTTCATTTGATTTCATTTCATTGATAACCCGAATAAACTTTAACAGGAAACAAAATTAACATGTATTGATTAATAAATAACCAGAATTAGATAATTGATCTATGAGAAATTACTTACACCTCGGTTATAAATGTCATTCATATCCTCATCCGTGGCATTTGCCCTGAGGATAGTCGTGTAAACTGGTGAATTTTGGGATACAACACCATTATTATCAGCAATACTAAACACAGGAGCAAAGCGATTTCTAACAACATTTATAGTCAGAGTAGTTGTTGCCGATTTTGGTGAAGCTGCCATATCCCGTGCCAATATTCTCAGCTAAAATATAGAATGTACCACATATAAGATAAAGACACCTGAAATTCAACTTGTATTCAAATAAACCTTGCAGTATTTGATTTGAACACAAACTGTAATGTCCTATAGTTTCTATACTATACAGTGTAATATATATACCAATAGTAACCCATTCTTATACCTTATTAATATTCATTAGTTCCACCAATTCCTTATATGTATAAGTATGTTACTATATAAGAGCCTGCATCAATAAAGTTTAGCAGAGTTATAATAGCAGACTTGTGCCTTTGTCTTATTTTATATAGAAGCTATTACACAAATACAACAAAAATATTACGTAGATGCAATTTACAAACTTATACAAAAACATGTTTTATGCCTTTCTATAAATAAAACATTGTTTTAAAATTACCAATATTATTATTATTATTATCTCATAGCTTGGTAATGCTGTCTTGCATCATTTTGGAAACAAACCCCTCAAATGACAATTTTTTTTATTCCAATGAAGAAATGCTTTTTATTCTGGAAGTGTATTTAGGACATCATAAAGATAATAACATTGTGTAGACTAAGCTTATATATACTATTCAAAAAAAGTAGGGGATATTTGATTTTTAAGTGTTATTAAAGTCACCTAATGAAACTGACGAAGAAACAAATGACAAAATGAAATGAAGTTCACATTCATCGATTTATTCCAAATGATCGTTAGACTAAGTAAGGCACAGACTGACCATTATAAGGGTAAAATGATACCCGGGGTCAAACAGCAAAGTTACCACAGCATCACAACCAAGTCAGTAACGGGTAAATCCTCCTCTGTTTGCCAAACAAGCATTGATCCGACGTGGCATACTCCTAATGAGACGTCTATGGTCATTTTGGTCCAGATTGTCCCATTCCTGTTGCAACGCAGCAGCAAGTTCTTGGACATTGGCAGGACGTTGTTGACGTTGACGTAACCTCTGTCCAAGCATGTCCCAGACATGCTCGATGGGGGAGAGGTCGGGACTCAGTGCTGGCCAAGGTAATGTGGTGATGTTCTGTTGTTGGAGGTAACCTGTAACGATCCTGGCCCTGTGACATCTTGCGTTGTCATCCTGGAAGATGAAACGGCAGCCATGACGTCGTGCGAACGGCACAACATGGACTGCCAAGATGTTGTCCCGGTAGTACTGGCCTGTAACACGCCCTGCAACAACATGTAAAGCCGTTCTTCCAGCAACAGTGATGCCTCCCCACACCATAACAGAACCACCCCCAAATCGATCATGTCTGATGACGTTAACGTCTTGGAAGCGCTCGTTTCGACGACGCCACACCCTCCTACGTCTGTCCAAAAAATCAACAGTGAACCTTGACTCATCTGAAAACATCACATTGCTCCAGCGTCAATTATCCCAGTGTTGACGATCCCTACACCAACGACGTCTTGCCTGAATGTGATGATCTCTCAAACAAGGGATCACGCGAGGACGTCCGGCGCGAAGGTGACCCCTATGCAGTCGATTCCGAATCGTCTGGCCACTCACTCTCACACCAGTGTCTGTTTGAAGACGAGCGCTGATCTGATTTGCTGTGATGACACGATTTCTCAAGGCCAAGGTACGGATAAATCGATCCTGGGCTTGAGTTGTCGCCCTTGGTCGACCTGAGCGTGGTCTGTCCTGTACAGATTGTGTATCACGGTATCTGGACCATAGCCTGCTTATGACAGACTGAGAAACATTCATCGTCCGCGCCACAACCGCCTGTGTTGTGCCGATCTGTAGCATGCCAAGGGCACGTAACCTTTCATTTTGGGTAAGCCGACGCATATCAAAATTTGTTTTCTGGTCACTAAAACAATTAAACTGATGTTTCCACCCTGGAATTCAATGCCACAATGACTGTAACATTCAAAGTCAGAGTCGTGCAAATCTTGGGTTGGACCCCCATGATGATCCCAAGCATCACCTGCATTCCATGCGGTAGCTATTGGTGCGTTTGGGCGTCACATGTAACTGGAAATGTTTCTTCTGTTAGGTTCTATAGTGACTTTTTTCGTAGTCATTTGCATATTTTAGTATTATGCCCCCAAAATCAAATATCCCCTACTTTTTTTGAATAGTATAGATTTCATACAATCTGATTAAAATACAGATCTTTATTTCGTTTCATTTTTTATACTTTCGATGGCCTACACTACATGAAGATCTGACCAGTTGTTTTGGGAGGTCACATCAGAGGTCACACAAGCATTGATGTTTCTAGTGGATTACCCACAGTTCCGTGCAGCTCACGCCAAAAGCTTGCTGTAACAGACCGTTTCATTGGCTAATCCCTAAAATATCATCCAGAACATGTCAATGATAACAACTCTTCCAGATCCTATAGTGTAGTAAAGACAAGTAAAACGAAATTTTGAACTATAAAAAATGAAACGAAATAGGATCTGTGTTTTAATCAGATTGATTTTGGCTGTTCTAAAACATAATAAACTTACCTCAAATCTATCAGGAACACCTGATCTAGTTAACTGTTGTGATAAGATAATATCACCAGTATTTGGAGTTATAACAAAATATCCTAAACCATTGTTGGGAGTAACGGATGTAATACTGTATCTTATCTGACCACTTAAACTCTACAAAATATAAAAATTTATTTTAACTTAAATTAATATAATGTCCTTCAGTTTATTTATTAAAAAATAATCAATTTATAACATAATCATCTGTATCGGTGGATTGAGAACAGATTTTGTTTAATTGTCTAGTACTGTAAAAGATTAGGATTAAAGGCCTATTTGATCAAAGTCCGACTTAGTACAAGCAAGCCAACCGTGAGGCTGATGTCCTCCCCGTCTCAATTCAAAAATAAATAGATGACACTCATTAATTACTTTCTCATTTCTATTTTCATAAAGCATCTAGCTATCAAATTGCTTATCACTCTGCTTAATCGAAGCAGAAAAATGGTCATTATCGACTTAATCAGTGTAAGTTTCATCTATTTAACTCAATCAGAATCAAAGTTATCGTATCCCAAAGTTTTAACAAATCCGATTGCTTATCTCTGCTTAAACACTCAACCTCAATAATTAAAAGCAGAGTTATTGTGTTCCAAAACGTAAGATGGAAAGACGGATGGACGAACCCATTAATCCAAATTAGTATCATATACTTACATTAATACTATCTTTATCTGTTGCTGGGATTCTAGCGATAATATTTCGTACCGCCTCATATTCAGATATAGTTACATTATAGTTACTCTGACCAAATTCTGGAGCATTAGGATTTCGGACAACTGTCACTCTAACTAGAGCTGTTCCAGTTCGAGGTGATACACTAACATTGTCAGTAGCCCTCACTCGGAACTGTTAAAAAAAATAAATAGATCATTTAATTCAAATGGCACAGAAAATTTCAACAATCAGTCTTTTTTTATTTCATTTCAGCAGGGCCACTCATTTTATATGAAGATGAAAAAGGTATGTTCTAAGATTCTTGTTGTCGTTGGGTTTTATGTCAAGGGTAATATAGCAGACAAAGTTCTAAGACTCATTCTGCATGATTTATATAGTGAAACTTACCTGGTATTGAAGATTATTATCTCGCTCTACACTCTGTGCTAGTTCTATAGTGTTGGTGCTGGCTCTAAATCGGAAATACAGGGCATCGGTAGGTCCTTCTATCAAAGAGTATGAAACTACATCCTGTAAAGTTAAACATACATTATGCAAGAGCTAAATCTGCCTATTGCAGGTCTTTCTTTAGGAATGAAATGTTATCTAAATTATTAATTAGACATTAATTAACTTATCCAGACCATTAGCCTGCGATATTTACTGGATTAGAATCTGATTTGCTGCTCAACTTTCATTCATGATTAAATCATGAAATGGATAATCAAGACTATGTTTTTATCATACTGACATTTGTATTGATGATCGAGGTTAGGTACAAAATTCAATCGCTAAATTCTCGGTTCAGAGTGGATCAATTTGACTGAAATGTTCAGCAAATTCCCTTTACATTATCTAGTTTTTAATAGTGAGAATTGCTGTAGGCAGAAACAAGGAAAAAAAAATAAAGGACCACCTAGCAACTGGTGACTGTCTCTTACATCAATAATTTCATGCGCACAGTTAATATATATATAGAGAGAAATGGGGTTTAACGTCCAACCGACAAAAACAAGGTCATTTTGGGACTAACATATGGTTCAATTTTATTTCAATAATTCGCTTGTGCATAGGGGTTTTTAGCAGTGGGAGGAAATCTGAGAAAACCCACAAGGTTGGACAGGCGACCCTAGTCCTTGTCACGTACAACCGAGGAATCAAAACCATGCCGGTTGACTCAATGACAGAAGTTACGATACAGCGCGCATGCGCTAACCATTCGGCCATTCAAACCTCCTACAGTTAATAGAAAAATTGTGTTAAAATATCCAGCATCTGTATCATTATTTTTGGGTAGATTAATTGGAGTTACGGTAAAAAAGAAGTGTTTTCGTCTGGCAAAATAGAGGGTCTTTCAGATTTTTATAAGAACTATACTGAAATTTGTACTTACATTAGGATCAGCGTCTGTGGCAAATACATCAACAATTTTGTCACCCACACTATGTGTTTCGTTTATAGTAACGTCATAAATGCTTGGATTGAATCGCGGAGGATTAGAGTTTCTAGTTACATTAACTGTAACACTAATACTACTCTGTCTTCTTGGTGTACCACGATCTTGAGCAATTACATTAAACTAAAATAAACAATAATAATAACTCAGTACACACTACCATGTTGTTCAGATAAAACAAGATAACTTGATTATCTACATCCCATATTCAGCAGCCTTAGACAGGTGATCTATTTAACATAATTCTTGCACTGACCAGTTTGCATCAGTTATTGAAAGGATAGAGCAGTGCTAATTTTCATGTAGTGCAATGATTAAAGTTATCCACAAGATGGGTGTTTGGACAGGGTTTTTAATTTCAGTGCTTGCCATGAGCACTATTTTCCATAAATATTTCCCTAATTCAGACTGATATTGTCAATGGAAGATGCAAAATCAAAAAGATTTAAATGGAGTGCCATCATAGATCGGTGACAGTCCTGCACATTTTAGCACATATGATGTCATATGTGGATTGTGATTAGGGTTAGAGTAAGGGTTGGGACCTACAGATTTCTTCAGAGTCTCGAGATATAAACAGGGCTAGCGCTAACCCTAACCCTAACCCTGGACCAAACCCAACCCTTACGCTAATGCACAATCCACATATGACGTCATATGTGTTAAAATGTGCAGGAACGCCTCCGTTCTAGCTAGTCTTCTCCAAAAATCAACAGTCCAAAATAAAGAAGATACTATGCTCCAGCCATGCTCTACACTAACTATAATAATATATAAATATATACTTACTAAATATGTATTTTGGTTAGGATCGTTACTTAATCTAGTGATGACAGATAATTGACCAGTTGATGGATTGACAAAGAAATAATCAGAGACATAATTTGGTGTTGATTGTAATCTATCAATGGAATACACAATCAAACCACTTCCCGTCTAAAAAATAATAATATAGCATTTTACACATAACTTATTCTTTACAAAACATAACCTAAACATAGAAATCTGATTGCTTCGAAATTAATTTTTTTCACAATTCCTATTAATTGTACAAAGAATGCCATTAAGATCATAAATGTGACCAGTGATAGCCAAATGAGTCAGAAGTCGGGCATGCTTATTTAACGCTACTATGTAAAATAGTTACTTGAGCTTAACTTTAAAAATTTTTTTTTTTGGCGAAATCTGATGCTTTAACTTGTCTATTATTGGAGTAATATTTATTTGATTAATTTAGTGTATAAATTGGGTGTTTTGTAAATAGTGTCATTAAAATCAATGCTAAAAACAAAAGAATTTTCGTAAAAATTAGCCATTTTCGTCTGCCAAATTGTTTGTGCATAACTTTTTAAATTTTCATCCAATCTTTACATTTTATATATCATTGAAAAGCTTATAACATGTACTCTCTGAATATATGCATAACTCAAATATTATTTTTTACCCCAAGTGACTCATTTGGCTGTCACCGCTCACAAATTATCAATATAAATTTTGCGGTACATACCATGTCAGTGTCAGCATCTGTGGCATTGACATCACCAAACTGTTGTCCAAGTGGGAAGTTTTCTGATAGAGTAAAGAACAGATTGCCATGTCCAAATACGGGAGAATTAGGATTACGGATAACAGTAACTCGTACTAAAGCAATAGCAAACTCATTTGGATCACTTTCTCTGTATGCAGCTACACGAACCTGAAAAGTGCAATAAAGACAGTGATAACACAAGGCAAACAACAATGCAAAAATTTACAATAGGTCCGTTTTGAAAAAATGGTTGGAAATGCATATAATTTTTTTTTTTTCTGGTTTGTTGCTTCAAAGGACAACCTTATATTTACAATCGTTAACATTTCCATAATCTTGTGTGTTTATTTATGATTATATTGTCACTTTGTAAAGTGCACCTGAACATGTAATAATAATAATAATAATAATAATAATAATTTACATTCATTTGAGACTAATAAATCATATTTCTCACTAAGACTGAAATCTTATTCTTTACAACTATTGCGAAAAGCATCTAGTTGTTTGGATAGTACCAAAAAACCCGACTCTAACAGAGAGAGAGTGAAATGGGGTTTAACGTCCACTCGACACAAACTAGGTAATTTTGGGACTAACACATGGTTCAATTTTCTTATTTCAATAATTCGCTTGCGCGTAAGGGTCTTTAGCAGGACCCTACTCCTTGTCACGTACAACCAGGGAATCGAAACCCTGCCAGTTGACTCAATGACAGACCGTGTGATACAGCGCGTACACATGCTAACTATTTGGCCATCCAAATCGCTGACTCTAACAGAGATCCTGGGTATACAATTGGCAACATGTTAAAGGGTTATATTAATAAAGTTATCTTACAGTGTATATTCCAACTTTATTGGGATCTTCAGTAAAAGATTTGTTAATTGTCAGAACTCCAGTATCTTCATCTATAATGAAATATTCAGGTGCTGCTGAATCTCCACGGATTTCATATTTCACCCGACTCTGTTGTAAAAACACAAATAATAATAAATAGTCAAAAGGTTATATAATTTGTTATATACTATCAAAAAATTAAGTAATTTATTATAAATAATCAAGAAAAAGTCGTGTAATTTATTATAAATAATCAAAAAGTTACGTAATTTAGTATAATATGTAATTTGTTATAAATAACCAAAAAGTTATGTAATTTGTTATAAATAATCAAAAAGTTACGTAATTTGTTATATGTATTTTGTTATAAATAAGCAAAAGGCTATGTAATTTGTTATAAATAATAAAAAAGAATTTGTTACAATTTGAAATCATCTAGAAATAGTTATTTATTTTGGTGTTTTGATAATGAGTATGATACGAAAAGCAATTTACCATTGATGGATATGATTAATTTGTGTATTTATTAGCAATCTTTTGGATTTACATGAAATAATAATAATAATAATAATAATATAAATAAAAACTTACTCCTAGTACAGGATCTGCCACTTGTAGAGTAATAATAGGAGATCCAAGTGGTAGGTTTTCAGGTTGTGTGCTACTATATTCTGATGGTACGAAGTTCAGTTTACCAGTACGTGCTATGGTAATAGTAGCGGTAGCCGTGTCCGATAATGATGGTATACCTTTATCATATGCTATCACTTCAAACTAGAAAAAAGAGAAGATAATTCCGAGGTAATGAATTATGCATCTAATGGTGAATTCTTAATTACTACTTGTGAAGTGTCAAAATTCAAATTGAAATGTCGCATTTTTGATACTCAATATGTCCCACTGACACCCAGCTGTCTTCTTTAACCATGAGTATGGTGCAACAAGACAAGCTAAGAACGTCTGGCATTTAAAAAACTGACTGAAAGATGGTTAATAATGGAAATACAATAATCAGAACCTGAAACATGCACAAAATAAACATGTTCTTTACTGATTATGGAAAATAAAACACAATTAGATCTGCAAGGTAGATATGAAAGCTTTCATATTCACAGTCATTTCCTGTCATAAGAATTTCAGCAAAAAAAAAATAATTATTAAAATCAGTCAAAAACTTGCAAAGTTATAAGCTTATATATAAGCATAACAAGTGCTTGGTATTCAAGTTTTACACAGTAATGAATAAAATGGCTGTTTGCCAATCTCCATCAGTATAACGGACAAGGTCACTATCCTGAATATCTTCTTCTCCTACGAGTACTGTTTACTTTACAGTGTATAAAACTGACCTTCAGTCAAACGCAATCACAATATCACAAACATCTATGACTATTCAAAAGTTAACAATATATTTTTTCATCATTTTTTCTATATAATATTTGTGTTATCATATCAAATATTATTAGTATTTCAGAACCTACCAGCCATCTTTCTTGTGTAACAGTTTGAAGGCCAATTCGAGATGAAATGGAGCCTGATTGAGTATCAATCTGGAAAATTCTCATTGCATCAGCACTGCCGAGTCTGTATTCTACCTGGCCATTCAGTGTGCTCTGAAAAAAAATAATTCACAAATTTATTTCAAACACACAAACTCTCTAGTCTAAATCTTTTTCTTGCACACACACTTAAAGCAGCATTAGCTCTTTGGATATCTTAGAAGGTAGGTAAAAATAACAAACTTTTTATGATAGAAATGAAATGAAATGGGGTTAACGTCCTACTGTTCTGCTCCTATACTGGGCTAATGAAGACGGGCATACGCCATACAGTGTGCTATGAGGGAAATTTTGCCCGGGCAGCGGCACTATCGCCTACTCTTATATCGAATTCCAACTGCCAGGGGATCTTTTACGTGCATTACAATATTTACACGGGACCTTGTCAGGCCCTCCGTCCTGTAATTATGATAGGATGCTTTTTGACTATACAGTTACCATGGGTAAGATCAAATTAAGTTATATTTATAGCACAGCTTTCATGAGTTAACAGGTTTAAACATTGAGACTGTAGGTCGAGATGTTACACCTGTTAACAAATGAAGAGTGCTATAAATCACTTGTAACATTGACACCTGCTCAACATGTTTGTTGTTATTGCACAAAAAACCCACTCCACTTTTCTATATGATTTCTACTAAAACTAGTGTAAACCAGCAAAAGTGTGCAATAACATTGAACATGTCTTGTTATTAAACGGTTAAGCTCTACAAAATCTACTAGAAGGAAAACTATCTGCTTCTTCAACGAAAAGAACAAAGGAAGATTTCCTGTCCATGTTTACAAAACTATTTATAGTTCGAGTCAAATCTGCCCATCTTGCATAGTACTTCTTCTGAGGTTTTCCGATTTTTATTTTCATCTTTATATTCAATTAATCAAATTCGACATTAATCTATCTAAAGTACTTACAGCAAGGTCTTGATCACTAGCAACAACGGTAATAATATTGCTAAAAACATCGACGTTTTCTGATACAGTTGTATCAAGACGAGATGTCCTGTCTATAACTGGGGCATTATTACGTCTTACAGTGATTGTAACGGTGGAGGTAGCACTATTTTGGTTAGTACCAGAATCTGTAGCCACAACAATTAACTGAAAAAAAAAAAAAAAAAATAATGAGTCATGTTGTTTTGTCATTACTCCTTAAAGATACCTATTGTGAGCCAACAAGAATCTTCCAGAATTTTTAATTCCGGGGTTCTCCTTTTCTAGGGGTGGCACCTTCAGTTCTAAAAAGGAAGGTGGGTCTAGTCATTTGGATGGGACCAAAAATCAATATGATAATCTCAAAAGTTGACAAGACTTAAAGCACTATTTATTAAAGACAATCTTTCAAAATCATATGAATAAAATTTCAATATAATCAATCATTTTTTTTTCTTTTGGAAGTCAAGTGCAATCAAGATAAAAAAACTGATCTAGGAAGCAGTCATTATTTCAAACAAAAAATACCGTGTATTGGTACTTACTTCGTATTGACCAGGTCTAGCTGTATCAGCAGACGGTCTCTGTTTTACTGATATCAAACCAGTTAAAGGATCAATTTGGAAATAATCCAGAGCATTTCGACTTGGACCAAAAGAGTAAATAACAGATTTCTCGGGTGCCTGTAATATACAATAAACAATAAAACATAATATACATACAGTGAGAAGGTTGTACCTGAATATAGAGTTTAAATACAAAATAGAGTATACAACATTCCCACCATTCTGCCGTAAAATATCTTAAAAATCAATATCAAAATTTACCAATGTTAGTTTCCATTCATAAACGTGATCAATATCAGAATTTACCAATGTTAGTTTCCATTCATAAACGTGATAAAAAAAATCAAAAAAATCCGCTGTCCACACGTCTAATACCATTTACTCAATATATGGATATTTCATTTAAACTCTATAATGATGATTTTAGTATTTCTTATTTGGAAAGATGATATAACAGATGTGCGATAAATACTAGGTTTCTACTCACAAATAAATCGTCATCGGTAGCTGTAACAGTAATGACGGAGGTTCCTGGTCCATCGTAATCATTGATAGTTGCAGTATACGATGGACTGGTGAAAACTGGTGATTTCTCGTTTCTGTTAATAGTGACGACAACTGAAGTGGTAGCTATTTCATTTGGTCTGGCAGTATCAAATACTTCAACCAACATCTGTAAAACAACCATACAATTATTGCTAATCCATTCAATAAATTTGTATATACATGTAGGTAACAAAATATAAATTGTTAAAGTGAACTGCAACTAAAATGGCATTATGACATTCTTCCGTCACACACAGCATTGACAATATGTAGGATATCTATAGGAGTTTGATATTTTCTAATTAAATTCAGATGTGAATAAACGAAATGAAATGAAATGGGGTTTAACGTCCTACTGTTCTGCTAGTATACTGGGCTAATGAAGACGGGCATACGCTATACAGTGTGCTATGAGGGAAATTTTGCCCAGGCAGCGGCACTATCGCCTACTCTTATATCGAATTCCAACTGCCAAGGGATCTTATACGTGCATTCCAATGTATACACAGGACCTTGGGTTTTCGTATCATCCGAAAGACTAGACAGCTGTCCTTGTCAGGTCCTCTGTTCTGCACCACTGACAAGGGGAAACCATGTCGAACCATTTAATTTGTTCATTTTCTACTACAATCTGATTAAAATATAGATCTATTTCGTTTCCTTTTTTTTTATACTTTCGATGGCCTACACTACATGAAGATCTGACAAGTTGTACTTGAAGGTCATGTCAGGGGTTGTACGAGTGGCTTTTGACCCTATGACATCAGACAATGATTAATCAATCAACCTTGACGTTTCTAGTGGTTTACCCACAGTTGTGTGCATGGCATGCCAAGAAGTCGCCGTAACAGACCGTTTCATTGGCTTATCCCTCACTTCAACCAAAGCGCCGGTAATATAACAACTCTTCCAGATCCTAGTGTAGTAAAGACAAGTAAAACGAAATTTTGAACCATAAAAATTGATATGTGACATGAAATTACTGTCCAATCCAGGATCTGTTTTGTGGTGAATTCTGGGAATTTTAAACCACAAATAATAGTGGATCTGATGGGTTTGGGGTTAAAGGGCGTATAGCTATATTCTCTGAAACCTTAAAATAGACAAAATATGTTTTTCTTTGTTCACCAATTCTTCTCATTACAAATGAAGCTCGAGACCATATAGAAGGTGTATCGACACAACACCCTATATGGGGAGAGAAATGGGGTTTAACGTCCACTCGACACAAACTAGGTCATTTTGGGACTAACATATTCAATTTTATTTCAATAATTCACTTGCACGTAGGGGTCTTTAGCAGTGGGAGGAAACCGAAGGACTGGGAGAAAACCCACGAGGTAGGACACAGGTGACCCTACTCCTTGTCATGTACAACCGAGGAATCAAAACCATGCCAGTTGGCTCAATGACAGACCTTATGATACAGCGCGCATGTGCTAACCATTCGGCCATCCAACCCCCGCACACCCTGTAGGATATTATCGCTGACAATAAATAATATACAAAATAACTTTTAAACTGTACTTACTGTGTATGTTACAAACTGTTGGGTATTTAATCGAAGTTGTTGTCTAGTTGTAATTTGACCAGTTTGTGCGTTTATTTGGAAATAGGAGTCAGCTTGACCAAATCCAACAAGACGAAATTGCAGACTTCCCTAGAAACAAAAAGTAAGATGAGAAATACATTAGAAACCAAACAGCTGGATAAAACAATCTTCTGTAACTTATAAACTCTTCCACTACCAAGCCAATTTCCTTGCTGGTCTCAAGTTGCTGGGCTGACGTTAAATAATCATGTATACAAGAAATCTTGTAACCTTTTTATTTAAAAATATTTTTATTTGTGTTTGTTAAAACAACTTATGTGCCTTTGAATCAATTATTATCCGGCTCTTGCAGTTTATTTCTAATCGGGCTAAGATTGAATTTCGGTCTTCGGCTAACTTGGATCTTCGCTTAACTTGGATAAAATTGGACAATCCACTTAAATCCGTGTTAAGCCAAGTTTACTGTATTATATATAGTAATAACATTATATGAGTTTTACCTGCAAATCTGGATCTGTAGCTTGAGCTCTTACAACTTGTACATTTGCATCAGTTGATATAGGTAATGTCTGAGAGTATGGTGCTCCAATAAATCTTGGTGGTCCACTATTATGGCTAACATTGATAGTAACAACCGCTGTACTCTTCTTTTCTGGTGTTCTATCATCAGTAACTTCTACATTAAACTATAACAAACATTATAATAGTCTGCTTAAAACACAAATTCTTATGTAGATTTATTCTCACAATAGGAGAGAGAGAGAGAGAGAGAGAGAGATAGAGATGGGGTTTAATGTCCACTTGACACAAACTAGGTCATTTCGGGACTAACATATGGTTTAATTTTATTTCAATAATTTGCTTGCGCATAGGGGTCTTTAGCAGTGGGAGGAAACCGGAGGACTCGGAGAAAACCCACAAGATTGGACAGGCTCTGACAATAGGAATATCCTACCATTTCTCAATGAATAAGGAATATGTTACAAAAAATAAATACATTATCATGTTATCATATCGTACCACCGATTTCGTAAAATGTCATAGAGAATTCTGATAAAAAAGTGAAAAAAATATATATATACTCCAGTTAAGATTTGTAGAAAGAAACAGAACGAATTACCGGTAGATAATGGGTAGCTTTCACAAAGGAGATATGTTTTTTAAGATTATTAAAAGTACCATCAAATTGAAGAGAAATTTAATCATACTGTATAAGCTTCCTGTAAATCATGATGTATATAACAACTAAGTCAAGTTATCATATCGTAACAATTGTGTTTACTAGTTTAAAAAGTGGATAGATAGTGGACATCTTATATATACGATTTTACTTACCTGGAAGCGAGTGGCGGTGGTTTCTGTCAAATCTTTAGCTACAACAATTTCTCCAGTATTGGGATTGAGATAGAAGAATTCTTTATCTGTATTTGTACCTAGATGTGTATATCTTAATCTATCCTAAATAACAAAATAGAATGTTTCAATATATTATAATTGTTACAGTAATTTGACATAAATATTTATACATTTCTGACTTTTATGTCCACCTATGCAAACGTTTTATTCATGAACCTGAGTTCACTACGTACAGTTGAGCTCAGTTTGAAGTTCTGTTACTGAATGTAAGAGTCCTTTTAAATGAATCAATCGATCTGTAGGCTAGTGGTAGAGAATGATTACTGACAAATTAAAAACAGTTTTGTCAAATCAGCCCCCAACAACAATCACATTTAAAGATACATTATGGGAGATTCGATAACATGTTGGCAGTTCACACTATAATAGTTTAAAAAAAGATAATGTAAAGGCAATTTGCTGAAAATTTCATTCAAATTGTTCCACTATGAACCGAGAACTAAGCAATTGAAATTTCCGTCTTGCCTCGATCATCATTACTAAAGTCAGTACGATAAACAGCATAGTCTCGTTTATCCATTTAATCATTAAATCGTGAATTAAAGTTATGCAGTAAATCAGCTCATAATCCACTAAGATCGCAGGCTAGCAATGCCATCTAGAGTTGATTATGGTCTGGATAGGTTAATTAATGTCTAATTAATAATTTAGATAACATTTCAGGCCTAAAGAAAGACCTTAACCCAGACATATCATTACAGCTAAAAACTTATATATATAGAGAGAGAAATGGGGTTTAACGTCCACTCAACACAAACTAGGTCATTTCGGGACTAACATATGGTTTAATTTTATTTACATAATTCGCTTGCGCGTAGGGGTCTTTAACAGTGGGAGGAAACCGGAGGACCTGGAGAAAACCCACGAGGTTGGACAGGCAACCAAAAACTTATATAACCAAACCATTCTTTCATATTATATATAAAGTAATATGTATATATTATAACATACCCCATCTGAATCTGTTGCTGCTACTGCAAGAACCAAATCTCCTGGAGGACGAGTATCTGCGATACTCACACTATATGGTGAGCCTACGAATATAGGTGTTCCTTCGTTTCTTTCAACATTGATGGTAACAACGCCTTGTTGTTTGTTATTAGGCCAGGCATCATCATAAATCTGAACTCGACACTACAATAAAATCTCTTGTTTTATTTACCATTGACAATCTAATGATAGATGCGTATCCCTCCCCTGCTCGCGCATAGCATATTTTTTTTCGACGACATTAATTGAAATAACGTCATATTAACAAACATGTGAAGCATTGCCGCCATTTTGGCCTCACTCAATCCTATACATATATGCACCTAAATGAGCAGAAATATTGTCTAAGAGCTTTTTATAAAATTCCCTGGTAATTCCCCCCTCAGTCCTGCATAAAAGATTAAGAATAAATGTTTTGATTATGAATACTTACAGTATAAGATAATGTCTGAAGACTATCAGATTTAGGACTGTTCCTTACTCTGATCACACCTGAGTTTCTATCAATTTGGAAGAATGTTTGACATGGGAAATCACCAACAAGTTCATATACCAAATTACCCTGCAAGAAAATAAAATAAATACACTGTCTTACTTTTAATTTATATTTATTAAACCATATTAGTGTCCTCTTGACACAAACAAGGTCATTTTTGGACTAACATATGGTTCAATTTTATTTCAATAATTTGCTTGTTCTTAGGGGTCTTTAGCCGTGGGAGGAAAGTGGAGGACCCGGAGAAAACCCACGAGGTTGGACAGGCAACCCTACTCCTTGTCACACAATGGCAGGCCTTATGATACAACGCACCTGGGCTAATCATTCGGCCATCCCCCCCCCCCTCCAGGAAAAGAACATTGGTCTTCTGGCTCAGGAATTATTGGTTTCCCACTGCACAGTTTTCTGTGCATTTGTACACATTTTCTTACAGTCTTATGTATAATATTTAAGTGCAAATTATTATTTAGTTAATTTAATTAAAAAAGAGAAAGATTTACCTTTAAATCTGCATCAGTACCTTGGACAGTATAGACATTAGTATTTGGTGAAACTGATTCTTTTATATCCACATTTGCAGGTAAACCAATGAAAGAAGGATTAGAGTTATCGCGAGATACTCGAACCCTTACAATACCAGTACCAACTTTAGGTGGACTTCCATCGTCAGTAGCAACTACATTTATCTAAATTAAACATTATATACAAGTAAAGTATTAAATCTAAATTTAACATCTTATATAATTACCATACTAGTAAAGTATTACCCAATCTGATTAAAACACAGATCCAATTTCGTTTCGTTTTTATAGTTCAAAATTTCGATTTTACTTGTCTTTACTACACTTGGATCTGGAAGCGTTGTTATTTAACTTTTGTTCGGCTTAAAATGAGGGGTCAGCCAATCAAATGGTCTGTCGAATCAAGCGTTTGACCTTTTTTGCGCGGAACTGTGGGTAGACATTAGCGGCAATAGAAATCAAAACAAAGCAAAAGTAGATAAAAAATACATGGCGGTCGTTAATTGGTTAATCGAATGACTGACGTAATCGGGTCAAATGTTGCTTGCTTGGTACCTGACGTCATAGAACGTGAACTCCCACTATAACTTGTTAGATCTACATGTAGTGTAGGCCATCAAAAGTATAAAAAACGAAACGAAATATAGATCTATATTTTAATTAGATTGTGTATTACCATACCAATAAAGTATTACCATACCAATAAAGTATTACCATACTAGTAAATTTATTACCATACCAATAAAGTATTAAATCTAAATTTAACATCTTATATTATTACCATATCAGTAAATTATTAAATCTAAATTTAACATCAAGTTACCAGTAAAGTATTAAATCTAAATTTAACATCATATATCATCATTACCATACTAGTAAAGTATTAAATCTAAATTTAACATCATGTTACCAGTAAAGTATTAAATCTAAATTTTACATCATATATCATCATTACCATACTAGTAAAGTATTAAATCTACATTTGACATCATATTACCAGTAAAGTATTTATCTAAATTAATCATACATGTATGTCATTATTAGTAAAATAATAAATGAGATAAGCATGATAACCAATCATGTATGATTGTCAGAAATTGATTAAATCTAAAGAGTTTACATATAAGTAATATTTATCCAAAGGTGTAAATAGCATTTACGGTGATTGACAGAAGGGAGCTAACTCTCATGTATCAGAGGGCGCTTCATTTCATTGCTGGTTGGTAATAACACATGTCAGTGAGTAATAATCATCAGCCAATACTGACAATTCTCCATTTCTGTTGGGATATGTGGCACTAGCAGTCATGAATTTTAGCAATTTTAATAGGATTAGAATAAAAAAAAAACTTACTGTATATTCTAGAGTATTATCAGTGTCTTGAGATAATGGTTTTCTCAAAGATATCAAACATGTTGTTGGATTAATGGCAAAGAATTCCTGGCTTTTAGGAGATCCACTAATTGAGCATGTTACAGTCCTCTGATAAAAAAAAGAACAAAAAAATATTTTAATTAGCTGTCTAAATTAAAGTGTCATTTTATTTGACTTATTACAAACAGTAACAACAAATGTCCAAAATATAGGACATATTATAATACTGTTTATAATAATACTAATTTACATACCGGTACTTACATAGGCCTACTAATATATACTTGTACAAAAAGAGTTCATTGGGATTTTCTGACAGGGTTTCCCCTTGTCAGTGGTGCAGGATGGAGGGCTGACAAGGACAACTGTTTAGTCATTCGGATGGACGAAAAACCGAGGTCCCGAGTACACATTGGTGTGAATGTAAAAGATCCTTTGGCTGTTGGAATCCAATATAAGAGGCCATAGGGCCGCTACCCGGGCAAAATATCCCTCATAGCTCACTGTATGGCTAATGTCTGTCTTCATTAGCCTTGTGGGAGAAGAACAGTAGGATGCTGAACCCCATTTCATTTCATTTTTGTACAAAAAGCCCTAACTTCAACAACACTTGTCTAAAAACCCTTTATATCGATGGAAGACATTTTTTAGTAAAAATCCATATTACAATTAACGTCCATCTAGAGCAAAATATATTATAAGATGTACTCACGCTATCGGGATCTGTCACATTAACTTTATAAAACCAGAAGTTAGGGTTAGTAGCTTCTGGCAGGTCAATAACAGCAATAGGTGGAGTAATAACAGGTCCATCTCTGTTTCTACCAACCGTTATATCAACTGTTGAAGTTGCGGATAAACCTGGTTTACCTGTATCCGTGGCAACAACAACCAACTACAAAAACACAAAAAAAATATATCTTTAAAACATATATGAAAAGCTATATACAATGGAAGTATCAAATACAGATTTTGTATTATACATTGTGGTGATCGTCACAATAGCCCAATATAAACTATTTCAAGTTAAACTTTAATATTGAATTAAGTAACATCTTTATTATTTATTTACTTACTTGATACTTTTCTAATCTTAAAGGATCTTCTCCAAGATTACGGGAAATTGTTATTCGACCTGTAGAATTATTGATTTCAAAAAAGCTAGGAGCTGGATAAGTGCCAATAATCTCATAATTTATTCGTCCCTGAAAGATACAGATACATAAATCATCAAAGTATACTATACAGTTACTAAGACACTAGAATAAATACATTTGAATAAAAACAGAACAGATGTCTATTTTGTATCATTGAATGGTTAGAATAGGTTTTTCAATCAATAGTTGTTGCTGTTTGTAAATGCCCCCAATGCTGAGCATTTTCTTTATTGACCGAGGAAATTTTGTCTTACCCTATGATGAATATAAATGCAACAGATATTGGATGTTTACTAATCACTGTCCATCTAAAAGGTAAAGCTGATGATTTTGATTATTATATCTACTACCTGTCAATAATCTGTACACTGTATCGAACATTACTGGATGTCATTAAGGGAGGTAATTTTGTCTACTAACAAATGCAGCATTAATGGGTGTCCTCGCTAGAGATGAGCGGGCATAATTTATAGGTGACACCATGGAAGAGGTGGTCCCACGTGACCTCAATGTTAACCATACAGCATTGTTTTCCTGTATATTCATTACGAACCGGTGTGTTGACAAACCTTAGTTTTTGTCATTAATATGGAATTTAATCCCAATACTTCGAAATACGGTTCTCTTACCATCAATAAGGTCACATGGAACCGAGTTTTTACTAGCGACGCCTGCCGGGAATTCCTTCAGCAAGAACGGCCATTCCAAACAAGGGAGATAAATCAGAGATTTGAACAAGAATAATATATATAAGAATAACTTACAATGAGCGGTGTCTTTGTAGCTGTAACTGTTGTAATTAATGTCCCTACTGGACTACCTTCTTGAGTTGAACCAGTATAAGTTGTTAGTGTGAAGGATGGTGCTGGTTGTCTTTCTACATTGATTCTGACTGGTGCTTGTACAACTTTAGGTGTAGGATAACCATTATCAGTAACACTTACAGTACACTGAAAATACAATAAATAGAGAATTGACATATTGTAATCAGGGGCATATTAAGTGTCAATTTATATTTTACTCTTACTTGGAACATTTGTGATATATCTATATTTTGAACATTTGTGATCTTTTACTTCATGCAGCCATGTTTTTACCATTTGTTTATTGTAAAGCGGGAGGTTGGGTGGTTGAATGGTTAGCACGTGCGCGCTGTACCATAAAGTCTGTCATTGAGTTAACTGGCGTGGTTTCGAATCCCCGGTTGTACGTGGCAAGGAGTAGGGTCGCCTGTCCAACCTTGTGGGTTTTCTCCGGGTCCTCCGGTTTCCCCCCACTGCTAAAGACCCGTACGCGCAAGCTATTTATTGAAATAAAATTAAACCATGTGTTAGTCCCGAAATGACCTAGTTTGTGTCGAGTCGACGTTAAACCCCATTTCTCTCTCTCTCTCTTTATTGTAAAGCACTTTTGATATTCTTTGTGCAAATGGTGTTATATAAAAAAAATCTTAATAATAATAATAATATTAATATGTAGGAGATTCAGGACTCTAGGTCAAATAGCAGGCTACATAGGGCCAATTTTTAGGTTCAAAAATGTGAGGAGAAAACAAAGCCTTGTTTATCAAATTGTGATAATTTTATTCTGTTTCTGGCCTGAGGTAAAGTAAAATGTTATTTTCTGCTTCCAAGATATATCTGCCTTCGCAAGCCCTTTCCATCGCATGGCTTCTCCGATTTGTTATTTCAATATTAATGGAAATGTCCTTAATTACTACTGTCAGTAACTAACAAGATAGATTAATATACTTACATCGTAAGCAGTTCCAGTAAATGTTCGCAGATCTTTAGTAACATACATAATACCAGTATCTGATGCTATATAGAATATATCTCTACAGCCATTCGAATTAACCAGTGAATAAGTTAATTTGTCCTAAAAGTATAATCCAACAGTACATTAAAGTTAATCTATTCTAAAAATACATCAAAGTCAATTTATCCTAATATATAATTTAACATCCTACAATATAATCCAACAATACATTTGTAAAAAACATAATCCAACAAAACATCAAAGTTAATTTATCCTTCAAAAAAAAAAGAAGAAAAATCAAATACATCATACCCTAAAAAAATTATCCAACAATATATCAAAGTTAAATTATCCTAAACAAATTTAATGCAACAATACATCAAAGTTAAATTCAGATATGTTATTCATACTTGTAAAAATTGTTAATCATACCAAAATTATATATATAATATATTAAGTGTAATTGTGGATACTAATTATCTAAAATATTTTTGACCTTATCTACTTGTCTAACAGTAAAAGAGATGTATTACCCCATCATTATCTGTTGCATTTATTTGTATAACTGGATTGTTAGCTTGATGATCATCACCAATGTTAGCTACGTAGGGTTGACCAGAAAACACTGGTGCGTAGAAATTCCTGTTCATGTTGATGATAAGATCGGATTGACTGGTAAATTGTGGATAGTTGACATCATAGGCTTCAACTCGTAACTGAAAATAAAACCCACGACATTTTGATATCTCGGTAACTGAATCTCTTACAAGCAAAACGTAAATACACCAACCATCTCAACCAACCTCTAATTTGATAAAAACAACAATTCAAAAGATGGATTAACTTATTTATTATATCGGTATTAGGGGGATCACGGTGGCTTAGTGGGTAAGGCGCTGGCTCGCTAGCCTGGAGGTCGGGTGTTCGATCCCTGCATTGGCCGAGAAAGTTCATCCCAATTTTCCGGCGTGGTTCCCCCTTGTCAGGGATGCAGGACGGAGGGCCTGACAAGGACAGCTGTCTAGTCATTCGGATGAGACGAAAAACCGAGGTCCCGTGTACACATTGGCGTGCACGTAAAAGATCCCTTGACAGTTGGAATTCGATATAAGAGTAGGCCGTAGTGCCGCTGTCCGGGCAAAATTTCCCTCATAGCACACTGTATGGCGTATGCCCGTCTTCATTAGCCCAGTTCGGAGCAAAACAGTAGGACGTTAAACCCCATTTTATCTCATTTCATTTATATCGGTATTAGCTTGATAACGTTGAGCGAGTACTCTCGGAAATATATTAGTAGCTGTTTTTCATATGTGCTATACTTTATGATTAACATGGTGTTTACTTTATGTACCAATACATAGAAAAGCCCAGGATCAAAAATATGACACATGTTTCCCATATAGATGCATTAATATATATAATATAGACACATAACTGTACTTTATAAAAATAAAATTCACTAACTATTTCCTGAAATTAAAATATAAACTTACTGTATATGTCAATTCTCTTCCAAGACGCAAATCCTTAGTATTAGTTATTCTACCAGTTATTGGATCAATAGCAAAGTAAATTGGGGCGGTGTCCAATCCTACAATTCTGTAGCGTACATCACTCTATAAAAATAAGATACATATTAATATGTTATTGCAATAAAATCAAAACCAAATATTTTCTACGATTTCTTATAATCAGTGTTTTTGAGAATATATTGTTCAACTTCATTTGATTGACTACTACATCTTCTGAAAATTATTATTTTTTTGTCTGTGAATCCGCCATTCTTAAAAACTTCAACATTGTCTGGGGAGTTGAATAGCCGAATAGTTAGCATGTGCGTGTTGTATCATAAGGTATGTCATTGAGTCAACTGGCATGGTTTCGATTCCCAGGTTGTACGTGACAAGGAGTCCTCCAGTTTCCTCCCACTGCTAAAGACCCCTACGTGCACGCAAAGTATTGAAATAAAATTGTACCATATGTTAGTCCCGAAATGACCTAGTTTGTGTCGAGTGGATGTTAAACCCCATTTCTCTCTCTCCCTCTCCACACTGTCTTCTCAGATAAGTTTTTGTCTTTACAAATGGCGCTCGAAATCATTCTGTCCATTGAGTACACAACATTGTGTACTGATTTTAAAATGTTCATTGTGTCGGAAATATTTCTTATTAGGATCCCATATTTTCACTGTATTTCAATATTGATTGAAATGGACCAATATTGAATTGTAATTCGTGTATTTAATTACTTATATTATGGATAATATTGAGTTTAGCTCCTTTAAATATTGTTAATTTTTCATAAAATAGTATTTGATTACACCTGATGTTTTACTACATAAAATTATTTACCTGAGCTCCTGTTTTTGTGGCCGTCAAATCAAAGACGCTGGAACCAATAGGAACATCTTCACGTAGAGTTGTTCTCTGAGGTGATGGCAAGTTAAAGGATGGAGGTACAATCTTGTCTATATTGATATTAATGATAGCTGTATCTTGTTTAGATGGTCGGCCACTGTCAGTAACAACAGCTTCCAACTATAATATATATAAAAAAATTGTAGTCAATCGGTTGCCATCATCATCATCATCATCCAAAAAAAACCCAACAATTATATACTTTTTTAAAATCAATTTAAAGAACATTCTCCTATACTAACATGTGCAAACAATTCTAAAATACATTTTTGATAAATGATAAATTTGACCGATATAATGTTTATAACTTTTTTTAAATCAATATTAAAGATCATTCTCCTACACTATACTTGTGCAAACAATACTAAAATACATTTTTAATAAACGATAAATTTGACGGACATAATGTTTATATAACTTACAGAGATAATATTTCTATTGATGCCAAGTACAGGTTGTTTAAGGTAGATGCTTCCAGTCTGTGGATCGATGTAGAAATAATTTAATCCATCTCCACCATTTCTATCTCGAACCAAAGAATAGGTGATACTATCCTAAAATATATAATTAAGATACAAAATTTAAATTTCTTTTTATCAGATGACAAAGTAGATAACAGTGATCATAAATTTCTTATATCAGAGAGAGAGAGAGAAATGGGGTTTAACGTCCACTTTACACAAACTAGGTCATTTCGGGACTAACATATGGTTTAATTTTTTTCAATAATTCGCTTGCGCGTAGGGGTCTTTAGCAGTGGGAAGGAAACCGGAGGACCCGGAGAAAACCCACGAGGTTTGACAGGCGACCCTACTCCCTGTCACGTACAACCGGGGATTCGAAACCACGCCAGTTGACTCAATGACAGACTTTCCGATACAGCACGCGCGTGCTAACCATTCAGCCATTCAACCCCCCCTTCTTATATCAAATGAGACAGAAGTCAAATATTCACTCGTTCTAGTTTAACATTTTCTTTTACTGGTATTCATTTTATTTTGTATTCTTAAATTAGCAAGCGAAAGAAAAACGGGGTTTAACATCCACTCGGCACAAACTAGGTCATTTTGGGACTAACATGTGGTTCAATCTTATTTCAATAATTCGTGGGAGGACCCGGAGAAAACCTACGAGGTTGGACAGATGACCCTACTCCTCGTCATGTACAAGTGGGAAATTGAAACCACGCCACTCGACTCAATGACAGACCTTCTGATCCAACGTGCACGCGTTAACCATTCACCCCACGCCCAATTGAGCAAGAAGTGGAAGAAGCATCTATATACTACTTCCCCCCCCCCCAACAACTAATTTATCTTATTTTGAAGCAAAACCTTCAATATATAAAATACAAGCGGTTGCTATGCAATTGATAGGGCTCATTTTCCCAGTGCTTGACATTAAATTTAAATAAAATATGTTCAAATCTGTAGCCTCTATGGCTTTTACAAGGTTTTCCGCTAAGGGGGCAAAAAGCGGTGGACACACTAGCCGAATGATTCAGCCGAATCGTTCGACCGAATCAATCGGCGTCGAAATTCACCTAGTGTGTCCACTGTCATTCGGCCAAATTTCTATTCGGGCGAATCATTCGGGTTTGATATATTCGGCCGAATTATATTCGCCTGGTGTGTCCGCTTCGCCGAAGCATTCGGCCGAATATAGAATTCATTAGCCAATCACCACTCATATCGGGAAGTCACGTGATAGATTGAAGACATAGATGCCGCCATGTTTAATCATGTGACGTGAAAGGTGATGCAATCGACAGGTTGAATCGGCCGAAAAAAATTCGGCGCCGATTGATTCGGCCGAATGATTCGGCTAATGTGTCCACTGCTTAACTGAAAGGAAAGATTAGAAAATGCTGATTATTGACAGGGTCCTTCCTCTCTTAAACCCAATGCCTCAAACCAAATTCAAAAAAAATCTGTTAAAAAGAATAATCTTATTGCAGGCGTATAAAAATTCAGTACTTAAAAATAAAATTGTGTATAAATATAACTACCCCATCACCATCTGTGGCTGTTATATTTTCAACTGCTACAGCAAATGGATGAGTTTCCAGTATTCTGGGATTATAGGTCTTTGGATTAAATGCTGGTGTAAATTCATTACGAAGTACATTAATAGTACAAATAATTTCAGCCGTTCTATCAGGTACATTAATGCTGTAGGCTATGACTCGTAACTGTAATAATAATAATAATATAAAAGATAATATTACATACTCTTACCAGTACTGTAGTTATTAACGTGAATCATAAATTAAGAGACTATATCTCTATCATGAGATACTCTATAAAATGAAATGAAATGAAATGGCGTTTAACGTCCTACTGTTCTGCTCCTAAACTGGGCTAATGAAGACGGGCATACGCCATACATTGTGCTGTGAGGGAAACTTTGCCCGGGCAGCGCCGCTACGGCCTACTCTTATATCGAATTCCAACTGCAAAGGGATCTTTTACGTGCACGCCAATGTGTACACAGGACCTCGGTTTTTCGTCCCATCTGAACAACTAGACAGCTGTCCTTGTCAGGCCCTCCGTCCTGCATCACTGACAAGGGGAAGAGATACTCTATAAAATTTTTGATGAGATCATAAAATGATTAACAAAGCTTATAATGGCAATACAGATAATAAGGGCTGCCCTGAGGCTAACTTGGGCCGGGTAGTAACATAGTTTTCTGGGAGCGTAGCAGGGCTTTACCAGAGCAACGCTCGTAAATAAATACAATATTTAAACAACTTACCAGATATTGTGGTCTAGCAAGTCCATCGTTTTTCAAATCCTCCTTGATGAAGATTTGACCAGTGGAATTATTAATATCAAAGAAACTCTGAGCTGGATAAATTCCTGTTATTCCATACACAATTGCACCCTGTAAGAATAAAAAGTAACATGTACTTAGATTTATGAGAGAGAGAGAGAGAGAGAGAGAGAGAGAGAGAGAGAGTGTTTAATGTCCATGTGACACAAACTAGGTCATTTCGGGACTAACATATTGTTCAACTTTATTTCAATAATTCGCTTGCGCGTAGGGGTCTTTAGCAGTGGGAGGAAACTGGAGGACCCAGAGAAAACCTACAAGGTTGGACAGGCGACCCTACTCCTTGTCATGTACAACTGGGGAATCGAAACCCCGCCAGTTGACTCAATGACAGACTAATGATACAACGTGCACGCATTAACCATTCGGCCTTCCCCCCCTACACAGAATTGTACATCATTATACAATACAATACAAAATCTGAAGTGAACAGAACAATTAACATTGTTGATTATATAGGCTTTGCCTGTTTCCTAATCCTAATATTCAATAAAATATTGTTTAGAAAAAAAAAAAACCATTGGTTTAAAGAGAAATGAGAGTTTCTAAAAATTTATAAATGTCAATCTACATACTATTGAATAAACATGACACATTTAGTTTTCAATTACCAAATACAAGTAATTCTAAGATTTTTACCTGGTTGTCGTCATCTGTTGCAGCAACTGTAGCAAAAGTTGATCCAATAGGTCTCTTCTCCACAATAGATGGTTGACAGTTTCCACTAGTAAATCGAGGTGGAGTTTGATCTTTAGTTATAGTGACTATCAAGTCAACACTACCAGTTTGTGTTAACAATGGTCTGTCTGTGGCTACGATATTCAACTACAAATTAAAATCCAACATCAATAAAAAATGTCTATGCTATGGGTTAACAGTTATGAAAAAGTAACTAAAATATGTGACCTGCTCCCACAATGGTCTGTCTGTGGCTTCGATATCCAACTACGAATTAAAATCCAACATCAATAAAAAATGTCTATGGGTTAACATTTATGAAAAAGTAACTAAAATATGTGACCCGCACCCACAAAACCAGGCTCTTGGTCATTTTTATAAAAACAGACCTGACAGCCTAAACTTTCCAAAATTACAATTCTCTCCAAATATGTCGTATCATCTGGAATTGAGTTCGGCTCATTCACGGCAACAGGAAGGCATACAGTTTATGTGTTTGTGCCCGAAGTACAAAATGAAGTTGTGTGACAAGCGCCTGTTTAGTGGGAGCGGGTCACATATTTATAAATCATTTTAAAAAATAAATTGTTTAAGTGGCATAGTCACCACCCAATCTAGCTGTCTTTATTATCATGTTTTCTTTGTACATATTTCATTACTACCCACCCCTTTGATGGAAATGAAATGAAATGGGGTTTAACATCCTACTGTTCTGCTCCTATACTGGGCTAATGAAGACGGGCATATGCCATACAGTGTGCTATGAGGGAAATTTTGCCCGGGAAGCGGCACTATCGCCTACTCTAATATAAAATTCGCACTGCCAAGGGATCTTTTACGTGCATTCCAATGTATACATGGAACCTTGGTTTTTCGATTCATCCGAAGGACTAGACAGCTGTCCTTGTCAGGCCCTTTGTTCTGCACCACTGAAACCACGTTGGAAAATCCAGATGGACTTTCTCGGCCAATGCAGGGATCGAACACCCGACCTCCAGGCTAGCGAGCCAGCGTCTTAACCACCAAGCCACCGTGGCTCCCCCCTCTTGATGGTTTCTAGATGATTATCTCTGATTGTATATAAATGTTTGTCTTTGTTTCATATTTTGTATATATATCTTCATTGCACTATGGTTGCCATTCTTGGCTTGATAAAGACGGGAGAACCCTCGTCCAAACGTCGCTGAAAGAAACTCTTCAAATAACTTGTATTTCATATATTTGTGTCATTTGTTATTCTAAAAAATAATTAAGAAACTGACTTACAGTGAATTGGTTTTCGACGATGTTAAAGACAGATTTCTTTAAGAAAACTTGGCCTGTGGTTGGATCTATGTAGAAATATTGTGGAGCATTACCAGAACCAGTAATTCTATAGGTTAATGAATCCTGAAACAAAACAGTTGTATATATTAGTAAGTATTTAAGTTTACCTTTTAATTTAATAATTAAACGTCAAAGCGGGGGGTTAAACGTCAAAGTATGGGCCATAATACGAAATTCCAGATATCACACTGAATACCACGGAAAAGAAGGTTCATTTACCCTTTCAAAAATGTAAATTATATACTGGCACATTTACATACGAGTACCTTGAAAAGTATATTAAAGTTGAGTGACGCTAAACACTATTAATAGTAAGTGCAGGGGGACTGCACCACACAAAATTTACACAAAAACAAATACACGGACAAGACATCACACTCAGAAAAACACAAACAAGCAAACAATTCAAAAAGGGTGAATGGATAAGTAAGTCTATCTTTTAATTTAATTATTCTAAAAATCATTCTCCATCTTTTATAAGATTAAATTCAAACTTACAGATTTATTTAATGCATGAATTGTGCCGAATACAATCAATATGTAGTTCCATCATTTTAGATACAGAATATGCTATGATGGTTCTTATTTTGATAAGATTTTTTAATTTTAATAAAATATTTAACTTACTCCATCTGGGTCAGTAGCTACGACACTTTCAACCAAAAATCCAAGTGGACTTCTTTCATCTATAGTAACACGGTACGGTGATTGTCCAAATACTGGTATTCCAGAGTTAATTCTAATATTGATTGGAATATCATAGAATGTCTTCTTTGTTGGTACTGCGGAATCATAGGCTGCAATTCGTAACTGTAAAAACAAAAAACCAACAATATTACAAATGAAACAGATTATTATTAAAGGGGAAGTTTCCCACAAACTTGGGAAATATAAATTCTGTGCCAATAGAACAAGATTCATTAATACATCGTTTTGATCCTTGGTAAACCCTAATAGTCCACTTGTGTCAAATGACACAGAATCTCAGTTCAGCAACTATATATGTAGGTTAGTAATAAAGTACATGTGTATATTTTGACAGTACACTAAAATAATATTCAGATTGAAGGAAATTCATTTTTAGTTTTTCTTGATCAATAAACAGTCACTTGATCCTTGTGAAAAATGCTTTATTTTAAAACATAAAAAGCTGAACTAAGAGCTTTTGAGAAGAGCAACCAAGCTTTATCTTATTTTTAATTCATTTTTTTGATTGATTTTGATTTAGCCTGTCTTGATTTATATCATGAGAAACGTACCATCATGTTTCGTTGTCCTGCTTGTCTCAAGTTTCCTCTGACAGTGATGGCACCAGTACTTGGATCAACAGTAAAGAAGCTTGGAGCTGGGGTATTACCAACAACTTCATAAACTATACTTCCCTGTTTCCAAAGAAAAAAGAAGATTCTAATACATGCATCATATCTACATTTCCAAAAACAATAGTATGTCTTATAATTGTTGGGATTATTTTTTCCAACTAAGTAATATTTAATGTGTTTAGAACAGAACTTTATATAAATTATTATTTAGGCATTTATTAACATAACAAGCCAGTAATCCACTCTCTAACCATCGGATGGCCAAGATTAAAACATTCAAGTACCTTTGCTAGGACAATGAACATCAACAGTATATCTCCAAACACTTATAACTTCGCTCAGATTAAAGTAATTTGAATGAAATTTTCAATATATTCATTATCTATTTATGAAGTATTATAGCAAGAACGTCCAGCTCTTTATCTAAATCATACATACAGCATCTTTAATATAAGAGTTTAATATATAATTACCAGTAAATCAGTATCATTTGCTTGAACTCTTCCTACTGAATTTCCATTTATCAGACTTTCATTTAAATTGAAACCACTCATTGTTTGAAAGATTGGAGCCTGATCAGGTGTAATAGTAATAACAACAGGGGCTGTAACTCTATTGAAGGGAAATCTCTGATCAGTAGCGACAACGTTAAACTGAAATAAACATTATCAACCAATATGTTAGATTTAGTGACACGATATATGTTAATAAAAATGAACTCGGGTTTAACGTCCTAGTGTTCTGCGCCGACTGGGCTAATGAAGACAGGCATACGCTATACAGTGTGCTATGAGGGAAATCTTGCCCGGACAGCAATGCTACAATCAACTCTTATATTAAATTCCATCTGCCAAGGGATCTTTTATGTGCATGCCAATGTGTACACGTGACCTTGGTTTTTTGTACCATTCGAACAACTAGACAACTGTCCTTGTCAGGCCCTGACAAGGGGAAACCATGCCGGAAAATCTCGATAAACTTTCAATCTAACTAGATAACAATAAAAACAAATTCTTCACATGTGTTTTACTTTCGTGCATATTTCCAGGATATCATTCACTTTAACATTAGAAAACAAAAAATGGACTTACTCTATATTCATTTTGAACATTTGCATTAAATGTCTTTTTATGGTAAATAATACCAGATACTGGATCAATATAGAAAAATTCATTATCATCAGGTCCTCCATCTAAACTGTAGCGCACTGCATCCTGAAAATATCCATTATAAACAAATATTTTACTACATTCTATTAACATTTTAGTTTCTAGATAAATAATCTCATGCAGATTGTCGGTCAGCAAAGTTGTGACTTGACAGTATCGATATTAAATCGATTCCTGTTTTTCCAGAGGTGTTAATTGTTTGAAATACAGTAAACTTCGTGTAAGTTGGATCTAAGTGAAGATTCGAGTTAGCCGAAGACCGAAATTCAATCTTAGCTCGATTAGAAATAAACTGCAAGAGCCGGATAATAATTGATTCAAAGGCACGTTTCAAGCTTTTGTTCATATGTGCTGGTAGATAACTTTCATTTTAGTGTGAGTAGATAACTTCTGTTTTGTCGCCATCTTTGAAAAATGTCCTAAAATTTCCTAGAAAATGTCTCATACAGCAGACAGTGAGTTTTGAATTTTCCAGGAAAATTCTACTATGGCGTTGTGTCAAATAGGCTGATTTGAGTCAAAATGATAGAGAAAGTACTTTGGGGCTCTGTGCATGGAATACCTAACCACGTTTTAGACCATCGGAACGAAACTGACAGTAAAATTCTGAACATACTGCCGATCCGACTTAGGCGAAGGAAAAAAGCCGGAATTAGATCAAATGGACCGAGCGACACTCTATCAATTGAATTAAAATCAAATTGAAACGTGGCATGATTGTTCCTTGGACAATTCGACATGATTAGCTGAGTTTGACATTTGATATTGTCAAAATTCCATGATGGCAGCATGGCATCATGCTCACAGTACCTGGTCAATAGAACGGTTGTACTTGTTAATATGTATGAGATATATTACTTCATGGTAAAACAATAGACATATATTATACGTTAATATTTACCCCATCACTATCGGTAGCTACAACTGTTAATACTTGATTACCAACTGGTCTATATTCATATACTGATGCAGAATATGATGGTCTGTCAAATACTGGAACACCTTGATTACGTGTTACAACAATAGTTACATTGATATAACCATAATTATTGGGGAATTCTGTGTCGTAGGCAGCTATTCTTAACTATTAAAAAAACAAAGACACATACAATCATTTTAATAAATATAACAGTAAGCAAAAGTGTTATCAACGTTAAGTTGAATCAAAACAGTTTTTTGTTGTTACACGAAAGTCTAGCCACTTCTACATGAGTTTCACAAGTTTCTAATTTTATTAGTTTCGACTAGAATCACAAGAGATAGAAAATTGAATTTGTGATGTTTATCATATAAAATCTATTCTTACATCAAATCGTTCTACAGTAGTATCTAAGAGTGGTGATTTGACAAATATATTTCCTGTCACATCATTTACTCCAAAGTAAGCCATGGCCAAGCCGTTTCCTACAGCTCTATATCTGATGTCACCCTAAAAATATACAATGTTAAAAATATGTATTATTACAATCAAAATTATGGTTTGGATTCCAGTCAAAAATGGAATTTATTTTAAACTTCTATGCTTGATTTATTGATTTAGTAGTATGCTAAGAGGTAAACCACAACAAATTGGCACATCGCAAAATGGACTTCTTTACGTTCGTTCGTTCTTAGAGTTTTACGTTGACTTCCTCCAAGGGTGATATCGTTGTCAAGATAGACTTCTATTAAGTGTTCCTTTTTATACACTGGATACAGATGCTTTTCCTAAACATTACCAGACCTATGTCACACTCTTTCTTTAATCAAAGTACTTTGCTATCTTTCTTTTGGAATACTGAACTTGATTCATCATGGGGATACTCGATTGTCAGCCCGGAACGTCCCGGAACGTCCCGAATTGATAGAATTTAAATCAATTGAAGTAGAATTCAGTCCTATCAAAGTACTGCCAGTCCCAACAATGGAGGTGATATGGGTAGAATTGTGAGGTAATCAAACACAACCAATATATTTCACTTATCGCGGTTGGTTGAGATATTTTCTCATGCACTCGGCACATGCCTCCTAACTTGAAATACTCCTTTTCACTCGATTGTCACAATTTTATAACCATATCTTTGTATGTACCAGTCTGGCAAGGGACAAAGTATAGTTATTCGGATGGGACAAAAAACCAAGGTCACGTGTACACAATGGTGTGCATGTACTAGAACATGTGATAGTTGGAAATCATTAAAAGTCTGCTGCTGTCCGGGCAAAATTGCCCTCATAGAACACTGTATTTCCGTCTTCATTAGTCGAGTCGAAGCTGAACAGTAGGACAATAAACCCCATCTCATATCATTTTATTTCACATACCTGTCGATCGTTATCTGTGGCTGTTATTTGTCGAATATTTGTATTAACAGACATAGTGTCAGGTATTGTGACAGTGATAGCTGACGGTGTAAAGAATGGGCTTCCACCATCACGTTGTATCGTGATAGATACTGAGGCTTGACTCCTTTTCTGTGGTGATCTGTTATCATAAGCTATCACGTTGAACTGCAAATGTCGAAAGCAACAAATCATATTACATTCTTTTAATACATAATACTGGCTCAAGATAATTATCAATTCATTTGATATGAGTATGCTATTAAATTAAATTTGATCCATTTTATTATAAACCCCCCCCCCCCCAAAAAAAAAAATGAATGACAACTTACAAGATAATTGTTTTGAGGAGCTTTGGTCAGATCATCGCGGACATAAACTATGCCTGTCAGACCATCAATGAGGAAATATTTTTGGGCTTCGATGCCACTTGCATCATTACTGATATAAAATTGCACAGTATCCTGTAAAAGATGACATTTGTTAATATCAAATAGAATATGGCAGACAAAGACGTATACAAAATGTAGAAATAATTCATAATTCATAGATTTATAATGCACTTTATCCACATAAAGCCTGATACAATTACTATTACAGTCTATAGGATACAGGTAAAGCCTGATGAACTTCTACCACTGGTCAATAGTCCGATTAATAACCAATAGCTAAATGCGTAACAGTATCATTACGCTTTAAACAGAGTTCCAGATCGGACCAAATATGTTTACATAATGTTACGTCATGACTCACGATTTTATTATGCCCATTTAACCAGTGCATAGCAGAATATTGCAGAAAAACTAATTGCGTGACAAACGAGACTATCAAAACGAATACAATGTAAACAATACAGTTTGGAGACGAACAATACTTTCACTATTTTAATACCTTAAATCACTGTCCAAAGTTTTAGGGAAGACCCCAAATTAAACGAAGGGCTGTCATGTTGCTGTACTTACGAGAGATTTGATTGAACGTGAAGAAAAGACACACTCCCTCAAAAGCTCAAGTATCAGAAGCTTATCCAGCAATGGCCAGAGAGGGATTTCTCGGGCCATTGCTTTAGGAATATTGGATAATGTATCTTATTCAAGGATAAAAAAAACTTGACGCCAAATCATCTGGTACTTACCCTATCGGCATCAGTTGCTATAACTTGCAATATACTTCTTGTAACTGCATAAGTTTCAGGAATGCTTTTAGCGTAAGAAGTTGGCTGGAAGACGGGGCCATTAGGATTTCTATTGACTGTGATGGTAACTGTTTCTGTAGCCCTTAGATTTGGGTTGTTGGTATCATAAGCATCAACACGTAACTAAAAGAATTTGAAGGTCATTATTCATACATTGACAATATTTACTCTTAATCTTACTTTGATAGTAAGTGCAGGGGGACTGCACCACACACAATTACACAAAACAAATCTACGGACAAGACACAATAGGCAGAAATCACAAACAAACATACATATCAGATTAAGTGAATGCAGGGGGCTAGCCGTAAGCGTCCATTGATGTTAAATATAAGGAAAAATATATTTCTTACTGAAATAAAAATATCTTATGACTAATGAATGGAAAATTATATTCTATTTCAGATCAGAGGGTTGGGTGCTTGAATGATCTGTTTCTCTCTATTTCAGATAAAAAAATAGTTATTGTCTGCGAGTAGAGATGACACTCTGAGATAGGTCAGTACACTACAGCTATCCTTTACACTTTATAAATAAATATATAAATCAATAATTAATTCATGCTTACCACATACGTTACACCGCTGTTTGTGTCTGTTGATAAGTTCCGTGTAACTGTAATATCTCCGGATGTTGGATTTACGTTGAAGAAATTTGTTGCAGGAACAAAGCCAATGACTTCATATTGAATTGCACCCTGTATAATAAAACAGTAAGAAATATAACTTCGTAATAAAGAGGTACTGACTTGTAATTTGAGACCATTAATTCTTAAAGACTCTATGCATGATTTTAGAATCCCTTGCAACCTACAATATTATGAACGTTACATCTCTAATTATAGGGATACAAGTCCAAAAATGGGCTAATAAAGACGGGCATACACCATACAGTGTGCTATAAGGGAAATTTTGTCTGGGCAGCGGCACTATCGCCTACTCTTATATCGAATTCCGAAGGACTAGACAGCTGTCCTTGTCAGGCCCTTAGTTCTGCACCACTGACAAGGGGGAAACCACATCGGAAAATCCAGATGAAATTTCTGGGCTGTCCAACACGGTGCAATTCTGCTTAGTATTTACAAAGATATGATGAAATAAAAATAACATCAATCTATGCTGCTCCCTATGTTACAAGACAACCACCGTCTTTATTTGCTGTGAACCAAATTGATGGGCCTGTGTTTAATTCGATTGAGTCCAAGCCAGTAGGTTATCTAGCATTGGTATTTTGATCTTTGTTTTCTTAATTAAATGTTTAATAATCAATCTAAGTAAATATTAGCGAGGATTAAGCTATGAGAAATTTGATATTTTCTGAAAAAAAATAGAAATCATGCATCTTTACTTTAACGAGTATTACGACCACTAAAGACTGGAAGAACGTCTTTACAGAAAACAATATGAAAGGTTACCTTTAAGTCGTCATCGACAGCTGTAAGTTTAAAGATAGATGAACTGACAGACTGTGTATATGGTATCGTTCGAGCGAAGTTAATATTGGTGAATCTTGGTCGTATATCTGATGGTATACGTTGTATATTGATGGTAACACCAATGTTACTTGATTTATCTCTGTTAGTGTAGGCCTGTACAGTAAACTGTGAAAAACAGATAAAACTTTACGTATTTGATTATAAAGGCTCTAAAAATAAGGTCACATCAACTTGAATTTCTATTCTTAGGGAACATCTAATATAAATACTGCCTCCATTTCTTCACGAAAAAAAACTAATTTAAAAGAAAAAGAACTTGGTTGCTCTTCTCAGAAACTTTTAGTTCTGAATATTTAAGTTTTAAAATTTTAACAAACCATCGCACATAAGAATCAAGTCGGCTATTGGTTGATCAAGATCCCAAAGGATTAGAAATTAAATTGGTTTTGTCTATGGATAATTTTTATTGGTTCTATGGGTAAGACAGACAGACATAATGTAACTTACTGAATATGTATTACTAGGAGCGCCAGTAAGAACTGCTCTAGTTTTCATCATACCGGTATCTGGATCAAGATAGAAATAGTTGTTTCCGCCGGCTGGTTGAGAGTTGATAATGCGATATCTGACCACATCCTATAATAATATACCATTGCATTTATACAAACAAAGTTAAGGTAAGGGTAATCATGGAATCTATTACTGTACTGAGAATACTGTAAAGGACAACAGCCAATGGGGAGGGGCTGAGAATTAGTCTGCGAGTAAGCCAAGGGACCCCTAAAGAAGTTAATTATCTCAAATTGTTTGGGGGCCATTTTATTAGTCTTGATTTATGTCATCTTTGATAAATAGGTCAGATTGCCACATGCGTTATTTGTGCATGTAAGCGAGAAACATGAGGATATACTCTAGAAAGCACCAGTTATGGTTAATTTTTTAAAAATATTAACGAGGTTGTTTAACTACAGCCAATCTGAACATTAGAATATTATCAGAAATAATATTATGGTTCAATTGATCTATGATAATATATTTACTCTATATCGAATTCCAATTGGTATTAATCCCTTTCGAGTTCTATTTTAAAAATACATGTACATTAAGATAACAAATATGACACTCTAACATCAGTTTTCTTTTTCATTTAATTTGTAAGAAACTTACCCCATCGGCATCAGTAGCTGTTATATTTAGAAGTTCGGTATCAATATCAACTGATTCGATGATACTTATCACATAGCTTGTATCAAGGAAAACAGGAGCATTAGGATCACGTGTGACGTAGACTATGGCACTTGTATCAGCTTTTCTGTTGGGATAAACACTATCATATGCTTCTAGGAACAGCTAAAAAAAAATACAAGTAATAAAGATTTTATGCAGTAGGTGATTTATTGACAAACAATAAAACCTTGTAAATCACCAAAGCACCTTACTAAATTGCCTTTCTAAAAAAAAATCTTTTTTTGTTTTTTTACAAAGTTTTAATTTAAAAAAAAAAGAATGTTATTGTATATGTTTTAATTTAAAAAAAAAAGAATGTTATTGTATATATATATACAATAACATTCTTTTTTTTTTAAATTAAAACTTTGTATATTATTTTGTATATTATTTTCAGACAGGAGGACAATGTATACAGACTGACACTCCTACAGTTAACGAAAACGAAATGAAATGAAAAGGGGTTTAACGTCATACTGTTCTGTTCCTACTGGGATAATAAAGACGGGCATACGCCATACAGTGTGCTATGAGGGAAATTTTGACTGGACAGTGGCGCCACAGCCTACTCTTTATATCAAATTCCAACTGTCAAGGAATCTTTTACGTGCATGCCAATTTGAATGTCTAGACAGCTGTCCTTGTCAGGCCCTCCGTCCTGTATCACTGACAAGGGGGAACCACGCCAGAAAATCTGGATGAACTTTCTCGGCCAATGCAGGGATCGAACACCCGACCTCCAGGCCAGCGAGCCAGCATCTTACTCTCGTTAACGTAAAACAATGATGTACTTACAGTGTATGATCCGAGTTGACCAGGCTCATTTCTAACTGAATTTATCATTGATATAACACCAGTGACATTATTGATGGCAAAATACTGATCTCCAGGATAGTTACCAACTATTTTATATACCATTTGGCCCTAAACAAACAAAACAACATAATTTATATTATCTCATTGAATGATAATTGTATTCAGATTTTAGGATTATTTACCTGTACAGGTATCATTTATTTATTAATGAGAACCTGAGAATGAATCAATATAAATTATTTATGTCATAAAGTGGTATATTGAATATTATTGTGATCTGAAACTTAAAACAATAAAGTTTGGATTAACTTAGTGTAAAATTTAACAGCCGAACATTAAATACTAATGGTTTATGAAAATCACAGAAACTCACAAGTAAGTCTTGGTCAGTTGCTTGAGTTGTTATGATGCTGGTAGTAAGGGGATCACTTTCTTCAATTGTTCTTCTGTAAGGTGCGTTTATAAATATAGGCTTAGAATCAAGGTTAACGTAGATATATACTCTTGCAACTGCTGTTTTTCCCCTAACAGGACGCTGATCTGATGCTTGTACAGTAAACTAAAGAGAAGAAAAAAAACGACATGAGCAAAATAAAATCTTCAAACAGAAGGCGAGAAATCAAATTAGATAATAAAAAAAAAAAAGATGTAGGGCCTACTGACAAATATTTTAGAATAAAAATTTATGATTATACACAACAAAAGGTTTTCTTCAAAGTGTATATTGGTTAAACAATTGACTAACACTAACAATCCTTACCTTCACGCCAACACCCTTGTTAACTCTATTCTGTCCATGTACATTGAGGCCAAAACGTTATCTAACCTATTTTTTTTTGTTTTAGTCATCTAAATTACTATATACAGAACACTTTTCAGTACTTATTCTGTTTTAAGTAAAATACATTAGATAGTTTTGTTGGCCACATATATACAAAATATGGTAATACTACATACCATATACCAGTAGGACGTTAAACCCCATTTTATTTCATTTCATTTAATACCATAGATTTTGCAGTATTAAATTGAAAAATGTGACAATTGTAATAGAGAGAGAGAGAGAGAGAGAGAGAAATGGGGTTTAATGTCCACTCAACACAAACTAGGTCATTTCGGGACTAACATATGGTTTTAATTTTATTTCAATAATTTGCTTGCATGTAGGGGTCTTTAGCAGTGGGAGGAAACCGGAGGTCCAGGAGAAAACCCACGAGGTTGAACAGGCGACTCTACTCCTTGTCACGTACAACCGGGGATTCGAAATGACAAGCCTTATGATACAGCGCGCACGTGCTAACCATTCGGCCATCTACTCCCCCCCCCCCCCCGACTATTGTAATAAAATTATATACATTTAGCAGTACTTACATTGTAGAATGTGACAGGTGTATTAACAATTGATTGTTTAAGATATATAAGACCATCTACAGGGTTGATATAGAATGTATTAACTACATTTACATCATTAGATACAATAGAATATCTCAATACATCCTGTAATATATAAAACACAATAAACATCATCAATATGCCTTATATCATATTTATATTATGGGAGATTAGATAGAGAGTCGGAAGTTCTCACTATAATGGTTAAAAACTAGATAATGTAAGGGAATTTGCTGAAAATTTCAGTCAAATTGATCCAACCTGAACCGAGAATTTAGCAATTGAATTTTGGGCCTAGCCTCGATCATCATTACTAAAGGCGTTAGGATGAAAAACATAGTCTAAATTATCCATTTTTTGATTTAATCAGCAGCAGCAGACCAGGTTCTAATCCAATAAATATCACAGGCTAACGATGCCATCAAGAGGTGAATATGGTCTGGATGAGTTAATTAATGTCTAATTAATAATTTAGATAACATGTCAAGCCTAAAGAAAGACCTGCAATTGGCAGATTTAGCTCTTGCATAATGTATGTTTAATGGCATTACAGGTACATGTACAAGCAAGTTAACTTTAAGCCAGATTTGTTGGTGTTCTTGCCATTATTTTTTTTTCTTCTAGTTTATAGTTACATACTAACTATTAAAGTCTCGGTTACCCTGACTACTGTTTTACTAAATGTTTTGTTAACAGGACAATAATTATCTCTCAATTTCGTACAATAGTTGTTGCATGTATAAAATTATGCGCACAGAAGTACTGGACATCTAGAGAGCCACAGTGGATCAATGTTTAAGGCACTGGCTCACTGGCTTCTATCCCAGTGATGGCCGAGAAAGTTCCTTGTAAAAGAACCCTCGACAGTTTGATCTCAAACTTCCCCTCATTTCATTAGACATCTAAACAGAGAAAGACAAAAATATGATTACCGTATTTTTCGGTGTATTAGGCGCACTTTTTTTACCAGATATTTTTATTTACAGAAGGGGTGCGCCTAATACATAGTATTAAGCAAATCTAGACTTTTCCCGTGTCAACATCGAGGTCTGAAGTTGATGATGTCGACATTTTTCGTGCAATAAAGATGGCGGCCATTTCACCTACTGCTACCGGTATTCCATATACCGTTAGTCATAAACGACATTGCTAACAATATGGGCCGATAGTATTTCAAACTGTCCTATTCCACCTTAAATTATTTCTGACAATTGATCTTTGTCAACATATATATATTATGTTTATCCTTACCCCATCTTGATCGACGGCTGTGACATTTTCAACGCTACTACCAACAGCATGATATTCTGATATAGTTCTATTATATGGATTAATCAAGAATTGTGGACCATTTGAGTTTCTATTAACAAAAATAGAAACTTCAATCGGAACACTTGGATTTCTTTCTTCTAATGAATCATAGGCTATCACATTAAACTGAAAAAAAAGAAAAAAAGAATTAACATATTATATAGAGATTTCTTTAAACATACATTATGCAAGAGCTAAATCTGCCAATTGCAGGTCTTTCTTTAGGTCTGAAATGTTGTCTAAATTATTAATTAGGCATTAATTAACTCACCAGACTATAATCAACTCATGATGACATCGCAAGCCTATGATATTTACTGGATTATGATCCCATTTGCTGCTCGACTTCCATTCATAATTTAATCATGACATGGATGATCGAGACTATGTTTTTTATCATACAGACTTTAGAAATGAGGCTAGGCCGAAATTTGAATTGCTTAATTCTCGGTTCATAGTGGATCAATTTGACTGAAATATCCAGTAAATTCCCTTTACATTATCTAGTTTTTAACTATTATAGTGAGAACTACAAGCTCTTTATCTTATCTCCCATAATGTATGTTTAATATTTATTTTTAAATTATATTCAATTCTATAAATTACTCTATATTTATCAGTAAATATGTGAGAATTTTTGTTATATAAATATACACTATATTTTATTGAATGTATTACTTAGGAATAATCACTTTGGTCAAACTATTTTTTACTTACACGATAAGTTTCTTGATTAACATAACGAACACTTTCTCTCAGCGTAATACGTCCAGAATCAACATCTAAATTGAAGAATGCTGGTCTCGGTTCTACTAGAGCATATTTAATAGATCCCTGGAGAAAAAATAATATTAACTTTCAGCATTCCTATAGTATCAAAGTCAAGGATAGCTTTTATTTTCTGGAACAGTGTCTAGTTGTACGAATGGAACAAAAAACAAGGTCATGTGTACACATAGACGTGTATGTAAAAGAAACCCTTGAAAGTTGGAATGTGAAATTAGAGTAGGCTGTATATATAGTGCAACTGTCTGGGCACAGCCCTGTATGGCGTATACCTTTCCTTAGTAGCCCAGGGCCCTATTTCACAAAATTTTAACTAAAGATAAAATTCAAATTTTAGCAGATACTTCAATTTTGATTGGCTAAGCACTAAAATCAATCTAATATTATCCAATCAAATTACTAAAATTTGGATTTTATCTTAGTTAAAATTTTGTGAAACAGGCCCCCGTACGTGCAGATAAGTAGGAGGTTAAACCACATTTCATTTCATTTCTTTTATTTCCCGAATAGATATTAGGTTCAGATGACTTTTATATATTATTTTCATATGATAAATCTTTTGAAAATCTTCCATGACAAAGTAAATGAATTGCCAAACAATAATATATGATAAATGCGATAAATATCCACACACCTTTAAATCATTATCTCCAGCTGTTAGTTGTAAGATAAAGGTACCCGGTAAAGTAGTATCTTCAATCGTCTCAGTATATCGGAGTCTGTCAAACGTTGGTAGTTCTGCTTGTCGGTTAATTCTTACAGTTACGGGAATGGTAATACATCTTTTAGGTACTCCGCTGTCACATGCTTGTACTTGTAACTATATAAAATAAATATTTATACCATCTTATTAATGTCAACCCTCAAATGGCCATTGATATAATGTTAAGATGTTAATACTTACTGTGATAAAGAAAAATAATAAAAAAACCCACCAAAAAAACAACACAATTTAATATCAGAAGTTTTTTGCCTATTGAATGTGTCTCTCTCTTTAAGACTGTTGGACTAAATAGTGCTGGGGATAGAAGTGGGGGGAGAGAGGACACTAAGTGATCTGTAAATGAGTAAAAGTAAAATAATAATAAAAACCTGACAAAAAACAACACAATTCAATATCAGAAGTTTTTTGCCTATTGGATGTGTCTTTCTTTAAGACTGTTGGACTAAATAGTGCTGGGGGATAGAAGTGGGGGGAGAGAGGACATTAAGTGATCTGTAAATGAGTTACTGGGAATTGGTTTGTGAGTGTGGTGGGAAGGGTGGAGACAAGAGAAGAAGGGACAGGAAGAGGTTACTGGGAATTGGTTTGTAGAGGGTTGTGGGGATAGGGTTAAGGGTGGGGGGTGCGAGAGAGAGAGAGAGAGAGAGAGAGAGAGGATGATCAGTTGTAATGACTTACCAAGAACTCGTTGATATTTGTATTCAAGACAGATTGTCGTAGAACGATAACACCTGTATCAACATCAATGAAGAAATAATTTGCTGGTCCAGTACTTAAATCTCTTTGAATAGTTTCACTTAGGATGTCGTATTTAATGGTATCCTAAAACAGAAAATACAAGGTGATAAAATATAGGAAATTCAAGAATTTTAATCGAAAGTGGGCAAAAAAATTTATAACAAGGATAAAAAACATATCATTTAAAGGTGCTTGATTAGACATTTCACATGAATTCTATACTTCTAAACATACTTGTTAGACACTCATCATTGGAAAAATAATGCTAAACTTACTGTAGGATCAGCATCAACTGCTGTCACATTAACAACCGAGCCTAACACAGGATGATCTTCTGGTATAGTTACATCATATGATGGTACTACCCACCTTGGACCATTAGCATTACGTATAACATTAATAAAGGCAGTAGCAGTAGCAGTCAGATCAGGTCTAGCATCATCATATGCCTTTAATCTCATCTACAATAACACACAAAAAAACCCAATGTTTAAGAAGAAATCTGCTAAAAATATTGATATCATTTACACAATTATTGCCCTGTTGTCAAAATATTTTTTGAAGACAAAATATTGTGGTGAGGCAAATGTGTTGAAGACCATTATCTAGGAAATTGTAAAAATTAAAGATGAAAATTCTATCTGGTTCTGTGGTAGGTATTTGTATATAAATCCTGCAAATTAGTTATATATGATGTACCTATATAAGATTTTTATACTTTATTTTCCAAGAAGACATAAATATTTTTTTAAAGCTAGTATTACATTTCCTAACTACTTGTACCATTCTCAATTCAACAGCTTTCAAACTGAGAGTAGTCTCAATCCTTAAAGGGGATAGACAAACAATTAAAAGTTATCAATATATAAATTTACAGTTTAACATACCACATATTGTTCCAGTCTGGTAAAATCTGTCATTAGATCTTTCATCAGAGTAATGTCCCCTTGACCGTTAGTTATAGTTCCTAGTTGGAAGAAGGTTGGTGCAGGGTAATCGCCTTCCACTTCAATAACAATTTTTCCCTAAAAAAAATAAAATTAATATTTATATCAAAGTAGATAAAATACAAATAAAATTAATATTTATATCAAAGTAGATAAAATACAAATAAAATTAATATTTATATCAAAGTAGATAAAGTACAAGTACTTCTATATTTATGGTAGATATAAATACATAAAAAAAAAAGAAATATGTATCTATTTTTAAAAAAAAATCAATCACTTTTACTTCATAATTCTGATATAAATCAAATTATAAGCTAGTTGTCTATCCTTAACAAGCGATAAAGATAAATACTCTATCCACACTATTTCACTTTATAGATCAAATATATAAAGTCAGTTTTTCTCAAATTATTGGTCAGAAGGCAGGCGAGTTAAATCATCTTTAAATCAAAGAATTCACATCCTTCCTCGTAACAGAGGACAAATCAACGAACAAATCAACGAACAGACGAACAAACGAAGGAATTTTAATGAGTTTACTGCAGTCTTTCTATTTAGATTGTTTATGACTGAATGCACGTTACAAGGATAATAAAAAGATTACTCACAGAAAGTTGATTATCAGCAGCAGAAACTCTTAAAATAAATGAGCCTACAGTAATATTTTCACGGACTGTTACATTGTAGACAGAATTGACAAGATTTGTAAAGAATGGTCTTGTGTTATCTCTAGATACGGTAATAGTAACAAAACTTGTTGCCCATCGTTCTCTCACAGCATTATCAGTGGCATTTACAGACAACTGTAAAATAAAATTTAGAATTAGTATTATTACCGAATAAATTATAAATTATAAAAATTTTACTATACAAGCTGTTCAATTTATACTATGGAAAAAAATAAAGAAAAACACACAACGAAATCACCCCATGGCTATATAAACAATACTACAACAATACATAATCAAGAAAAAAGAAAAGAAAACAATGTATATAAAATTAATGCAGCCTGATGTACCTTTTGGGTGGTGTCTTGTAGTTGTAATATGAGAGAGGGAGAGAGAGAGTGGGAGAGTGAGAGAGAGAGAGAGAGAGAGAGAGGGTTGAACGTCCACTTGACACAAACTAGGTCATTTCCGGACTAACATATGGTTCAATTCATTTCACTAACTTGCTTACGCATAGGGGTCTTTAGCAGTGCGAGGAAACCAGAGAACCTGGTGAGGTTGGACAGGCGACCCTACTCCTTGTCACGTACAACCGGGGAATCGAAACCACAGCAGTTGACTCAATGATAGACCTTATGATACAGCACACACATGCTAACCATTCGGCCATCCAACCCCTCTACCGTGTAACATAAGACACACCATTTACTAGATATCTATAACGACATCATTGATGTTCTTCAATAACACTGATCATCCTATTATCTAAGTAATCATTTTTATATTGTTTTGTGATTTACAGAATATCAGGTCTGTATTTAAAGTTGGAATATAAAAATGTGTATTGAAATTAATGTGGCTGACATTAAACAATGTTATTACTGTTTGTATGTATGCATGCTGTCCATAATGGACGTTTTGATGCAATAAATATCTTATCTTACCCTATATGTTCCAGCCGTTTGACCTTCTAATGGTTTACTGACACTTATAGCACCAGTATCACTGTTGACATTGAAAAAATTCATTGCATCTGCATCACCGGTAGCATAGTAAGATATACGATCACCCTGTAACATATATACAATCATATATCATACATATTACACTACAATAAATATAAACTACAAACCAAACAAACCTAATGCATTCGGATTAAAACACAGGTCCTATTTTGTTTTGTTGTTATATTTCAAAATTTCGTTTTACTTGTCTTTACTACACTAGGATCTGAAAGAGTTGTTATCATTGAGGGGGGTTCTAAATTGTGTGGAGGGGGGGTGGGGGGTAGCCAATGAAACATTCTGTTACGGCAAGCTTTAGGCGTGTTTTGCATGGAACTGTGGGCAATCTACTAGTAACAACAATGCTGATTGGTTAATCAAATGTCTGATGTCATCGGGTCAAAAGCCGCTCGTATGACCTCTGACGCGACCTATCGCTACAACCGGTCAGATCTTCATGTAGTGTAGGCCATCGAAAGTATAAAAAAAACGAAACGAAATATAGATCTGTATTTTGATGTTACTGGTCATTTCAGACGGACATAAAATAATACTTTTCATTTCTACGGTTATGAATGTAATACAAGTTGTAAAATCTTCTTCAAACTGCAACTGTCAAGGAATCATGAACTGGATCTCATTTTTCTGTTTTAATTTTTTTTGTCAGCCCAACAGATCTGGACTTGAAAATCACAAACACGTTGGTGTGGGAGGTCCTGGATGTTAGTCCTGATGACTTAGTGAGACAACCACTGCAGAGCCCTTGACAGTTAGAGGTAGTACCAAATAATAGCATCGGTTGATATATTAACTTGTATTGGCCTTGTGTCTTGTGTTGGCCTTAGTGCTGACTGCAGATCTATTTTTAGCACACTCCGGAGTAGACTGACAGAGAGGGACAGAAGAGGATTGGCTATCAGACAGCACTGCTGTTAAGTCAAATTTCTTGATTGCATCTGTTGTTAATTTAATAAAGTTTTCTTGAATGACTTTGTCAAACTGACTTTGTCACATATATTGCCAATATATTATTAACATATATACATTATCATCAGTAGCAAGTATTGGTGTGGGAGGTCCTGGATTTTAGTCCGAATGACTTAGCAAGAAAACCACTACAGCCCTTGACAACTACAGGTAGTAAAAAATAATAGCATATATATATATATATTAACATACATCAGCATCAGTAGCCCGTATATTGAAGAATGATGTTCCAACTGGTAGTTTTTCATTGATGTTGTCACTGTAAGGTGTTCCGACAAATACTGGAGGATTTTCATTTCTTAGTACTGTGATAACCACTGGTGCGGTAACTGAGTTTCCAGGATAAGCACTATCATACGCTTTTATTTGAAGCTGTAATAATCAACAGACAAGAATGATTTTAAATATCACATCAAAGTTTGTCAGATTGCAGTACATTTTTTAACTAAATATTGGATTTACCTGAAAATATTTGATCATTGCATTACTTTATTGACATCAATAAGGAGTGACTTCCCAAACTTCCCACTTTAAAATGCTATTGCATTTCAAATGATTTTGAATTAATCCTGATATTACATGTATATACGTCTTTGTAGTTTAGGAGGGACTTATAGAAGATTAGTTTTTTTGCAAATTAAATACGTTGTCTCATTAAATAAAGTTTTTATTATTATTATTATTATTATAAACTAAAAATGAGAGAGAGAGAGAGAAATTGGGTTTAACTCCACTCGACACAAACTAGGTCAGTTCGGGACTAACATATGGTTCAACTTTATTTCAATAATTCGCTTGCACATAGGGGTCTTTTAGCAGTGGGAGGAAACCGGAGAAAACACACAAGGTTGGACAGGCGCATGGCTAAAAATTCGGCCATACAACCCACCAAAATTAAAATAAATATAAAAGGTTATTTTAGTATAGAGCACTATTGTATTAATATTTACCGTGTATTGGAATGTTGTTGGATCTGTTAACAGACTGTTTTTGATTGTTATCGCTCCAGTTGAAGAATCGACATTAAAGAAATATGGTGCTGATCCATCTCCAACTGTTTCATAAACAATACTTCCCTAAAAAACAAAAACAATAACTTATGCACATAAGCAAATAAAATAATCTTTTCATGTAACTGAATCTTAATATGATGTCAAGCATGTTTTGCTCTTCTTTATTTCAGAAGTTTCGTCATCTCTAGCACTATTATCTTTAAATTTTTAGTACGAAACAAGAGCAAAAAAACTGATACAAATAGTTTGAACCTTGGCATTGATGTAAAATAAACAAGCATTACACAAAATTAAAATAAGACAACTGACACCTACCCTCAGATCATTATCTACAGCTGTAACGGTTTTGAAATTATTGCCAACTGGGAGGTTTTCAGAAATAGTAATTGGTGTTGCTCCAAATGTAAATCTAGGTGGATTATTATCTCTCAGCACATTGACTCTTACATTGGCTTGAGCTGTTTTTGCTGGTGTACGTTGATCACTAACTCTTACAACCATCTAAACACAAACACAAGATCATTAGGTGTGAACAATAACATCACACTACAGAAAAACTCCTCTTTATAAATAAAGCACAACAGGATAAGAGATCACACCTCGACGCCCCATACCCCGAATTAGTTTATTTAAAAGAATTTTCTATTCAAAATTTCTAATCAATCTTTAATTGATATGACAAGTATAAAAATAGCCATGGGTTTTCAATTCAAAACTTTAGCCAGTCAATCAATCTTGTAAAGGAGAAACCTGATGGGGTTCGGTTAAATCTGATTGAATCCAAGCTAGGAGGTCATCTAGCATTGGAATTTTGATCCCTTATTTCATATAGTAATGCCACCTTTCATGGAAGAGTTCCCTCTTCTTTATTCTTTATTGGAGTACTCGAGAGTTATCTCCCATATGTGGAATCTTTTGTACTCAAGAGAGGTTGAATAAAACATGGCCTAGGCCTATCTGACATGTGTTTTTTAGCTTCAATATATTTTAATCCATCCATGGTGAACCAGAGAACTACCCCCACAAAGCACTTATTTCGTGTGTAATAAAGCTGTGAAAAATTTGATATTTTAGCAAAAATGCCATTAAAGCACTGGACCTTTATCTGTAAGCCTATTCACTGTATATTTTAAGGTTAAATTGTTTGATATTCTTATTTTATGGAATGTAAATTTACTGACAGGTTTGTTTTCTTGCCTGTCAATTTGGCTAAAATAAGAAATCATTTGTAGACAAGTAAATTTATCTTACATCGTATCTTGTAGCAGTTTGTCCATCAGCTATTAAACTTCTTATCAGTTGAATCCTTCCTGTGTTTGAGTCAATACCAAAATATCGAAGAGGTGTCAATGATACTGAATTACCAACAAGATCATATCTAAGTACATCCTATAATAATTGAAATAAACATACATTATGCAATAGCTAAATCTGCCTATTGTAGGTCTTTCTTTAGGTCTGAAATCTTATAAAAACTACTAAATAGACATTTATTAACATGAAAAGACCTAAATCAACTCTCAATGCCATCTTATGTGTCGGATTTTCACTGGATTTGAATTTATCTGCTGCTCAACGCTCATTGATGATTTAATTCAAAAATGGATAATCAAGACTATGGTTTTTTTTATCGTACCAACTTTAGTAATGATAATCAAGGCTGGGCCTAAAATTCAATCGCTAATATCTCAGTTCAGAGTGGAGAAATTTGACTGAAATTTTCAGCATATTCGGCTCATTTTTTGGGCATGTTATATGAGTTAATTTTTATGTTTGTCTTACAGATGCTAAATAGCACATGTTTTTACAGTTCCAAGAAAACCCTTGGATAGCTGCTTAATGGAGATCAGTGGTTAGTATATAATGTCATATATGTTCAGTTAGATTATGTTCAATAGAATATAAAAGCTCACCCCATCTGTATCACGAGCCGAAATATTAAATAATATTCTACCAACAGGTATCAATTCCTCAACTGTCGTTTCATATGGACCAAGGAGTATTTCAGGTGTGGCAGGATTTCGTGTTACACTAATAGTGACTGTTGCTGTGGCTGTTTTACCCAGAGACTGATCATCATAAGCAGTTACGACAGCCTGTTGGAAAAAAAAAAAAAATTATCAAATCAAAAATAATAATTAAGATTTTGATACATAGCTTTTTTTTTAAGTTAACACACTTAATACAATCTTTACGATTTCAATAAATCCTATTCCGTCTCATTTGGATGTACAGATTTCAATAACTCTAATTCTATCATATTTGGATGAAGTTAAATCTAACACTGTCGTTTAAGCTGTTAATTTATTAAAATAGAAATATAAAAGAATAGTGTTACCTCATATTGTGTAAAAGAATCAGATCTCAGACTTCTTTGAACTGTTATTATGCCAGAAGAACTGTCGATTTGAAAGTAGTAAGGAGCACTGAGACTGCCAACCAGATTATAGACAAGTTGACCCTGTAAAACAAATTAGACTAACTCTTACTCGGATCCAATCGCAATAATTTCATACTGCTTTGTGTTGATATAAAGACCTATCACATTACTTCTATGTGACAAAATGTTTTCTTCTTTTACAGTACCAGTGTCTTTGTAATAGAAAATTAAAATATAGGCCTACACATTTTGGTACAATTGGAATCAATTGACTGAATGAAATTGACGAAAACCTATCTAAGTTTTTAAATGTATACATATGTTGCTTATTTGTACAAATTCTTTACCTTCAAATCTGGATCGATAGCTTCAGTATCAAAAACCAAGTTAGTATTGGCAATATTCTCATCAATAGTTACAGAGTATGGAATTCTTTGGAACACGGGTGGCTGATCAACTATAACATTTACTCTCACAACAGTACGACATTGATTTGGTGTTGGGCTACCACCATCTTCAGCTAATATATTGAACTGTTAAAAATAAAATTCATTAAATTATCATATTGACCATTAGCTATAAATAATCCAGACCTATTAATAGAGCCAGAGAGTGAAATTCGGTTTAATGTCCACTCAACACAAATTTGATCAGTAGGAGGAAACTGGAGAACCCTGTGGAAACCCATGAGATTAGACAGACGATCCTACTCCTCGTCACATACAAGCATGGGATTAACTCCCTGACACTTGAATTGATGGCAGATCTTCAGATCATAATTGCATGCAATAGACTATATGCCCTAATTAAAATAAATATAGGTTACCGTAAAAGATCTTGGTGTTCCAGGTTTGATTAAAGCATCTCTCACTAACAGCTCTCCAGTGGTAGGATCTACGTAGAAATACTGTTTATCTACAGCATCGGGTGAATCCAAAGAATAGGTTATTGTATCCTGTAGAAATGAAATGAAATGAAATGGGGTTTAACATCCTACTGTTCTGCTCCAAACTGGGCTAATGAAGACAGACATACGCCATACGCTATGAGGAAATTTTTGTCTGAACAGCGGCACTACGGCCTACTCTTATATCGAATTCCAACTGTCAATCGTTCTTTTACGAGCACGCCAATCTGTACACAGGACCTCGGTTTTTGGTCCCATCCAAATGACTAAACAGCTGTCCTTGTCAGGCCCTTCGTTCTGCATCACTGACAAGGGGGGGGGACCACGCTGGAAAATCTGGATGAATTTTCTCGGCCAATGAATGGATGGAACACCCGACCTCCAAGTTAGTGAGCCAGTGTCTTACCCACCGTGACCACCCTGTAGAAAGGAGAAATAGCGATAGAAATCTAACTAAATCTAGACTTCAATGGTCTGATGAAAGTTCAAATCATATCGTAAAAAATTTGTTTGTTTTTATATTTCCAAATTATAATACATACCCCATCACTGTCTGTTGCGTTCATGTTGGCAATAATTGTCTGGATTGGAGCAGTTTCTGGTACATTGAGGTCAAAAGATGTGGGATTACAAACAGGACTGGCTGGATTTCTATTAACAGTGACTGTTGCTATTTCTGTATCTCTATTGTTTGGGTAGAATGTATCGTAAGTAACCAAACGAAGCTGAAATAACGAATTTATAACATTAATCAAAATCAACAAATTTCAAATTGCAACATTTAAATTTAAGAATGAGATTTAGATATAAAGCACTGATATGAGAGCTCTTAGAAAAAAACCTGATATAAATGTGTTAATGGTACTCACCTTATATTCTCCATTCTTTAAGCCATCATCCCTAATTGGATTAATTAGAGTTACTTCCCCTGTGTCTCTGTTAATACGGAAGAAACTTTGTGATGGGAAATCCCCTGTCATTTCAAAAACTAGTTTTTCCTGTAAAAAGCAATAATAATTTGATGTTAATGAATTGTCTTCCTATGAAACAGTGAGCCATGCTGGTGCCATGCTGGTTTGGTGATAACGGCGCTGACTCAAAAACCTGGAGGTCCCAGGTTCAATCTGAGTGTTGGCTGAGAAAATTCCTTAGGAGCTTCGTATCATGGTTTCCATTAACTAGTGGAGCAGGCCAAAAATCCCAAGGGCGGATCCAGAGGGGGTGTTTGGGGGGTCGACCCTCCCCCCCCCCCCTGCTCAGCTACATAAATTTTTTTTGTAAATCAAAACTTTTTATGAGAAATGTTTCTCTACCGTGTGCTTTATCCTTTATCGTCAGATGTGGGACAGGATGGGCACTCAAAGCGCGAGATAATGATATAGACATTATGTGATACCACAATTAATGCTTTGCATCCATGAAATTGAATCACAATGTTATTGTATTAATTCATAATAAAAATTGACGTCAAACGAGATGTTGAACTTCTCTGTTTGAAAAGCTCAATGTGTGTGTATATACGCCATAATGACGATAGAGGCAATGCGTATGGGGGGGGGGGGAGGATACATTGTCTCAGGAACCTGGCAAACCCCCTCCTGCTAAAATTCCTGGATCCGCCCCTGCATCCTAGCAAAGAAAAGCGTCTAGTGATTTGGATGGGATAAAAAAAAAAAAAAATCATGTTTACAATTGTCAGCACATTAAAGATCCCTTTTCCTTATAGCATACTGCATTGCATATGCCCAACTTTATTAGTCCGATTGGTGCAGAAAAGTAACCCAAACCCCATTTCATTTTCTATGGAACCGATTCCCCTCAATGAGTCAAACAAATAATTTTCAACATACCACTAAATCGGAGTCTGTAGAACTTATCTGAGCTGCAGTAAAGACAACATCACCGGTTTGTGCACCAACAGACAATGCTGCATTGTAAGGTGTATTTTGAAATACTGGAGCAAAAAGATCTCTTCTAATGTTAATCGTAGCTGTTGCTTGACCGAATCGTTCTGGTATTGACTGATCACGAACTCTCAAATTAATCTAAGAAAATAAAACACATATCAAATAATTTACACCAAATAATTTTGAATAGTTCTGAATATTTCTTAAAGTTTCAATGGTAATTGATAACAGAACAAATTTAACAAACCTGAAAAGTAAAGAAACGTTGATAAAAAACAAAACATTTAATCAAAAGGACAATGTTGTTTAAGGTTAACAAATTCCTTTCTTCGGGACCACAAGTATCATTACCATTGTCAAAAATTCAGATTTAATTGATTGATAATTTTTGTTATTAAGAACTTACTGTATCTCTGGCATGACTAGTACCAACAAGAGATTCTCTTATACGAATAACACCAGTTAGTTGATCTATGTCGTAATAACGAGCAGCTCTGTTATTTACATCCGTAATCTCATAAATAAGTACATCCTAAAAATAAACAAATACAATAAATAAGTACATCCTAAATATAAACAAATACAATAAATAAGTCCATCCTAAATATAAACAAATACAATCTAATTTTAACTGTCATTGTAATTCAGACTGAGTTGTTGGAAACAGGGCATGGTTAAAATAGTTATGACTTAACTTTCTTCTGAAATATTTAACATTCAATTTTTCACATTTAAATAAATCCAACTAATAAATCTTGTAATTTCAGGGTAAAATCTTTTATATCATAATTTCAGGGTAAGTGTGACTCACACTAAATATATAGTTATAAACAAGTACTTACATTGGTGTTAGTGTCTGAGGCATTGACTCGAAGGATGGAAGTGCCAACATTAACTGTATCAAATATTGTAACATCATAATTAGCCCTGACAAATATAGGCTGTCCCAAATTTCTTCTCATCTCTATAACTACAACAGCTGAGGCCCTATTATTTGGATAAGCTGTATCATAAGCTATAACATTCAACTGTAAGAAAACATTTATTAATATTATACATGTACCTTCACCATAATTGTAGTATGAAAGAGGAAATAATCTGTAGCAAGGATGATCATAATAATAATAATAATAATAATGTAGATTTCTAGAGCGCCAAATCCATCCATAAGCATGCTCAAAGCGCTTTCAAAAAGGAGTAAAAACATATTAATTATATTAGTCTGGATAAGATAGTTTAAACATGTAAGTTTTTAAATGTGATTTAAAACTTGACAGAGTTTTACAGTCACGGATATTGATTGGCAAACTATTCCAGAGTTTGGGTGCAGCAACACTGAAACTTCTATCTCCAAATAGTTTCAATTTTGATGACGGAATGCATAAAAGGTTTTGATGTTGGGATCTCATAAGTGTGTATATTATCAATATTCATAGACTATGTTCACAAATTTTATTCGGTGTTATGATTCTTGAATCAACAGGTTTATATTTCTTTCCTTTCATCTTAAAAATAGATTCTGTATATAAAGATATTGAGTTTATTTATATATTTGATTGGTATATTGAAAATCATTGTGATCCGAAACCTTATATGAAAGTGGATATAAGTACGTAGCCTCCCTTTTGTTATAGTTCTTATGCCTTTTTGAGTAATGAAGATAGAGGTTGGACTTTTAACATGGAGAAGGATTTGAATATAACAATATGGATATCAACAAGTTAATATTTACCGTGTAGTTAGTAACACCTCTTCTTAAAGCCTCTATGTTAGCAACTGTTATATCTCCACTATCAGCATTCACGTTAAATAGTGCTTGGGAAATTCCGAATCCTTCCTTGCCAAACTTTAATTCGCCCTATATAAAATAAATGCAGTGAACAAATTTATTTTCGCCCTTTTTATTGTTAATGATCTGTTTTCTTCATCCAACATGAGACGCCCATTGTCAGTTTAGGCTACTGAGATTCGATCATCATAATGCATCCATTTCAAGGACATTTCAATACAGCAGTGATGAGCTCTGATTACAATCCTATCTCATCAAGTATGTGAGCTATCATTCTCACTGACAAATCAATCACACTTAAAATTCTTTTAATACAGTCTAAAACATAGTTTGATTCTGTCTCAAACTTTAAAGATTTTGGTCCCCTATTGACAAATAAATTTAAGCCAACATGTTTAAAAAATATGGCATGTTTAAAGCGATAATTTCATATTTTCTAAGAAAGTCAAAACATAATTATTTCTATGTCTTTTGCTCAATAGGTTGTCAACTCACTATTATACGATCATAGGTATTATTCTCCCACTTAAAAATCCTTTGACCCCGGAAATAATAACACAATTACCTCCCTTGTTTTTCTATTTTTCCCCCCCCCCCCCATGGAATAGCTATCTTCAAACGTTGTAATTTGAAGTTTAAAATGATATTTTTGCCAATTTCTCAACTGGCAATAGTGAATTATAGGATTAATAGGATTATTTTTTAACAAGGTAGGACTGTTTATAGATACCATCTATTTTAAGGCTTTATTTTAATAAATTTTAAAAATATAACTTAAAAATATGAAATTGCAACTTTAATGTTTATGCTTCATTGTGGTAAAACAAAATTCACATTTAGATTTTCAAAAAGGTAATTGTAAATAGTTGTGGGTCCTATGGAATCCATGTAACATCATCCATGTAACATCCATGTCATTAAGACATATCTTAGTTTAGGCCCTTTATTTACGTAAAATAAAACCTACCTTAAGATCGTCATCAGTGGCTGAAATTTTATATATTGAAGCACCATTCACATTGTTCTCTGTAGCAAAGGTATTGTAAGGCAAGTTCAAAAATCGTGGAGGACCCTGATCACGAATAATGTTAATTCTAACATTATTATTAACTACGTTAGCTGGATTTCGACCGTCACTGGCTTGAACTATTAACTGAAAAAAAAAACGACAGAAAAAAAAACATTAGAGGTAACATCAATAACTATTTCTTGCACCGAAGAAATGAAATTTCTTTTAATATAAATCAACTATGAATTATACTGAAAATCAAGTGTAATCAAGTCAAATATCACAAATCTGACTTGAAAACTGATTTTAATAGAAATCAACTATCAATTATACTGAAAATCATCACAAATCTGACATGAAAACTGATTGACAGTTAGATTTGACTGGAGAATAAGTGTAAATGGCCTATAATTAACTTACATCAAACCTATTAGCAGTGGTATCTGTAAGAACTTTAACCAGTGTAATTTTTCCGGTTGTTGGATGAAGATAGAAATAATCAGTATTAGGTGTTCCGCTGACTATTCTATAATCAATCACATCCTGCAAATAAACAATTTAAATCTCAATTAATTTAAAGCATAAGGGTACCGGTATTTGCAAAAACAATTATTGATATAAACTACTGTCATCAAATCTAATTTATGGATAAGGAACTTGTCCCCTAGTGCTGCTCATCTTCTTATTCTTTTTGAGGTGCCAATCTTTCCAAAAAAATCCTGCTAATTCAAGTTCAATCAACATGAAACTTGGTATGCTTCTCTGTTGGACAATTGCACATTGATTGACAAACGTGATTACATCATGCTAGGTTCCTGGTCTCCTGGTCCATATTGTCCCTTTGGACTTGTTAGGTCAGCTAAATACACAAGTCTCATCGCCTAGGTCAGTAAAATTAACCTTTATCTATTTTAATGTTCAAGTTATATCAGTTTAATGTAAACTACATACCCCATCCTGATCTGAAGCACCAATTGCTAATATCTGGGTACCAGGTGCTAATCTCTCTTCAATAGTTTCTTCATAATTTGTACGATTCCACACAGGTGAAAATTCATTTCTGGTAACATTGATAGTTACTGTCGCGATGGCGGTTTGTTCGGTAACACCGGCATTTACTGAGGCTTTAACTTGTAGCTACAGAAATAAATAAACAATATCAATCATTGCAGCTGATCATCATATAAACAACATCAATCATTGCAGCTGATCATCATCTAAACATCATTACAGCTGATCATCATCTAAACATCATTACAGCTGATCATAAATCATTACAGTTGATCATCATCTAAACATCATTACAGCTGATCATCATATAAACAACATCAATCATTACAGCTGATCATCATATAAACAATATCAATCATTATATAAAAATTGTTTATAGTCTTTCCAAAAATAACTATTATCAATGTTATTGAACAATTGGTGCTTAATTTTAAGATCCTCTGATGTTTAATAAAAATCTGAAATATTTTATTCTAATTTAAAATCCAATGATTATTTTCTGGAAAAGAGTTTTATTCCAGCAGTCACATACTAATAAATTAGCTTGCAGAAGTTATTGTTGACTATACCTGATATTGAGTCAGCTTGGTTGGGTCAGTACTCAGTAAAGTTTTAACTCTAATTCTATTATCAACAATATCAAAGTAATTTGTACCAGGTACGAAGCCTGTTAATTCATATCTAATATTGGTCTGTAAATAAATATAAATATTTGTAATAAATGGAAAGAAAATGTTACAGATATACATATTCCACCAATTACATTTGTCTAAAACAAATCAAAACAATCAAAGTAGATAATATTGCTTAAACCCCAAAAATGTTAGAATATAAAAATATATGGTTTAAGTCCCTAAACAAGTATTTTTATTAAAATATGTTGACCACAAAATCATTCACATTGATTGTACACTGTCATCTTTACCCATGATTCTGTTACCCATTTTGATAACAGAGATAAAGAAAAATGGTGTTTAAGACCCACTTGACAGAAACTAAGCCATTTTGGGACTAACATAAAGTTCAATTTTGTTTCAATAATTCACAAGAACTTGGGGGGTCATACAAGCAGTGGGTGGAAACCGGAGGACCTGGGGAAAACCCAGGTTGGACAGACCATGCCACTTGACAGACCTTATGGTCTAAAAGCATTCGGCCATCCAATCCCCTAATTTTGTTTAAGCGAATCTATTGTTCATTAAGGTTTGGTGTGCCTTTAATATTTGTCAACACTATACACCATTTCCCTGGCTATTAATTAATAATTAGAGAATTTCTCTTCGACGGGAATTCTGTTTAAAACGTTACTTCTTCTTTAACAGTACAAATATAAATAATTTATTGTTTGAAAGTATGATATATTTTTCATGTTTATACTTACTCCTGGTTGAGCAAGAACCACTTGAACTTCTTGACCGACTGGTACATTTTCACTTATGGTGGTTGCATAGTTAGGTGCAGTGAAAGCCAACAATCCGCTATCTCTTAGAATAGACACACGTACATTAACTGTAGCAAATCTTGAAGGTGATCCGCCATCCCTTGCTTCTAATACAAGCTAAAAATAAAATTGTCACCATTTAACATTCCTATTCTTGCAGACAAAGTTTGGAAGATGCATGATAGAAATGAAATGAAATGGGGTTTAACGTCCTACTGTTCTGCTCCGAACTGGGCTAATGAAGACGGGCATACCCCAAACAGTGTGCTATGAGGAAAATTTTGCCCGGACAGCGGTACTATGGCCTACTCTTATATCGAATTCCAACTGTCAAGGGATCTTTTACATGCACACCAATGTGAACACAGGACCTCGGTTTTCCGTCCCATCCGAATGACTAGACAGCTGTCCTTGTATGCATGATAGAACACATCAACATGATGATCAGTAATTTCAATAATCATTAATACTTTTGTGTGAAATGCAAATAATAATTACTGGCTTATTAATTACCCATTGTTGCACAGGTGTCTTATATAGTTTTGATTTTGTGTCAAGAATTTGCCAGAAAAATAAAGAGAATAATCATTAAATACAGCTCTAAATATAAAATAAACCTTATTATAAAAGTAATTAAAAATTATAAGTTAAACCTGTTTGCTTTCCAATAATAAACCAACAAAATTTTTCTTTTATACGGATACAAAATTTTAAAACCTGAATTATTCTATATATGAAATATACTTACATCATAAAAATTAACACCACTTTCTACTGGTTTTAACAATGTAATAACACCTGTTATTGGATTAACGTAGAATCTATCACTACTTAAACCTCCAGTTATAGAATAAGTAATGGTATTCATTGGGGCCTGAAATTGAAAATAAATGTTTAAAACATAATGTTAATGTATTACAAATGAGCATATTGTGTAAGAAACCAAACAAAATATTTCAAGAATTAAAACATTGCCGTTCTATGACAAATTTTTCCAAAGAGAAGCAATCTGATTAAAATCTAATGTCAATCCTGTTTTGTTGTATTTTTGCAATTAACATTTGCTATGTTCGGTTTGACAACAGCACTCACACCCACCCTTTCCATTCCTGGAATATGATTGTCGGATTGTATAACTCTTAATGGCAGAAATGAAATGAAATAAAATGGGGTTTAACATCCTACTGGTCTGCTCCGACTGGGCTAATGAAGACGGACATACACCATACAGTATGCTATGAGGGAAATTTTGGTCAGGCAGTGGCACTATTATATCGAATTCCAACTGCCAAGGGATCTTTTAAGTGCATGCCAATGTATACACCACTGACAAGGGAAAATCCTGATCGATTTTTTCGGCCAATGCAGGGATCGAACACCCGACCTTAATGGCAGAACATTGTGATGATTGAAAGTTGGTTAGAATACAATGTATTGTAAAAATCAGACCAAATAAATAACGATACTGTAATTTAATATTAATCAATTGTTTCAATGGCATTTAGTAATTGAACTGAAATAAACAGGTCATGATTCTTTGGCATACAATTACTGCTTATTACTGAGCGACGTTTTAACTAGGCTTCTCTAGTCATTATCATTATATAACATTATATAACAAGACAATATGTACACAACAATACTTGGTTAATGCTGACCATCCAGAGATAAAATGAAATGAAATGAAATGAAATGGGGTTTAACGTCCTACTGTTCTGTTCCTATACTGGGCTAATGAAGACGGGCATACGCCATACAGTGTGCTATGAGGGAAATTTTGCCCAGGCAGCAGCACTTTCGCCTACTCTTATATCGAATTCCAACTGCCAAGGGATCTTTTACGTGCATTCCAATGTATACACAGGACCTTGGTTTTTCGTCTCATCCAAAGGACTAGACAGCTGTCCTTGTCACCCCCCCCCCCCCCCCCCCGTTCTGCCCCACTGAAAAGGGGAAACCACGCCGGAAAATCCTGATGAACTTTCTCGGCGATTGAACACCCTTCTAATTAGCTTAATTAGCTTAAAGAGATTGAGAAAGAAGCTATCTGTGTTAAAGTACCTTTTGTTCCTAACTGATAAAGAAGGAATTTCAACTTACTGTAGTGTCGGCATCAGATGCATTGACATTAGTAATAAATGTACCAATAGGAGAAGTATATGGTATTTCTACATTAATGTCTCGGTGGGAAAAGACTGGTGGTGCAAAATTACGTGATACAGTAATAACGACTTCAGTAACATCATACAAGGCTGGGGTACCACCATCTCTCACTTCAACACGTGCCTGAATAAAAGAAAATCATGTTCGATTAAATTCAAAATCAAAATACACAGACAATGTTTTAAAATCATAATCCACATATATAACGTAATATAACGTCCTACACATGCTGCGATCGTGGGGGAATTCCCAAGGGATTCCCCGAAGTGACGAACTATGTTCTAAGAATAGGTTGGGGAAAATACCTCCAAGGTGTTATATTACGCACTACACACAGTGAGTGGCAGTTGTCCAGGATGTTATATAATGACCTACCCACTTAACGGGTTAAGTATAGCAACAAATGACAGCTTTCCCAACCTATGTTGTTTATCTATACCAGTGTATTCAAAAATACAAGGTAACTAAGTAAACTTACTGTATAAGAGTTTCGGCTATCAGATTCTAAACCAGCTCGTACTTTAATCTGACCATTTGTATCAACTTCAAACAACGCTACAGCTACACCATCACCAATAAGTCTATAACTTAACACATTGAATGGATTCTAGAAAAAGCATAATTGTTATAATTAAGAAATCTTTATATTGAATTCAAATAAAATAAAATTGAGAATCTTTCGGGAATGACAATTACAAAATATATGTTGATTGAAACGCCCAATATACAATAAAAGATTGAGATTTGTGTTTGCGAGCCCAGCTGGATGAAAGGCTTTCATACACATCCAGCACATTCTGTGTTTGAGAAATGAAGAAATGTTCTTTAATCTGTATTTCATGGATAAATTTTAAAGTTTAAATCTGTGTACCTACCCTTGTATCGGTATCTCTTACAGTTGTCAGATACACGTTAGCTCCTATTCCCAAATTTGCATTAATACTGGTACTATATGGTTCATTAATAAAAATGGGAGGATTATTTCTAATAATGGTGATAACAACATTTGCATTATTAGGTGCCGAAGATCGACTAGGATTGCCTAAATCTTGTGCAATAACTGGGAACTGGAAAACAAGAAAATAAGATCATTTTATTCTCTAGTAAATACTAGTAATTTCATTAGTTAGCATCTTTCTGGTGCTAAAAGTGCCTAAAAGTGATACAATAACCCCAAAAGAACACACCCTAACATATTTCCACATTTTACAATGCCAAAAAATCTTTTCAATAATTTAATTCCGTGTTTATTTCTTATTCTAATAGGTGTTCTTATCAAAATGTAAATTGATTTCAATTTAATAAAGTTATTTCAGAAATGGTTATGTCTGAAGTTGATAATTTAATTATTTACAATGAATTATATAGCAACCAACCACAACAAAATTAAGACAAGCACTCTAGCACCATTTTCAATGAGCAACAACAACATAATTTCAGATAAAAAAGTTACACAGAATACTAATATAAAGTAAAACTAAGAATGTAAACCTTAATTCAAATTGAACTGAACAGACAAACGGATATTGATGTAATAAATTTCATAATAACAAATGAAAACATTGCTGTTTAATCAGCGTTGAGAAAGTTAGTAGATTAACAACAAATTGGAGATATCAAATTGGTTAATTTTTCTTGTAAAACAGATTTTCAAATCCATTTTGCGAAATTGCATGTGCGTAAAAACAACAAATACATATTTGTTATAGTTATTATAAAATAATACTCACACTAAAACTGCTTGCATTTGTACTGGTTCTAAGTACTGACTGTCGTAATGAAATAGCTCCAGAAATAGCATTGATTTGGAAGAAAGATGTTATTGTGGCATCACCTCCCAGTGAGTAACGAATCTGATTATAAGGTGCCTTTAAAAGATAAATCAATCCTTCATTTTATATAATATCAAAAACTCAACATATAAATTTGCTAATATAAAATATACTCTAAGTCTTATCTATTTTTTAACGAGAAATATACTAGAAGTTATACAAAAATTATATTTTCCTGGGACCCAGGTAAATTTCAAATAACATTGAAAATCTTACATTTGCATCACCATCTGAAGCTTGTACAGTTTCTATAGTCTCGCTAACTCTTTGGGTTTCTAATATACTCCGTGCATAATTTGTATTTGTAAATACAGGGGCATTGTTATTCCGATCAATGTTGACTCGAACAGTTTCAACAGCCGTTTTAGCAGGAACTCCTCCATCATAGGCTAAAACACGAATCTAAGAACAAAAATAATAAGTATGATGGCCAATAGTACAACTAAGCATAAACTAAACATAATCAAGAGATTACAACATATTGATTTATCAAAATACTCCATTTTTTTTAAACAACATCCTAACAACCGGAGAAGTTGATAATTGGACAAATAATGTGGTATTTTGGTGTTTTGGCCAAGAGATGGGCTGGATTGTTTATGACAAGCAGAAGGGCTACTGGTAATTAAAAACGGCCATTTTACATTTCACTCCATCCCACAATTCCATCAAGGATCAAAGCCTTTTATCATTCAAGGGAAGTAACTCAATTAACATAAAGAACGCTTCAGACCACTATTCCTTAATAACATGAATAAGTTGGTTTCGTAACGGAGTATATGACAATAATTTGTAAGGCCACACCAATTTGAATTTTTGTTCTTTGGGAACACCCATTCTAAATTTGACTTCCTATTTCTAAATGAAAGAAAACTAATATAAAACCAAAAATTTTTGAGATTTTAAAACAAAACATAATTCACTATCTTGAATGGCTATTTGTTTTCCAAGATCTTGAGTAACTAAAAATTGAATAATTTTGTCCTAAAAACATGTTATTTCATTTTATCCCAATTGTTGAATAACACAGATATATTTAAAATAGATCAATATAAGTTTTATAGCTTGTTTCCGAATCCATATAATTAATTATATATGGTATCTTGCGTGTAATTATATGTTAATAAATACTGTTTTAATCAATAGCAGCTAAATATATCTTACAGTGTATACAGTGTCGGAGACAGTGTTGAGGTTTCCAGCCAGAGTGATCACACCAGTTACTTCATTAATACTGAACATAGTAGAAGCACTACCATCACCTGTTATGGTGTAGCGCACAACATTAAAGGGGTTCTGAAAATAAAGTTTTAAAATGTTAAATTTAAAACCCAAAAATTAATAATGTAATAACATATACTTTAAATAACCATATTTATAAATTCTATCTTCCCTTCCTAATCATAAGTGTAAAAACAATCTCAAGATTTAATTCGAAGTTGTTTTTTTTTAGTAAGAGAAACTTAGTCATCTTCTATATCTTTTGAGTTTTTATTTCATTTAGATTATATAATTATCAAGATAATGTAATTACCTGTGTATCAGCATCTGTAGCTCGAACTGTAGCTACTGTTGCTGGAATATTATTTAAACTGATGGTAGAAACATACGGTAAATCTTGGAAGATAGGTGGGAACTGATTACGGAGAACGGTGACTGTTAATCTAGCAGGACCGCTGACTCTGGAAGGAATTCCGTTGTCTCTTGCTAAAAGATTTACCTGAAAAACATAAAATTCCATTTTTCAAAGTATAAGAAATGATCAGGTCTTTCAGAAAACATAAAAATTTGTACAAAAGATGCTTACTTCCTTCCTGTCCAAAAATCTTGACAAGTTTATGGTTACATATATATCTATACAAGATTACATATAAGTATTGTCTTACTGGAGATAATGCCTGTTTGATCGCACAAGATGAGCAACTGCCAATATTGACATTGAGAATTGTTAAGGAAGCAACCGCACATGTTGTGTCACTGATAATATTGACATCTAGAATTGCTTGGGTATCGATCGCATCAGATGAGTAATTGATAATGATGACATAGAAAATTGCTTGGGTATCGATCGCATCAGATAAGTAATTAACAATAATGACATAGAGAATTGCTTGGGTATCGATCGCATCAGATGATTAATGGATAATATTGACATTGAGAATTGTTTGGGTATCGATCCCATCAGATGAGTAATTGATAATATTGACATAGAGAATTGCTTGGGTATCGATCGCATCAGATGAGTAATTGATAATATTGACATAGAGAATTGCTTGGGTATCGATCGCATTAGATGAGTAATTGATAATATTGACATAGAGAATTGCTTGGGTATCAATCGCATCAGATGAGTAATTGATAATATTGACATAGAGAATTGCTTGGGTATCGATCGCATTAGATGAGTAATTGATAATATTGACATTGAGAATTGTTTGGGTATCGATCCCATCAGATGATTGTTTGGTTATCGATCGCACCAGATGAGTAACTGATAATACTGACATTGAGAACTGTTTAGGAATCGATCGCACAACAGTTGCATATTTAAACTACAACATTTAAAAAAATACTTACAACAAATGGATCTCCAGTTGTTCCAGTTAGCTGCCTGCGTAAAAACACGCTACCCGTAGCACTGTCTATATAGAACAAATCTCGATTTGCGGAAGTACTAGTTATTTCATATCTTATTTCTCTAGCTGGACCCTGAATATTTTTAAAATATATTTTAAATTAGTGCAATGATATGACATTGTGAATTGTTTGTTTTATATAATCTGTTTTGTGTTTGTTGCTTTTGTATGTTCTGTATAAAAATTATGTAGTTGTCATCATTTTTCCTTCATGGGGGTGTTGGATGGCTGAATGGTTCGCACGTGGGTGCTGAATCCAAAGGTCTGTCATTGAGTCAACTGGCGTGGTTTCGATTTTTCGGTTGTGTGTGACAAGGGTTTTCTCTGGATCCTCCGGTTTCCTCCCACTGCTAAAGAGCACTATGTGCAAGCATATTATTGCAATAGTTAGTCCCGAAATGACCCAGTTTGTGTCAAGTGGACGTTAAAACCCAATTCTTTCTCAATCTTTTTCCTTCATTGTCTATCATAGTAAATGAATTTTTGTAAGTTTGAGAAATTTCAAAAGGATAACTTACGGCAGGATCATTATCATTAGCAGACACAGCAGTAATAGACTGTGATACTGAAGCGGTTTCTAGAACTGTAACAATAAAATCAGCAGTTGTCCACACAGGAGGTTGGAGATTTCTGTTCACATTGATACGAAGTTGTGCAAATACATCAGGACATCGACCATCATTAACTTTCACAATAAGATTGTATAAAATTCCTGTTTCTGAAAATAATCGACCATACTGATCCCCAGCAGTTTGTACAACAGACACTTGTCCATTATTCGAATTAACGGTAAAGAGAACAGTAGCCGTCTGCTCACCGACAACAGTGTATGTCAGCGTATTGAATTCAGGCTGCAATGAAAGATAGGAACATAATTAACATCCTCATCATTTTCAAATCATAAAAGCTACTTTTGCAACAGTATAAGATTCAACACAGAAGAAGAAATACATTATGCCAAATTTATTATTTTTAGTTTTAATATTATCAAATTCATTATTAATGTTTAACTCATGTATTAATAATTTCCATAATTAATGTTGAAATATTCTCCATACACATTTTGAAAAATAATTGTTTTCGATCTAGGCATCATGAAATTCATCAAGCAGTTCAAAAGAGGAAGCATACAATGCAAACAGCTTAAAGGCTGCTGGGGATCATCATATAGGCCCCCTAGACCTGACTGGTTAAAAATATCAAGATTTACTAAAAGGTAATAATTTCAAGATGGAGCACAATATACTTTAAAGACTAAAATCTTTTGCTGAAAAAAGCAGTGAAAATATAGATACTAGATTAAACACTAAAGAGATTTCTCTATGTTGAATTGCCTAACTTATGACTCGTCTATGGTACAGGTATAATTATAATACTCACTTGTGTATCTGCATCATTAGCTTGTATTGTATAGATTACACCTGTATCTGTTTGATTTATTGTTATTGCAGAAGGTAGGTTGGTAAAAGATGGACAGTTTTTGTTTCTCAGAACATTTATAGTTACTGTAGCTTGATTTTGACTTGTTCTTCGAGGATTTCCCAGGTCGGTAGCACGTACATTAAACTAGTAAAAAACAAAATCACAAGAATAAGATCCTCAATTAAATGTGTTCATACCAAACCTTATTTCAAGTGATATGACTGACAGTTTATGATTTAATTGTTAAATATCTTTTAATTTACAATCAAGAAATACATTCCACTGTTTGGTTCATTCTAATTTTCTGTGTCCATGAATCACTCAGAATTCTACTCATTTACAATCAAACCTTTACATCACATTTGTCAAACATAAAGTCACCATATGCATACATTCTATCAAGTTATTTCTTAATACTTAGTAATAGTAAGCTTACCGTATACGAATCTGCTGTACCTAATGTTAGATCTCTAGTTGCATAGACCTGACCATTTTCAGCATTCACAGCAAAATACTGTAAGGCTACTGCATTTCCAGATGCTGCATATCGGAATTGATTATTTGGGGCCTGCAAAAAATTATTTCAATCACTGATCAAAGGTTCATTCTTTTAAATGAATTTCATACGAGCATACATTCGTTGATTTAAATACACAAATGTTTTTAATACATGAACATTGTGAAAAACTTTTAAATATGCATTTAGTTAAACAAAGAATACCTGAGTATCATTATCTCTTGCTTGTAGAGTTAATATAGTTTCACCAACTCTCTGTGAGTCGAAAATCGTCTCTGTATAATCAGTTACTATGAACTCTGGATTAAACAAGTTTCTTCTAACACTAACTGTTACTGTTGTCCTATCCGATAAACTAGGATTACCACCATCAGAAACCACAACAGTTACCTATAAAATAAATAAAATAAAATAAAATAAAATAAAATAAAATAAAATAAAATAAAATAAAATAAAATAAAATAATAAAATAATAAAATAAAATAAAATAATAAATGAAAGGAATGGAATAGAATATAGTTTAATAAAATACAAGACAAGACAAGACAAGACAAGACAAGACAAGACAAGACAAGACAAGACAAGAGAAAAGAAAAGAAAAGAAAAGAAAAGAAAAGAAAATTCAATGGAATGAAGTTTAATATCTCTTCAACATGAGTTTGAGACAAACATGCAGTAATCTTCATTTCTATGGTTACGTTTGCAATGCAAAATAGGAGAAATTTGCCAGGACGGCAATGTTTCCAATGGTATAGGGTTCTTTTACATGCATGCCAACATGTACACAAGTGGACCTTGTACCATCAAAAAACTTTCCTTGTCAGTCATGTAGGCAGATTCCAGGTAAAAGACTTGATAAATCTAGAAGGGTCTTGTTTGTCACTTCTACTGGATTCTGTCTGTATTTATAAGACTACTTTCATTTATATGTCTTTTAAAATATTACTAAATATAATATTACCCTGTATGTATTCAATGTATCAGCATCAACAGGGGTCTGTAGTATGAGAGCAGCATTGTTATTATCCCTTTTAACAATACTGAAATATGTTGTGGCTGTACCATCACCCACTATTTCATATTGTAATTGATTATATGGTGTCTGAAAAAAAAATGTAAATTAAAGTCAAGCAAATTGATATTTAAATGCCCATTCACAACAAAGTCTAGAAATTTTTTTAAATTTCTTGACCTTATGATGAATCCCACTGACATTTAAAGCAGTCCATTGAAAATTCTATTCTCTATTGTTTTAAGCTTTAACTATCAATCAAAATGCAAAAGAAAAATTAAGAATTCTTCTAAGTTTCTTTCCAAATAAACCATATCCTACTACTGAACAAATACCAGGCTTTATAGAAAGGGAGGTAACTGTAATTTAAGCCAATTGAAATATACCCCTTTGATATGTAAAAATGCCATTGGATGCAGGCAATGAGAATATACATCAAAATAATAGATTGTAGCTGACATACATAATAAATGTAAAAAAAGTATCCAAATGTAATAAAGATAAAAATATAATCATTAACATATAAACCTTTCTCTAACAATACTTTATTTTCGTTATCATTTGTAGAACTGTTATTATTTTTAGAACTATTATCATTTGTAATAATACATGCATTTATGTTAACAGCAACATTAAACAATGTATCTCCTAAAATTAAGGAGATATCACTCAGTATATATACTGTAGAATGTGTTATTCGGTGATAAATTTTCTTAATGCTCCTCTATCCACAGCCTACAACTGGCTCTTCTTGTACGTTTGCTAGGGAACACTTGTCTGCATTAAACTCCAAGAACGAACGAAACATACATGCATGTATGGGACCACTGAACAGTGAAACTAGAAATTCAATATCTAAAATACTTACCACATTGTTTGGATCAATAGCTGAAAGAATATAAACTTCTTTTCCTGCAGTATCAGTTTCAAGTATTGTTGGTGTATATGGGTCATTTTGGAAATTTGGTGCCAGGTTTTTGATAATATTGATTGTGACGTCTGCTAAAGGATTACTGGTTTGTGCCGGGGTACCCATATCTGTGGCTGATATACTCATCTGTAAGTAAGAAATAAATCATCAGTGAATACCATATGGCAGTGATTCTCAACCAGTATGCCGCGAGATCTTCCTAAGTGTGCCGCGAAATTCCAAACGGCATACTAAGAAAATACGAAAAAGCATGTGATCCCAATTGAGTATTCACTGGTGTCTACTGATAAGTTTGAGTCATTCTATGTGTCTATGACTGGTGTCTGTCTACGGCTGTATTCCGCCTGACTTACCATGTTTTTATTTTGCAAAATTCAATTATTTTTCATATATATTTAGCCAATTGTGCCGCTATTTTTTCATGTGTTCCACTGCTATATGGTAATATTTTAACAGAGGTTATGCCAGTGGTGTGTCTATGGCAGTGTGGATGGGAGATATGGTCTGGGTCCCCTGATTGTCTGAATAGTTTGTATGGCATTGCACATGTGTCACAAGAAGTTGTGATGAATGCAACCCGTGCCTGATGTACACATGTTCCTAATACACTGAAGAAAAAAGGCACTACTACTAGCTGGTGATTAACTTCCAGTTCCACATAGAAAAAAGATTTATTGCGAATGAGAGGTCAAGTCAACAATGTTGACGATAGCAAAAGGAGCAAGAAAAATGAAAATGGCGCAAAACTTCAAAAAAAAAAATTTACCGGCAAGAAATAAAGAAATTTTTACTATTAGAAAATATCCCGTCATTGTGGCCTACGGTGTGAAAAGATTATTTAAGGGATGTAATTTTTTAAGTAACATGCTTTCTATATAGTTAGTGGTTATTGGAGTAGTTTTTATTCTAAAGAATACAGAGATTAATTGAGGGACAGAATCTTTGAACAAGATTAAGAAATATGTTACTGACCATCTGGGTCATGCTATTCACATGTGAAACAGAATAAAAATGCAACTTACAACATAGCTGTCACGGTTACAAGGAGCTTGATTTAAAGCTTTCTTTGCGAAAATTACTCCGGTGTCCACATTTATATCAAAACAAGCCATTCCCTCAGTGCCTTGAGCTATCGAATATTGAATTCTTCCATTCAGACCCTAAAATTAAAAAAAAAAGCATAAAGCATCCTAATGAGTTTAAATGTATGGAAATATTTATTGAATTTGATATATAGAATTAATATCGAGGATAAGGATTTCTTTTTTTTTTTAAATTGTCTCATAATATATATAAAAATTTCTTTTTATGAGAATTTGTTGCTGTACAATATACTGGTATGGTACTAAATAAATTATAATGCTGAATAAAAAAAACAGCTATTTTCTCAAAAATATGGGAATTCTGCATTTGTCAAAAGCATACATAACATGACCATATAACATTATACTTACAACTGAATCTGTATCTGTAGCATTTACATCAACAATCTTATCTCCTAGTGGGAAAGTTTCAATAACTGTCTGACTATAAGTAGTGGGAGCAAAGATTGGTGCTGCAAAGTTTGTTCGGACTGTGACACGAGCAACTGTGGTATTACATTTAGGAGGTACCCCCTTATCACAAACTTGTATTCGTATCTTGAACAGAAAATAAAAAAAAAATATTTTGAACTTGTATTTTTAAACTGATAATGATAATTCAATAACAATCTACTGTTATGACAAATGGTGTAAAGGATGAATTTTAATTTTTAGTTCTATGAGGTCTATAAATAATCCACTCAATTTTTGTTTGTGATGTTTTATTTGTTAAAATTTTTAAAATTAAATATTTGAAACCAAATGTGTTTGAGAAGTATTTTAGCCTTTATCGAGATTCTATCCGGATTATAGCCCTTATTGTTAAAATTTTTTGACGTTCTAACTCATGACGTCAACTGGCAGACTATCGTCATTGAGGAGACGACCACTGTCAAGATTGGTCGCATTATTTCTGTTACGTCTTTTTTGTATTCCTGATTGTTTTTCAATTTTAAGTGAAGTCTGTGTCACTACAGGCCCGGGACTGTACAGCGCAGTGGGCGCTTACAGCTGGTTCCCGGATCCATTCACTTGATTTGATATTTGTTTAATTGGTGCAAGGTCTATTTTCTGTCTTGTCCGCAGATTTATCTTGTAGATTTTTGTTTTGAGTGTAGTGCGGTCCTCCTGCACTTACTATTAGTAGTGAAGAACTTGGAAGCAGAATTCTAACAGGTGTTCTAAAAGAACAGAAATTCAAATTAGTATGACCTTAGAAAAAACTTAAATCAAATTAGCACGGCCTTAGGAAAAACTTCAATCAAATATTAAATCCAAATTGATGTACTTACAAAAAAGCCATCTGCACTTGTAGCAGCAGGTGTATTACTGACTGATATACGCCCTGATGTAGGATCAATATTAAATGAGCTCGGAGCTACATCGTCTCCAATTATAGAGTATTCTAGCTGACCAAATGGTGTTGTCTGAAACAAAATATATGTAATGTAAACTAATTATCTAGAATTCTAGAACAAATTGAAACTTTATAATATTATTTGTCTCTGGAAATCTCGTGGTACAACTATTCCTGTGTTACAATCTGGCTGTGGTATCTTAGTGATTGAGATCCATAATCAAGGCAGGAGCTGCAGTGACTCAGTGAGTAAGATGATGGCTCGCCAACCAGATGATCTCGGGTTCGTTCCCAGTTTTGGCTGAGAAAGTTCCAGTGGTGCACTGGTCGTTCGGATGGGACGAAAAAAACGAGGTCCCATGTATACATTGGTGTGCACGTAAAAGATCCCTTGGCAGTTTGAATTCGATATTATAAGAGTAGACCATAGTGCCGCTGCCCGAGCTAAATTTAAGGACAGTGTCTTGTAATTGGATTATAGGAAAAAACACGGCCCTCAAGGTCTTGTGTATTGGCGTGCACGTAAAAGATCCCTTTACAATTGGAGTTAGAAAAAAGAGTAGTCTGTAACACTGCTGTTCAGACAAAATTTCCCTCACAGCACACTGCACGGTGATGTCCATTTTCATTAGCCTGGTTGGTGCAGAAAAATAAGATATTAAACCTCATTTCATTTCATAATCACGGCCATTACCCGAATTTTCATTTTCTCTATTTTTTACATGTACCTGGGTATAATGCTTTTCTAAATGTATAAATAGGACTTACGTCTGGATCATTGTCTCTTCCAAAAGCTTGTAGAACAAATGTATTTGGTGTTAAAGTTGTACCCAAATTTTGCTGGTATGGTAACTGTTCGAAGAATGGGGTGTTATTGTTTCTGATAACAATGATTGTAAAGTAGGCTAGAGTAGATGCACATCTTGGACCATACGGAGGTTGACCTTCATCACACACTCGTACACTGCCCTGAAATATTTCAACAGAATGATTCAATGGCTAACAACTACAAGCTTAATTCAAAGTGATGTTTCGATACTAATTTAATGGTCCGTTAATATCGATCCATCCATTATTATTTGTAGAATATCTATTTATATAAAATTTTTCAAACTTACCTCAAAATTATTGATACCAGTCAATCGTAAAGATTTTTTCGCATATACATCCCCAGTTTTGGAGTCTACATTGAAAAACTCTTGAAGTGGTCCTGTGGGGTTACTAAATGCAAAGTTCATCACATTGTAGGGTTCCTGAAATATATCGATATCAATAAATGATAAATATCACCCCAAAAATTCATTGTTCAAATAAGTAAATCTATAAAAAATCAAAGATATTAAAGAATTTTCCACTATTCAACACAGAATTTATTTCTTTATGAAGAACTATTTATGAATAAATAACTTTCTTTGTTCATACATGAGTAATCTAAAGGACTAATAACTTACTAAAAGATCGCTATCTAAAGCGTCAACAGTAAACAGCACCTCTCCTAAAGTCTGAGTTTCAAAAATGGTAATGGAACGGTTTCCAGTTTGAAGTGATGGATCGTTTAGATTTCTATTAACATTAACAGTGACAGTAGTTTCACTACTTAAGGATGGAGTTCCACCGTCAAAAGCTCTAACAATTACCTACAAAAAAAATCACAATGCATAAGGATTTGAAACTAAATATAAAAAAAAAGAAACAAAATCTACATGATCATAAAATTAAAATATTTTTACCCACAAAGTTACTTTTATTACATTCATTTCTAATTTTCACAGTATGGATGATAATACAAGGAATTAGGAGAGAGGGAAAGCGAGAGACTAGGACATTTTGGGACTAAACATATTGTTCAATAATTTGCTTGCATGTCTGTAGCGGTGGTGGGAAACTGGAGGACCTAGAAAATAGATGAGCCTACTCCTTGTCACATACAAGTTTGGGATCGAAACCATGCCACCTGACTCAATGACTGACCATATGATCTAAAGCGTATGTATTAGACCAATCGACTAGGCAACAATTAGGGAAAGAGAGAGAAATGGGGTTTAATGTTCACATGACACAAACTACGTCATTTCGGGACTAACACATGGTTCAATTTTATTTCAAAATTCCGCTTGCGTCTAGGGGTCTTTAGAATTGGGAGGAAATCGGAGGACCCGGAGAAAATCCACACACACGAGGTTGGACAGGCGACACTACCCCTTGTCACGCACAACCAGGGAATCGTAAACCATGCCAGTTGACTCAATGACAGACCTTATGATACAGTGCGCACATGCTAACCTTTCGGCCATCCAATCCCCCTGCAACAATTAGGAGCCAACTTATTACTTACTGAATATTTGTCATCATTATCAGTAGTTAATGCAGCAAGTTTTCGTATGTCTCCAGATACACTATCAATTGCAAAGTATGGACTATTTCCAATGATAGAATAACGAACTCGATTAAATGGATCCTGAAAATATAAGCATCAATAATAATCATTAAAACAAGAAATTGAGTAAGACTGTTGTTTAATATAAAGAGAGAGAGAGAAATGGGGTTTAACGTCCACTCGACACAAACCAGGTCATTTCGTGACTAACATATGGTTTAATTTTATTTCAATAATTCGCTTGTGCATAGGGGTCTTTAGCAGTGGGAGGAAACTGGAGGACCCGGAGAAAACCCACGACATTGAATAGGTGACTGTACCCCTTGTCACGTACAACCAGGGATTTGAAACCACGTAGGTTGACTCAATGACAGGCTTTATGATACAGCGCACATATGCTAACCATTCAGCCATCACCACCCCTCCCCCCCCCCCCCCATTTAATAAAAAAAAATGTAAAAAACGTATTATTCTGGCAATTCAAACACATGACACTGTAAGCTATTTGACATCTATTGAACCTATATCTATTATGTTTAATGTCATCATTCGAAGAATGATCTGCCAATCTATTACACAATGCCCAACATTCAAACAAGCTTAGGTCATTTAAACCTATAGTTAATGTTTTCTTTTCACATTGTCAATTCTAACTGTAAGGAAGGGATTGCAATGGAATGTCTGGAGATCATTTGTCATTGATAAGCAGGAAAAGGCGGACATTCATCATTCTGTATCAGAAAACAAACATGTCATGGCCAGAATATGGGGCATGAAGGATACTACCATACTGTTTAATAATGTCAAATACATTGGTTGATTTTTTCCATTAATAATCAAACATCAATTTGACCATACGAAAAAAAAAAATGTGTTTCAGATAATGCTGCATAACTTAAATGATCACTATGACCCATTTTTATTTGAAATAATAAAAAATAAAAAGTCCAATAGATTAATTATAAAGGGAAGTAATTTTATACAAATTTTATACTTTTATTATATAATAAAAACACTGACCACTCTATCAGCATCAGTAGCATTAACTCTGTCCACCACAACATTTAAAGCCTGGTTAACATTCACAAGTGATTCATATGGTGCATTTACGAATATTGGTGCAAATAAATTCCTGTCAACAGTAATAGTAACAGCAGCAGGTGTTAGCGTTGATCGCCTTGGTATACCATTATCTGATGCGATGATATTGAACTAAAAAATATTATTAATACACAATTATTAAAAGTATAGAACACAAAACCACAACCATCTTTTGGCTTAAAATTCACTGAAATTTCTGGAAAGCTATGAGGCAATTGGCACGCCACAAAAAAAGCATATTTTTTCAACTCTATATCGAACACAGATAAGAATTAAAAATCATATTTCTTTTAATTTAAAAATGGGAAAGCGAGGCTAAATCTCGAATACACCAGTGCCCTGGTTACCACAATGCACACATCTTGTCAAAACTACAAACAGTGACAACTTGGCTCAGAATGAAGTAATTTGAATGAAATTTTCAATATTTTCATTTAACATTATCTATTTTTAAGCCATTATAGCAAGAATTGTTAGCTCTTTATGTAAATCTTAAATAATATATCTTTAAACATTAATTTTTTGGGATAGGCTAAGTGTATGATTTTATTTTTCCTGTTCATATGGAGAATGATGGTATGGAACATATGACCCAATTATTCTCAAAAGATCTAAATATATCTCAAACATATCTTCAAGTCAGGATATAGCTTGCTCTTTTACTTTTTATTGTTAAGTTAAATTGCATATTGTATTGTCCATGACAGTTTATTAATCCACAAAAATATAAAGATACTTACTGTATAAGTCAATGTATCGTCCGCATCACCAATCAAAGACTGTCGCATATATACATTACAGTTTGCTTGATCTACTCTAAAGTAAATACTAGCTTTATTTCCTACAGTTGTATCAACCATTTGGTAGCTCAATACACTCTGTGGTCCCTGTTAATACATAAAAAATATTTATACTTCTTGCCTCTCAACCTAATTCTCAAAATCTCTGAAGAGCTTTAATGGCAAAATTGATTTTGACAGCATTCCTCCTAAGGGTAGTAGTAAAGACACCCTCTAACCTGATAGACATGTGAAAGGACCAACTGGGTAAACGACAATATAGACTTAAATTATAGAGTGTAAAGTATAAAGAATCGTAAACAGACTGACTGATGGATGGCCTGGGCAGACAACAATATCCTCTCATATATGCAATGTGAAGGTATAGATTACTTACAGGAGAATCAGCATCTGAAGCTCTACATGTTATTACTGGTTGTGTATCTATAGCCCTAGTTTCCAAAATTCTGTTTGAATACGTCAGGGAATCAAATACTGGTGAATTCAAATTACGAAGAATATTAATTTTGGCGGTGGTAACAGCCGACCTTGCAGGATTTCCACCATCTTTAGCAACTATTCTTGCCTGTAATGCAAAGATAATTAGGTACTTTTGGTACAAATATTCTACAAATCTTAAATTAAAATAATATAGCACTTTTAGATTGAAAATTCTTCCATTAACTTGATGTCAGTATCATAAGTTTTAAAGTCTTGATGTTTTAAAATGAAAGCAAAATAAAAAGTAAAAAAAAATGAGCAAATCAGTTTGGTTTACTTACAGTATACTGGTTTTTATCTGCTCTTGTAAGATCACTATTAATAGTTATAATACCATTATTAGGATTCAGACTAAAGAATGAAGCGACGTCATCATCGCCTATTAACTCATATGTCACTGTAGAGAAAATAGCCTGCAAAAAATATCAATTTATTTTATGATCAGTAGTGGAATACCGCGTTTTATCAGTGAAATAAAAGTGTTATTCCACTGGCTAGCAGTAGTCCATGTTGTTTTTACCTAAAATGATTGTAAAATCATAAAATAAATAGAAGTTTTCTTGCTTCTCGATGAAATAAAATATGTTATTCACTCTAAAACGACAAATATCCTCTATATATTTTATGATCAGTAGTAAAAGTGTTATTCCACTGGCTAAAGTAGTCCATGTTGTTTTTACCTAGCAAGAAAACGTTTATATTTTCACTCATGCTACGCATTTGTGAAAATATAAGTTTTCTTGCTTCTCGATGAAATAAAATATGTTATTCACTCTAAAACGACAAATATCCTCTATATATTCATTGAAAAAATATTTTCTCAGATTATGTATTTTATATACTTGCTTAAACATAAATTGTAAATAGTAAATAAATTTAATAAAAAATAGACCAGTCAGCTAAAAGATAGTCAAAACTTACACTGCATTGACATTGGCATCAGTTTGCAAAGTTAGATTCCAATGCATTTTGTTTCTGTGAACACAATAAGTTTGAGAAATTTGCTTGATTCAATGTGAATTTAACCTTGCCTTAATCCACATTACAAATGAGATTTTGCCTTATCCAATTCATCTGTCTTGCGCACTTTTTAATACAGTCAGTATAAATGCATAGTTGATCAGTAGCTATTTGTACTTAGTAATATCAATCTGAATGACGCAGTCTGCTAATATTTTTCTCAGTACACAATACCATATCTATCTTTTAAATATGTGGGTAAAATACAACAATAAAAATTGGCATTGCCTCACAAAAAATCATTTTAAATAGACATAACACAACCGATATTCACTTACTGTAGAGTCGGCATCAACAGCAGTGACATTCAAAATTTCTCTGGTTAGAGGCGCATTTTCTGGCACAGTAGTTTCATAAATATCCAGGAATACAGGGGAAGCTGTATTTCGTTGAATTGTTATTCTTGCTGTAGCTTGTTGACTATTTTTAGGTGATGGTGCTACATCTGTTGCTGTTATAGACATCTACAAACACAACAATTCAATATTTCATAACATAAACATGCATTATGCAAGAGCTAAATCTGCCTGTTGCAGGTCTTTCTTTAGGCCTGAAATGTTATCTAAATTATTAATTAGACATTAATTAACATATCCAGACCATAATCAAATCTCGATGTCATCGGTAGCCTGGGATATTTACTGGATTAGGATCCTATTTGCTTCTCAACATTCATTCATGATTAAATCATAATGGATGTTTTTTATCGTACCAACTTTAGTAAAGATGATGGAGGCTAGGCCAAAAATTCAATCGCTGCATTCTCGGTTCAGAGGGGATCAATTTTACTGAAATTTTGAGCAAATTCCCTTTACATTATCTAGTTTTTTACTATTATAGTGAGAACTGCCAGCTCTTTATCTAATCTCCCGTAATGTATGTTTAATGATGATGTGGTTGTCAACAGTTCATAGATAATTAATATGAATTATATGAGCTTGACTATCTTACTAATACAAAATTTGATTAAAACTATTATTTAGAAATATATTTAGCATGATAGCACAGTTACTCGGAAAAGCAGAAAATCATAAAATAAAAAATACTTACAACACAACTGGTGAGAGTTTGAGGCGATTCGGTTAAATATTGTTTCGCTACTATTTGACCAGTTTCAGCATAAATTGTAAAATAGTCATTACATATAGTAGGACTAGCATTAGTAAAACTGTATCGTACAGCTTGCTGTAAATAAAAGACATAAATAGAAAATTCTTAATGGTTGATTTATTGAGGCAAATATTCTCGTTATCATGCCTGAACTCCATAAATGTTTGGTTAAAATTCTCTGAAAATCCTGAGGTGCTGAACAACAGGCATTTTCACTTTTCACAATGAAAATAGATTTAAAAAAACCTTAAAACTCTCTGAATTATCGAAAATTTGAACACTGACGTACTTAGAATAAGGTATATAAATGAAGATTTTTAAAAAAAAGATAGACCGAGAAATATGTCCGTCCACTCGACACAAAAACCAGGTCATTGTGGGACTAAGATACAATTCAGTTTTATTTACCATACAATATTATTCCAATAATTCGCTTCCGCATAGGGGTCTGTAGTAGTATTGGAGAAAAAAGACAAAAAGACACAAACAAAAGCCACAAGTTCGCCTCTGACCCTAGCTACTTCTTGTCATTTACAAGCTTGGGACCGCATACACGTCACTTGACTCCATGACAAATCTTATGATCTAAAGCGTACATGTTAGACCATCTGAACAGATTTTCATTGGTTCAACTTGATTTTGGGGAACGAAAGACATGACTGTATTAAATTGTTTTGAATTTGATGACACAGGGAGGGGGTTAATGATGATGATGTAGATGATTTTATACAATGACTGAATGAGGTATAAAATTAAACTTACACCATCTGGATCAGAGCCTTGAACTGTTATGATAGGTACCAGTACAGCTTGGTTTTCATTAATTATTTCAGCATATTGTAGTGGGGAGATAACTGGAGCTTGTGGATTTCTATCAATGGTAATTGTTACATTAGCACTAGCTCTTCTATCTGGTGAACCACTGTCATAGGCAATAACTCCTAACTGTATATAAGTAGAAAAAAATAAATATATTTAAACAAGAGTTCTGCCTTTATCACAATTTTAACATACCTTTCTGCACATAGTCCCTGCAGGATTTGGGGGTCAAATACAATAAAGCATAAACTAAAAATGAGATGCTGAACATGTCCAGGATTTGAAACCGGGACCTCCCGCACCATAAGCAAGGATCATACTGGTAGCTGAACAAGCCATTGCCCCAAGTGTGGACGGTCGGTAAAATACACATTGTCTTGATACAGTTTCGTCGAGAAATGCCTTAAGCCAAAGTAAGAACCATACCCCCAGGCCCACCAGTTGCCAATAACAATAATCAACCGAATGTATCATTTTATTCCACTCAAAACAATCAGCCCGAAAGCCATCTTCAATAGAAGGCTTGATCTCGCTTTAACTATGTTCATCTTATCAAGGTCTTCGCGTAATACCCTACACATTTTTAGCACTAATTTCGATTGGGTACAAGCCCAACTTGTAAGCCTATCAGATTACTCGATGAACGCGACTACCAAGTCTCGGTGTTTCAAACTAAAATGTCTACCTGTGATAATCGAGTTGCAAAGTTCAAGGTTCATTCAATGTCAAGGTTTCTGTGGAGGTCACGATGTCACAACCTCTGATTGGATGCTACTGCTCACATGTCTATAGATAACATAGCTATAAGTTCGGGAATTGTGAAGTAAACAAGCAACAGCCAGATGTTGTGAAACTCGTTTCAGCACAACTGAACACTTCCATTCGAGCAAGAAAAGAGAAAAGTGTTATAAGATCAATTAAAGTTTTTCAATAAAATTACCGTGTATGATGTAGCGCTATCAGTTGTCAATGGATTTCGTACAGATATAACACCAGTAATACTTTGAACTGCAAAGTAAGCAGGTGCTGCTAAATAATCTCCACTTAGTCCATATACAATAGAACCCTGAAAAAATAATTAAACAGTAATTTAGTAATTGAAGAAATGAAATGAAAAAAAATGGAATGGGATTTATCGTCCTACTGTTCTGCTCCGAACTGGGCTAATGACGACTGGCATACGCCATACAATGTGCTATGAGGGAAATTTTTCCCGGTCAGCGGCACTACGTCTTACTCTTATATCGAATTCCAACTGTCAAGGGATCTTTAACATGCACGCTAATGTGTACATGGGACCTTGGTTTTTTACGTCCCATCCGAACGACTAGACAGCTGTTCTTGTCAAGCCCTCCGTTCTGCATCACTGACAAGGGGGAAACACACCGGAAAAGTAATTAAAGAAGTAGAGAAATCGATTTTTTTTTATAAACTGTATTTTATTCTCAGAAAAGGATTGAGGAATAGGCTGACCCTATACTACCTTTCTCCTTCAATCAATTAACAGAACACAGAGATGGAGGGCTGTGGGGTGGGGAGAAGAAAGAGGGTTTAACATCCACTTGACACTAACAAGGTTATTTCAGGACTAAGGTATAATATATTATTATTTCAGCAATGTTCTTTAGTAGTTGCCCATGAGTCAAAGCAGTTGACCCTAGTCTTTGCTTTACGTCATTGTTTATTATTTGCAATGTCTGTGTATATGGTATGTCTTGCACGTAGGGGTCTTTAGCAGTGGGAGGAAACCAGAGGACCCGGAGAAAACCCCTGAGGTTGGACAGGCAACCCTACTCCTTGTCACATACAACCGGGGAATCGAAACCCCACCAGTTGACTCAATGACAGACCTTATGATACAGCGTGCAAGTCCTAACCATTCGGCCATCCACCCCACCCCCACCCCCACACACCCCGCAACTTACTATAACATAACTGGACTAGTGATTTACCCACACTGATCAGCAGCGAATATTCGCTAGGCTGCTACACAATCACTGATAAGGATGACATCAATGCGACTTAATAAGCCACAAATATTAACTTTTTTTCTCTGACAAATTAAATTCTAAAACATTTTTTTTATGTATTAGAAAAATAAATGAAGCCGTTTGAAGTATTTGTAGGTAAAAAATATTTCCTATTTAGTGTAAATGGGTATTAAAATGAGTAAAAGGCACCATTCTGTCCGTACCAGTAAACAATGCACACGCCATTGAGCCAATGATCCACGCCGCCTGATGTGACGTCACATGTTGAAGGCAGTCATCTTTTACAGAGATATTAGAAGACTTTCGTAATCCTCTGTGAAACAGATTGTGATTTACCGTGTAGATGTTAGGCCACTCCCCCCACCCATTTCAAACTTACCTGTATATCATTATCTGTAGCTTCAACTTGGTATATCGAAGAACCCTGAGCTTGAGTGAAGGGTATGTTTCTCGAATATGGTAAGTTAACGAATAGTGGGGGACTAGTATCTTGAGTGATGGTTATGCTAACTTGTGCTACATCAGTTTTAGCGGGATTAAACTGATCACTAACAGTAACTGCAAACTGTCAAATAAATTAATTACAATATTTAAATTATCTTTTCAGTAACTGTCAGAAATAAATTACATGTCAATAATAACACAGCCAAGGGACAGAAATTTTATATGGAAATTAAGGAAATTAATTCATCAGTCTTTGATTCAGAATCATTTACTACTTAATCTTTGGTATTTTTGTCAATTAAATACTGGTAATACTTATATGAAAAGGATACATTAAATCATCTCTCTTAACCCGTTAAGCGTGACGTTTTTAAAACGTTAACTACCCTCTATTGTGTAATTAATTTGACGAAGAACTATGTACTATGTTCTAAGAATAGGTTGGGGAAAATACCTCCAAGGCGTTATATTACGCCCTACACACAGTGAGTGGCAGTTGTCAAGGACGTAATATAACGTCCTACACATGCTGCGATCGTGGGGGAATTCCCAAGGGATTCCCCCAAGTGACGAACTATGTTCTAAGAATAGGTTGGGGAAAATACTTCCAAGGCGTTATATTACGCCCTACACACAGTGAGTGGCAGTTGTCCAGGACTTTATATAACGACCTACGTACTTAACGGGTTAAATTCACAATCATTTACTACTAATTAATTATGTGTATTTTTGTTAAGTAAATACTTGAAATAGCAATACAATTAGAATAATGTAACATACTGTATAAATAGAATTGGCTCCAGTTAATGGTCTCCTGACTGAGATAAGACCAGAAGTTGGTCCGAGGTAGAAATAATCAGGTATAGCTGTAGAGGAATATCTCAGTACATCCTTAAAAAAAAAACAAACAATGGCTTTTCATGAATACCTCAATATCATTTATTAACAAGTTTGATAGTATTATTTGGACAAGAACTAAGTATGAAATCATTGCCACCATCTTGGAATTGTGAAAGATAAAAAGTTTCATGACTATTGTCATGATAATAGATAGAGTAACAGTTCCTAGTCCAAAAACAAAGCAGTTGCATTATAAAGTATGTACATGCATAAACACACAATGCCGAAGATGGCCAATAACATATTATAAAAAATTTAACAACAATAGGGGTTGAAAAGTGTTCCTAAGATTGTAATTTAAACAATATGAAATTGTTTATGGTCTGAAAGTCTATATTTGGAATATTGTTCATAATAATCTCATGTGATGCACGGTGCCGACACGCCATAGGCTACCTCATGAAATTGAGCTAATGATCTGAAATAATAATACGATACCTGATCAGCATCTGTAGCATTAAGTTGTACTACAGACATACCCAATGGTGATTTCTCATCAATAGTGACATCATAGGCATCTGGTCCGAAAATTGGAGGATTGACATTTCTTTGCACGTTAATTGTAACAGTACTAAATACTTCTTGAAGATTGACAGCAAATTGTTTTGAGGCCTTCACTCTCACCTGAATAAATAGATCAAAACATAAGTTTAGAACCAGGTTATGACTACACTAGCAGGATACCCGGCTTCGCTCGGGGGTCATAACTCTGAAACCGGAAGTGGTAGAATAACGCCACCTGGCCTATGTTACTCCCCGGTCCGAGCTACCCCTATACCCCAAATTCCAGACTCGGGGCAGACCTAGTGTAGCCGCCAACCCCGAACAGACCGGCTTCGCTCGGGAGTCATAACTCTGAAACCGGAAGTGGTAGACTAACGCCACCTGGCCTATGTTACTCCCCGGTCCAAGCTACCCCTATACCCCAAATTTCAGACTTGGGGCAGACCTAGTGTAGCCGCCAACCCCGAACAGACCGTCTTCGCTCGGGGGTCATAACTCCGAAACCGGAAGTGGTAGACTAACGCCACCTAGCCTATGTTACTCCCCGGTCCGAGCTACCCCTATACCCCAAATTTCAGACTCGGGGCAGACCTAGTGTAGCCGCCAACCCCGAACAGACAGACAGACAGACAAACGACAGTCACAAGTATATATATAGATATATAATAGGGTCATATATAGCCCCTATTATACCTGCTTGCTAGTCTGCTTTAACAATGTATTTCAATATCAATTAGTTAGATGTTGTCTGAACCCTTCTTAAAATAACTATGCTAAATTGAGTTGTTCCCCTTAACAATAAAGGGCCTTACTCCTGGAGGATTCTGGGATGAACATCAAGATGGATGCTTGTTTTTGGACTGGTGATAACTACATTAATCCAAGAAAATTGTACAGAAATACACCCCAATCCAACAATAGTCTTTATCTAAATCTCTATCAAACGTATTAATGTATTGTAAAGTTTTATTATGAAACAAATGCCTTTTGTTTTAAACGAATCCTTGTGCATTATTGGTTTAAATAGGTAAAGACAATAACCCCGTAAGCTTAATCACCTTAAAATTGTTGTCTTAAAGAAGCAATCTCTTTTTATATTACTTAAAAAAAAGTCATTCCAATCTTCGCATGGAGCAAAATCATACTATATTGTAGTTATTTATAGCTTATAAAAACTACAAACTTTTGCGTTTCACAAAACAATTCTTCAAAATTCAGTTTTTATATTATATGTGTAGGCTACATGTAATGAATTTTAAACTATTAAAATTTCTAATTAATACTAAGGTATATCTGATTAAAGATTGATTAATGAGAACAAATTAAAGGCTCAATACCACTCTTGTTGTACCTGAATAATATGTCCCAATCTTTATTCTAGTCAACACATTGTACTATTTTACAATATTCCAATTAATTGATGATACAAATTTCATCTTAACACACCTAATTTAAAACATTGGAAAAATTCAACTAAATGATTTGAAAAGCCTAACGTAAACCTTTTCAAATGTGACTTGTATTTAAAAATATTTTCCAACCCTCTGGACACATAAAATAGGATGTAATGGATAATTTACACAACAGGTAGGACACATAAACATCTAATACTTAGAATAAGGCTATTATTTATTTTCTGGAGCTGTCAAGCCAGCAAGAGTGTTTTTGTCCCTTTAAGCTAAATTGAATAATATAGATGCTACTTGAACTTACAATGTACTGTGATCTGTCAGATGGGTCAGTTCTTAGATCTTTTTTAATAGAAATAACACCAGATGTAGAATCAATCTTAAAATAATCTGGGGAATCACTGTTTCCAACAATTGTATATGTAATACCAGGCTGAAAAAATATTATTCTATGATTAGTGCACTTATATAAAATAACCAATTGCAAAACAAGTACATAATATGATAAAAAACAGTTTTGTTTAGATATGAGAAGGTCTGATCTAAATGAGATGCCATCTGGAGTTTCACTTAACCGAGTTAGTAGACAAAATGGTAATGTGAAATTCTGAGAAAGAATCAAAGCTTATAATTTCATTGGAAGAGAGGCCGTGTCTGTATGATGCCCTCCTGTCGCAGTATCGAGACAGAACGAAGAAGGAGTCTGCAAAGAAATGTACAGCAGAACAATTACAAGTAACCAGTCAATTCTCCAGCCTGTGTTTCTCGGCGACAGATTCAGGTTTTCGACCAGTCACTCCTATTCTCCCACCTCTTTCTATGCCAACGTATACGGCGTAACATTAAAAAAATTTCCACCACTGCAGCTATTTTTTCTTTTACTTAAAGGTGAGGCATCTGATAAATCGGGCGGAGAATTCACTCAATCTGCCAAATGAATCTAACTTCAATTAGACACGATAGATTCGGGCGAATGATTCAGGCAGTAATTCGCCTGGTGTGTCTGCTGCTTTAGAGAAGAGATATGAAATCTATAGAAAATAACTATATTAAATGACCATGACTTGTTAGGATTGATCGATTGGAATAATTTTTTGGACATTCTTTTCTGCTTTTAATTGGGTTTAGTCTGAAAGTCTATGTTTACCTTTCAGTCTGGAATATTAGACTACTATTACACAGTTTAGACATAATAATTCTAAAATCAGCTGTACTTACTCCTGGTGACGCACTAACGGCTAATACTGTACTATCTACAGCTAGACTCTCCTGAATGATTCTATTATAATTTGTAGTTGTTAAGGTATCTTCATCTTTCTGTATAATAACATTAAGTTGAACTGTACCGGTTCTTGTAGGAAAACCACGATCAACAGCACTCACTAGTAACTGTAGTATACAAAAATCAACCATTAACTCAAAACAAAAAATACAAAAATTTCATCAAAAATAAGTTACATTTAAGAAATCTGTAAATTGTTTTAGAAAATATTATACAACCTTTTTAATTAAATACTTTATACAATAATAACAGTTTAGAAATTGAACAAAAAATAGTACCCAGGCCTTGAAATAATATTTCCGATGTAGGTACCTGACATATTTAATTTTGTGCATACATAATGAAATGAAATGAAATGGGGTTTAACGTCCAACTGTTCTGCTCCAACTGTTTAACAGCCTACTGTTCTGCTCCGAACTGGGCTAATGAAGACGGGCATACGCCATACAGTGTGCTATGAGGGAAATATTGTCCAGACAACGGCACTACCGCCTACACTTATATCGAATTCCAACTGTCAAGGGATCTTTTACATGCACGCCAATGTGTATACGGAACCTCGGTTTTTCATCCCATCCAAATGACTAGACAGCTGTCCTTGTCAGGGCATATATAATGACAGGCATCAGACGGATTGTGTCAGACAAAACCTGAATTTGTGTCTGACAATGTCTGTGACAGGGGATCAATTTCCAGGTTTGAGAGTAACTTTAATTACAGTTTATCCTATCATTTTTAAATACAGTGGACTCTGTCAAATCCAACATCGTACAGGATCGTTACAATACGTCGGATTAGGCAGAGTGTCAGAATACTTGTATATCACAACAAACAAGAATGGATTGATAAACTTTACCTGCATAGTACTGAAAGCAACTCCACTGACTGATCGTTTGAGAGTAACCTGACCATCTTCAGGATTAAGAAACAAGTAATCACCGCCGTCAGCAGTAGTAGCTGGTCGACTAGGGTTTGCAGCAACTACATATCGTATTTCGTTGTTGGGTGGCTAAATGAGATAAAAATAAACCACACTTAAATATGTCACAAAGCTTTTGGAGGCATTTAGTAATTTTAGACTTTACTTTCCATAAGAAATTGCTTTAGTACGAAATAGAATGTGCAAATAATTCATGGCATAACTATTATCTATGTCATTTTGTAACTGTATCCTATTTTTTTTACCAACCTTTATTGTCAGTGCCAATTTATATTTTACTCTTACTTTGAACATATATATTAAGATATATTTCTATATTGAACATTCGTGATCTTTTATTTCATGTATTCATGTTTCTACCATTTGTTTATTGTAAAGTGCCCTTGAGAACTCTTTGTGTGGAAATGGCGCTATATAAAAATTGTTAATAATAATTGCCAACCAATGTCTGATTATTTCTGTAGATCGAAAACAAATTATCAATATTGGATTTTAAACTTACTCGAGGATCACCATCAGTAGCAACCAGTTGTGTAACTGAGAACCCTAATGGTTCATTTTCATTGATAGTTACAGTTTCAATACCATTAGGGAAAGAAGGAGGCAGGAGATTTCTATTTACAGTAATGGTCAGAAGAGCTGTGGCTGTTAAAGATGTTCGGCCACCATCTTTAACTTGCAGACGTACCTATAAAAACATTTAAAATTTCAATCTGATTAAAATTTTAAAAAAATATCCTATGATTGAAGTTGCGTTTAAAAATAGTAAACACATCAATAAATTTAGAGGTTATTCAGATGTTTCATTTAATTGATGGATACAAGCAAGATGTAGTTCTGTTGTCCATATAGTAACTTAATACCTTGTCTAAGCCACGCCAAACTAGGTCATTTCGGGACTAACATATGGTTCAATTTTATTTCAATAATGCGCTTGCACATAGGGGTCTTTAGCACTGGGAGGAAACTGGAGAACCATGAGAAAACCTATGAGGTTGGACAGGCGACCCTACTCCTTGTCACGTACGACCGGGGAATCGAAACCACTACAGCTGACTCAATGACGGACCATGTGGTGCAGCGTGCACACACTAACCATTCACCCCCCCTCCCCAATGCCATTTGTGACTCAAACTTCAATATATACGCCATCATAATAAATCTGACGGTATTTGTTTTCATCAGCTACATATACTACACCGAATGCTATAACTCTTAAATTATAGGATGTAATTCCGAATGGCTACACAATTACTAGATATTATTTAGAAACATTCATCAAATTTGGATTCTACAAAGACAATTCTCAAACAAAAAGGAGAATAACAGGCTTGTAAAAGTTGTATGTTGATGGTCCAGTTATTTGATTATATGAGTAGGTATATACTTTGGAATATATTCTTCTATCAACATCCTTTTTAAATACATTCTTCTATAACATCCTTTTAAATACATTCTTCTATTAAAATCTGTTTTAAATACATTCTTCTATTAACATCCCTTTAAATGACTTAAACGATCTACTTACTGTGTATTGTGTTGCTGTATCTCTTGCTACATCATCTGCTGCTCTAATCACAACTTGATTACCATTTATATTAAATAAATTGGCACTATTTCCATCTCCAATAATAGATACAGTAAGCTGATCAAATGGATTCTGAAAAATAAAACATCAGTTAGATATACGTGTCCAGAAGGCAATCAATATTCCCTATTAGTCCCAAATGAATCTATAAAATGAAGGAACTGCAGAATTGCAGAAAACCCACAATTTAACTCCAATACTGTATCAACAGAGAATGGAGAATTAGATAAAAAAAAAATGCCCGATTTGTATATGTGAAACTGAAAACATTAGACCATCTCTATTATCAATGTAATGTCATGAAAAAACACTATGGACTTTACAAATAATTAACTCATCAAAATATTCTATATGCAATAAGCATTGTAATGAGAAAAGGGAAATGATCTCAGTGAAATACTCTAGGTATGAGGAACATTATAATGACAAAAGGGAAGTGGTCTCAGTGAAATACTCGAGGTATGAGGAACATTATAATGAGAAAAGGAAGATGATCTCAGAGAAATATTCTATATGTAATGAGCATTATAAAGAGAATTAAAGATAAATCTTACAAAACGATCAGAATCAGCTGTATTGAATGTTGCTACTTCTGTGCCATCAGCACTATTTCTGTTTATAGTACCAGTGTAAGGAGCGCCGACAAAGCTTGGAGCAGTGTTTCTGACCACAGTAATCGTAGCTGTAGCGGTATTTGATGAGTTACGTCTTGGATTTCCAAAATCTCTAGCAGAAATGGTGCACTAAAAGAAATATTTCAGTAATCATAAATAAATAAATAGCTTTAGTTATTGTTATCAATAGCACTGTATTGTGTTACAAATGAATAGCTAAAAGCTACAGAGATATCAAGACTTGTGATTCATAGTATATAAACACACTTACTACATAACTTGTAGATCTATCAGGATCAGATGCTAAATCACGGACAACATACATAGTTCCACTTTGACTGCCAATACCAAAGTAAGTAGTGCATTTTGCTCCAGATAAAAGGAACTCGACATCATTTGTAACAGTCTAAAAGAATGGAAATGAATAAAAATTATATATACATAGTATATATTATTATAGTTCAAATTTTCACTTTACTTGTCTTCATAGGGTCAAAAGACGCTCGTATGACCCCTGACTCGACCTTCCACTACAACTGGTCAGATCTTCATGTAGTGTAGGCCATCGAAAGTATAAAAAAAAAAAAAAATATAGATCTGTATTTTAATGAGACTGAGTTTAATTTCTACCAATATTGTTATCACAGACTCTAGTAGTAGTTTTTAAATACTTACATCTGCATCTCTAGCTGTTATATTTAAAAATCCTACTCCAAAGTCTTGTATTTCTAGAATCTGAGCTGTATAAGTGTCTGGTGCTAGCTGAGGTGCTTGAAGGTTTCGACTGACAATTACATCTACAACTGTTACATCAAACAATCTTGGAGTACCACCGTCTCTAGCTCTAACTCTTATCTATATCAATTACATAAAAAAATTAATTATCTGCACATTTATCTTTTTATAAAGCATCGACAAATAAAACTGCTTTTCATTATACGTTATTTGAGCATAAAGAGCACATTATCGAACTTAGTCAAGGTGTTGATACACCATGTTTCATCATACTAACTTGCCGGTAAAAAGAATCAAATTACTTATGCAAACCAAGCAAGGAATGCTTTTTATTGAACTCAGTCAAGACATTTAACTAATGAACATCCACACAATGTTTGAACATTCTACCTTAATTGGAAGGAGAATTATTGTGTTCCAAACGTACCAACGCGCATACTGTATATGCCTCATGTCATTAGGTGGATAGATGGATATATTGGTATATACAGGGATAAAATATTGATACACAAAGAGTATAGAGAGAGAGAGAGAAATGGGGTTTAATGTCCACTCGACACAAACTAGGTCATTTCGGGACTTACATATAGTTTAATTTTATTTCAATAATTCGCTTGCGCGTAGGGGTCTTTAGCAGTGGGATGAAACCGGAGGACATGGAGAAAACACATGAGGTTGGACAGGCGACCCTACTCCTTGTCACGTACAATCGGGTATTCGAAACCACGCCAGTTGACTCAATGACACAGCACGCACGTGCTAACCATTCGGCCATCCAACCCCCCAAAGAATATAGAATCTCATAACTGAATATGCAAGTTCTAGTATTTTAACCATTCTACATTTGCCCCTATAAGATTTGAAAATAAATAACATCTATAAATATTGATTTACCTTATATGATTCGGCTGAGTCAGCTGCAAAATTATTTGTAGTGGATATTTGTCCATTTTGTTGTATTTGGAAAACATTTGGTGCTGTATCATCTCCTATAATATCATAGGCTATAGTGTTGAAAGGAGACTGTAAAAAAAATGAAACTTAAAATAGTGAAACTTGAAAAAGTGTGTTTACAAATAGTAAAATGAATGGTCTGGGATATTTAATTCACAGATTTTATCTACATACATGTACCATCCTATTACAGACACAATGCTGTTCTTACTATAAGGGTTCAAAGAAACATTATGAGAAATGAATATATTGAAAGTGTCATTCAAATAAATTTATTCTGAAAGATAATAAACAACATCATGATTGTTCATTTTATCGTCAAAATACCAAATAATGAGGCTGTTGTAATCCATTCAATATCTAAGCCATACGATGTCCTAGAGAGTTGATTATAAATGTCTAAATAATAATTCATGTAACATTTGAACCTAGAAATAAAGACTTCTAATAGGCAGATTTAGCTCTCATGCAATGTATCTTTCAGATATTCATGGATAATAAAACAATACTTACAACAGTATCATCATCAGTTGCTGCAACAGTTGCAACTAATGTTGTAGTACTACCAGCTGAGATAGTAGCAGTGTATGGTTCGTTTTGAAATACAGGTGGAAATTGGTTACGTTGTACGTTGACTGTAACAAGAGCATTCGGGCTACGTCTCGATGGATTTCCCATGTCAGCAACATAGATGTTGAACTACAAGAGAACAAATTTATAAAAGAATTATTAATAATGATAACTTATAACAAGCAAAGTTAAACTTAAATTTGTTGTACCACATGAAATGGCAAAACATGTCTTGTTTATAACTCTTACTAGATGAATTAAAAGCTAACTTAAATTTCTTTATTTTATGGAGGTGGGGGGAACTAATAACAAACAAGATCAAACTCAAATTTGTTGTACTACATGACATGGCAAACATGTCTTGTTTGTAACTTTTATTAGATGAATTAAAAGCTAACTTAAAAAAACTTTATTTAATGGAGGTGGGTGAAACTAATAATAAACAAAGTCAAACTAAAATTTGTTGTTGCTTTTGACATGGCAAAACATTTCTTGTTTATTAGTTGAAGTAAAAAAATTAAATAACTGTGATTTTCTTTGTTTGGATCATGATTCAATATTTAATATAATACAGAAATCGTAAAGTACTTACAGTGTATGGTGAAATATTTTCTGAATTTACAGATCTCTTTAGTTGAATTTGTCCAGTAAGTTCGTTAATCAAGAATCTATCATTTGTCCCATCAATATAGTATCTGACAGTATTGTACGGTGCCTAAAATACAAATTTATATTACAAAATGCTGCAGTTTTTTTTCTTCTGAAATATAAGTGTTTGAAGCATTAAAATGGTTAAATTTTTCGATTTCTTTGTCCAATTCAATTTAATTTGGTTATAAAGAATGACCCCAGGTTCGAATAACGACAAAAACCAAGAAAAACCTTCAAGATTTTTCAAGCCCAGGCTTCATTTTCAGGGTGACAAAGGCAGTGTCCCTAGTTATTTGCAGTCCATCCATGTTGCATTCCATTATAACATCATTAAGTTTCAAAAGAAACCTTTTTCTCCAAGTCCTCTATTCTATTAAACGATTCCTCCAGATAAATAAATATAATAGCTTTTAGTAAAAAAAAAAAAAAATACAAGAGATGAAAGATAATTTGAATAATACTTACAAATGAATCATCATCTCTACCACTAGCAGTAATGATGGTGATTCCAGTCGTTTGAGTCTCTAATATAGTTG